GATGGCGTGGGTTTATTGACCCGAGACATTGATACCTGAATCAAATCTCGGACGAGCCTCCGAATGTGGGAGGGAAAAAAAATCCCCAAGCATCGAGCCTTGCCATCGGATGTTAAGCTAAACCACGCCATATTTGAGACCTTTCCAACGGTCGTCGGTTGCTGCCTGGGAAAGGCAAACAAGAAGAGAGAAGAAGGAAATCTCGCTGGTCCGCATCCGCCGCCTTTTAAACGTATTGCCGTCCTGCGCGCCTGCTTACTGTACCATGTAATTTGCGGCCCCCAAAGCAGCAACTCGATCCGACACCGCTTCTAATAACTCAAAAAGGATCAACCAAGGACGCGGGGAACAAAATTAAATATCCGGACAAAAAGCAAATCACGAATAAAATAAAGTTTACTCCGACATCCCAACACCCATGTCCAAAAATTGAGAGCAATGCCAATAGCCCTACTCGACATGTAATCAATGTAATCTTCATGCAGCAACGTCCTGTTCAGCTTACACCCCCGGACAGCCCCAAACAACGTGGCCCTGCGTCTCTGATCTTTTGTTGCTTTTTTTTTTCCCGGTCCGCTACCCGTAAGACGTCACAGAAAAAGCGTGGTACGACTCTCTTCATCTCACAAACAAATGATGCCTGCAGTGTGCCATCTGGAAATGACCACCTTTTGGGGGCTGGCCCAGCCCAATATCCCATGATTCCATTTGCACGCACCTCTCTCTCCTTTTGGCCCTGTGGGACGCGACATCGCCCAACTATATGAACCAGGGGCCGTCTCTTCTTCTTTTTTTCTTCTTCAACAAGAGCTTCCACTTTGCCCTCTTGCAACGGGCCTCGACATCATCAAATCTGCCCCACGACCCACCATCGTACTCATCTTCAAACAGCCTTGAACAACAACGTGAAAACAATATACATCTTTTCAATCTTTCATCAAAACTACCCACAATGGCCACCGCATCGCGTGCTACTCTCGTCAATGGCTGCTGCACCTCCTGCTGTAGATGTGCAGATTACGGAACCCACGAGTACTGTCTTCCTTGCTCGACAAATCCTTGCTGCACCACCGTCGAGCACAACAAGGATGCTTAATCAATATGGCACCTCTTGTTTCAGCGTTTCATCTTGTCATTTGGAAACTTCATTTCGGAAATCAGGCGCTTGGGCTGGTATAAGATTTTTACTGCATACAATGGCGCAAAGCAATCTATAGTCTGTACACTAGAATTGACAATCAGATCATGCATTGGCAACAGACAGCTCACTCACTGTCTTGCAACTCATTTTCATGCGACTGCGTCATAACCCTTCTACTTTCATCCCAACTAAGCAAAAATCATGGCCAGGGCGGGCAGAGCAGCGCCGAGCATCATGGGAGCGGCAAAGGCAGCTCCGTTATCCTTGTCACCCTGGCCGTCGCCCTTGCCATTTCCCTTGGTGCCATCGCCCTTGTTGCCATCACTGCCGCCACTAGAGTTGCTGGTGGACGTCGTCTCCTTGCCAGTGTCGGTACTGACCTTGCCAGGGTAATTGGATTCGTCATTTTGAAAGGTAGTGACCTTGAGGTCTTTGAGCTCGTTGCCTTGTTCATCAAAGACCTTGAGGGAGACCTTGTAGTCGCTGATGTCAACCAGCTTGCCGTTGCGCTTGGGGGTTACACCCTTGGAAATCATGTCGTTGGTATTGTCGGGAGGAGAGGGCAGAGTCCAGTTAGCAAGGAAGCCATCGTGGGTGATGAGCTTGGAGTCGCACTTGGGGGCTTCAACATCCTTTTGGGCCGCTTTTTGAGCATTGAGGCTCTTCCAGTCAATCTTGGTTAGCTTGTTCTTGAGGCGATTATAGTCCCCGAGTAGTCTAGCACCGTCAGCAGTAAGGTTGACAAGGCCATAGTTCTTGGCCTCCTCCGAGTATTCGTAAACCAGACCACCGGAGAAGGCGCCAGTCATCTTGTCGCTGTAAAGAGCAACGGACTCATTCCAGTAGCGGGGCTCGCCCAGAGGCTGATTGCAACCATACTCGGAGAAAAAGACGGGAACAGAGCTCGACTTGAATTTGTCCGTGAGCTCATTGTACGAGGATGAAGTGTATGTAGCATCGATGCCGCACCAGCTGTAAGAGTTGAGGCCATAGACATCGCCACGGCTCATGTTGTCCTTTTCACCGTCAATGGTGCACTGGCAATAGTTCCACGTGTCGTAAGTAAAGTCGCGAACATCAGCAGCCGAGTAGCCGACGGGGATCTGGCGCTTCAAGTTCTTCTTGACATAGTTCTTGAGATCACGGGTGACAGCACGGATATAAGGAGGAGTGACCTTGGCAGAGGGCTTGTCGTTGATGATTTCGTTTCCAGAGAAGAAAAGGAGGGTGTTGGGATAGTTGGCAAAAGCCTCCATGACGGCAAAGGTGCGGTTGAGGTAACCGCCAAAGTAACTTTCCCAAGGGTTATAAGAGGTGATGGCCTCACCAGGGAGGGGGGAGTTGACATCAATGATGAGGTACATGCCAGCCTAGAGCATGTCAGAAATATGCAAAGCGCACCCATCGGAAAAAGTCACTCACGGCGTTGAAGATACTGGCGCACTTGTCGTGGTCGAGGTAGGGGTCAATATTGTAGACACGGACAGTATTGATGCCAAGAATCTGCATGAGAGCAGCATCACGCATGCAAGCATCGGCATCGGTCAAGGGATCCTTTTTCTCGTCGGGCTTGTAACCAGCACTACCACCGGGCTGGTAGCCAACACCAACAATCTGGAACTTGTTGCCCGTGTCAGGGTCGTAGAAATCATTGCCCTTAACTTGGAGAGGCTTGACGGCGCTAACGGCCGTGACGGCGAGGGCCACGAGAGCGGATTGAATCTGAGAGTAAATGTTAGCACAGGAGACCAGGCAAGTGTAGGCTGAGTGCAAAGACGACGCTTGGCGACACTCAGACGTTGCGTATGCATGCAAACAGACGGCCCCCGGGCAAGACACGGGCCAATTCGCGGAAATCAACTTACAAGCATGATTTCCGACTGTGTATATGCTAATCCTTGCAATGAAATGAAGTTACCTTGCAACAGTAAAATCGTGAGATGGGCGGCGCAAATTCGCAAACGGAGAAATTGCAACAGATGGAAGAGATGTCTGGGAAGGAGTGACTAGAAACCAAGGCTCAAAATGGCGTTGATCCGGGCGTGTCACACCGAGACGCAGACAGCAACGGGCCAGGAGAGAATGGCAAGTTGGGCTGAGTGATTGAAGGAGGAAAAAGGAAGCAGGGAACGGCCGACGTCTGGTGTTTGTACAAGATCAACTGGAACCAAACGATGCTAGCGACGGGGAACACGAGGGGGGCAAACGGCTAAACGGGTAGGGGTACCTACGGTGTAAGGCGCCACCGAGCACCATAACTTGGGCACTTTCCTTCCGTCCTAGGTACCTTGACTTTTAACGTACAAGCTGACGAATTCCAGGGTGCCATAGAACTGATTAACCTATAATTTCAATCGATATTATCCATTGCCTGCCGACACGCCACTACCCACTATCAAGGTCGGGCGTCCGCTCAACGGGAATTACAATGGAGGACGCGATGGAGCGTCCAATCATTCTGAAGAGCGCTCTCCAAACAATAACTCTATTGATCCTCTTGGAGTCAACAGGCCACTAAAAGACGCTGAGCAAGTGGGCCCTCTTAAAAGCTGCATCACACATGGTGCTAACTAATTAGTGCAAGGGTTTACAATAATCTTTGAAGGACCCTTCTTTACCACGACAATGGATCTCAGGAATGAACGGCCAGGCCACGGAATTTTCGATACGAGATCTGCTGGATTGCTAGACAAATCTATTGAATAACACGTCACCACCTTGGGGCTCTGTACAGTTGTTTTCATGTTGCCTTCACAATACTATCTGAGCTGGTGGTTTTCATGTCGTAACCAGCCAAAGGGGCACAGGAAAGAAAAGCCAGGCCCATCATCCAGGCCAAGTGGTTTGTCCACGCATTGCTAGCACCATTGCTAGACCAATAAAACAACTTGTTTGTGTCACTGATTACAGCGCTTCTCTGTTTTATATAGTCGCATTGCCTACGCGCCTGAAGGATGCCCACTCCTCCAAGTTGCACAACAACACTTGGAAACTTGAAATAACTAAAACTCACACTCTATATATTGAGGATTACACATCTTGTTCACCTGGCTATGTACGCGCCAGGTCAGTAGGACCGGGCTTCCTCTAATCCGTTTTCTTTCCCATCAATGACAGTTACGCGCCGACCGCAACCCAGCTCTACGCTCCGGTGTGCACCGCCAACTGATATAAAATGACTTCAAAAGGGACCAACCACCCGATGTATCTATTCTGGCCAGAAATATCAAGCACTTCATGACCCGTTCGTGGCCGTTGCACGCGACATGACCCTTCACGCCCTTCTGCCGCGGCTCTCACATCACAATGGACCCAGTGCCCGGTTGTCAAGCTTCGCAGGGCCTGCCGCCCCCAAAACAGGCGTCGTCTCATCTGCCACCTCCGCCACTACCACGACCTGGGTCACCAGGATGCGAGGCCTCAGAAGGTAGGCAAATCGGCGTGCCGGGGCGCCGTATGAACGCGAAGAAGCTCCTTGGACAAGATGCTCAGGCTCAAGCTCGAGCACAGAAGTCTCCGTTATCACCAAAGCGCTCATATTCTACCTTCTTAGCCGATGACCTTCCCCGGGACAATATTGCTGCCTTGAATGCACCAGTTTCAAGATGGCTTGGCCAGGTATATCCTACAACTCAGCGTTTGAGGCGATACTCTGCCATTGCAATGGATGATGCTCCGCGTCACCTTGTCAAAGACGACAAAAATGGGGACGAGGAGAGTTTCGAAGAGAACGACGTCGAGAATAGACCTAGAGCCAGCTCTGAACCGATCACGTATCTCCATGAGCATAAATCCGTCACGATACTAGTGACACCAAGGACTGAATGCTTATCAGGCTATTTGCACAATTCTCAAAGTATTTGCGAAGGCCTCAGCATCTGCCTCCCTCGAACTTCTCACCTTCCTGCTTCTTCACACATCGTGAGCAGTACGCCGACACAAGCTCCATTGGAGAAAGCCCCCTCATACCGACAGGTCCCGATAGACACAACCTTGCAGACATTCGACGTCAAAATCATGTATCTCCGGCATCTTCTACGGCTGTAACCTTTGTAACTTTCGAGAGCAGCTCGACTATGAGCTGCGGCCCGTCCTCGCAATTTTCTGCTTCGCCAACGCGAAACTAACGGTGCTGCCATTCCTCGTGGTATAAATCGGTGGAGACTGTGCGTAACATCTTGGACTGGGAGATGGGGGAGAGGCTGGACGGGCTGGACGGGTGGTTGGCGATAGGAATCAACTTTAGGAGAGACGCCGAGAAGGATCACATACATGCGCCCCTAAAACTGCACAGAATGTTCATGCATCCTTGCTTGAGCTTGTTCGAAGAACTGTCTTGTCGCCCGTGAGCCTATATCCGTCTCTCATCACGGCTCTGTCCACCAATTGCGCAGAGGACCCAATGTCATCCCCATGTCTCGCCCAGTCTCATTTCACAGCGCCGAATGGCTTCAAGAACTCACATATTGCTCGATGCGGCGGCTTTTCCGAGATGAAATCCATCGCCTTACATCTGACTCAGCATGAGCAATTATCATGGCTTCAGCTCATTGATACAAGCTTATCTTACGACGCACCATCACAACCTGTTCACTGACACCCACAGATGAGACTCGAGCGTACTGATTAGAGCGTAAATATTGTAAGACAAGGCTCCTGCGCATACTATTAAAAAGAAGAGACAAAAACAAAAGGGAAACACTCGCGAGGCAAATGTACAGCCCCCGAATAACATGTAGCAAACGTCGCCTGGTAAAAGAGACTCGCCGTTATAGAAGCAAAGAGATACCAAGAAAAGAGGCATCCTGAACTCCCTGCCTCGGCCACTCTGTACGAGTGTACCTCGCCGCCCGCGCGCCTCGTTGCTCGGTATATAAGGTAAGGTTCGTTGTGCTTGCCATGTGCAAGGCATGTCCTGTCGCAACCTTGACCGAAGGCCACAATCAATGCCTTGCCTATTGTACATGACACCATAAGGGAAAACTTTTCCTATTTCATAACTTATCAACCGCCTTGACCTGTGGTCGCAAACCAAACCCAAATCTGCCCTTTCCGTGCCTTAGAAGGCCATGGCTGAGACACGATTTAGTATCCGTTCATAGCCATGCGCTGAGAGCTACGGCTTAGCTCACGATCAGCGGCAGGGCTGATGGGTCTACTACTGGCGCCACCAGCGTGGGCGCTGCTTTCCTTGAGTGCAAGCAGCTGCTTGGCACGGAAGGTCTCGTAGTGGATCTGCGAGGTCGTCTCGATGAGATCCTGGAGGTGGGTTCGCAGAAGGAAGTTTCGGAGGTAGACGAATTCGCAGTGGTTCTCGTCCTCAACGTTAATGACACCCCAGCGGTTCTGGCGACCGCGAACCTGCTGACCATTGACAATGATGGACTTTTCCGAGCCGACGACAGCGAATGGGACGAGACCCTGGCATGTGATGTTAGCGACTACTATGCACCCATTCGGCACGCTTGAGAGTACAAACCTTGATTTGGTTGTTCAAGGCACGCTCCTCTTCATCAAACTCATCATTATCGTAAGGGTACATCTTGAGGTTGTGGAAAGCAAATTCCTCCTTGATGCGCTCCTTGAAAGCCTGGCGCTCCTCGGTGGTAAGCGTATCAGCCTTGGCAATCACAGGCACAACGTTGACGACATCGGACAGCTTCTTGAGAACAACAATATCGATGGGCTTCAGAGAGTGGCCGGAGGGCTGAATGAAGAAGAGACAGCAGTGAATGCGGGTGTCCTGGATGTAGCGCTCACGCTGGGCCGTGAGCTCCTTGCGCAAGTAGGCGGAGTGCTGGTCCTTGATATACTTGACAATGGGGTCCCAGCAGCGGTCATTGTTGACGAGGTCTCCGTATCCAGGGGTATCGACAATGTTGAGTCGGAGGCGCACGCCGTTTTCCTCAATGATGTGGGAGTCGGCCTGGATCTCGGTGGTGGATCGGATGGGCTCATCCGGCTGAAGACGACCCTTGGAGTCGATAAGGTGCGAGGCAAAGATGGTGTTAATCAGAGTCGACTTGCCCAGACCAGTTTGACCTAGCAAGTGAAGACGCGGGTTAGACCTGGCCCTGACTGTTGTGGGTGGAAGTGCTGCATCACGCCTCAGGGGCGAGCGGGTAGCATCACGAGGGAGTCGGCCAACTTACCAACGCAGATAACGTTGAACTGGAAACCGCGCTTCAGGAGCTTGCGCTCGATTTGAGACGTGATGCTGTCGAAACCGACATGGCTCTGGGGGAAAATGGCGGAGGCGGGAGCAGCAGCCATCGTGTCGTGATACCGCTTGGTTTGTCAGGGGAGACTTGAATAAGCTGTCGCGTTGACTGCGTGCTTGCAAAGACGATTACAGATTAAATTCCGGTTGCCGTGTGCAAAAACGATAAGGCAGACAAGAAAGCAGGAATTGAATGGTAGATGAATCGAACGAGGCAATCGTGAGCAAGCAACTCTGCGAGATGGGACTTTGTGGGACGCCGTTGATCAAGCCTGGAGGAGCTGCAAAGGGGAAACTTTTGGGCGGGCGAGGCACAGACCAGCCTGTTGGTGACCCGGACCTGCTCCCGCCTGCAGGCTGCTTTTTAGGGGACCCCAGGCCCTAGGTAGGTATTGCCTGCCCGCCAACATGCTGCCGTGCTGCCCAAGCAGAAGCCCACCAACTGCCATTTGCCAGTCAGTCCATTTCAGGAGGCGGGTCCCTGGGAAAGGGGCAGGGAGGGGTCTGGGGCGTCCCTCAACACCAGGCTGTCGCTATTGGCCAGCACTGGTCCGTGCAAAGCCGGTGCTCATTGGTTGCTTCTGCGAGAGTATGTCTCCACTGCGCAAGCAGCCAAAAGCAACAAGGGCAAGTTTTATCGCAGCGCATTTTCCGACTACCACAACGATTGTGATCTCAGCTATTCGCAACCGATAAAGCTGCGACGCACCGATTGCCCTTGACCCAGCGATCTGCTCTACAAGGCCACACTTCTAGACTCAGAATCCTCATTACCCAGTCCGTTGCGCCCAATTCGCTGCGCCGCGGTGCGCCTGGTCACGAGCCAAAGAAACATCGCCAATCTTGTACGAGACTCGGTCGTCCACATCTACACTATGGCGGCCCTTCTTCCCCGAATTGCCTCGCCGGCGCGGCTTCCTATTCCTCATCTGCCGTCGCTGGCTGGTATTGCTAGCCGACTGCTCCCGACACTCGGCATAGCTCTTCCCGGCATCAGCATCACCATTCCCACATTGCTGGATGATATTTGGGAAGGCGTCCTGCGAGCTGTGCCGAAGAACAAGGTCTCCCACTCGAGGAAGAGAATGAGGCAGCTGGCCAACAAAGGCCTCAAGGATGTGAACAGTCTTTGCCAGTGTCCTGGTTGTGGTGCCCCTAAGCGCATGCATCGTCTATGTCAAAACTGCTTGGAAGGTGCGTACAAGTGATTCATATACGCTCCATCATCATCATCATTTGAGTCTCTAATCAAGCGTATTTAGAAATGCGAGGCATGTGGCGGTCCGACGAGCGACGAAAGTCATAGAGCGCAAGCAAAACGAAAAGAGGCATTGGTGGTCGGGTGCGAAATCTAGTGTATCACAATCTCATGTATATTTGACTTTCGGTTATCAGATGCATACACACGGCGTTTTGGCTCATTTGGGCCATGTATAATAAACTTATATCCAATACTTGAAGCATTGACCCTCGTATCGTCCAGATGATGATGACCGTAAAACTGCGTGTCCTATCTATAAACAGCTTCCTCCAAGGCTCTCGGCTTCTGGTCATAGCAGATACCGAACGATTAGCAAAGTAATAACTCCTACCTTCAAGAAAATCAGCATTGTACATTCACTTGCACCTTTCCGAGCGCTACGAATCTATAATGTGCAAGTGGGCTGGCGCGGCACGAAATCGCCAACCCACCAGCGCAAGCCTACAGAAACCCCACCAACATCCGTCATTCACTTTCTGCAACTCTCACCCACTTTGTCACCAACCTCATTCACATGAGCCGATCACAATGGTAAATGCCCGACTCCGAGCATGACTACATCGGCCAGCTAACAAATAGTAGTCGAAGCAATATCTGACGATACACACCGTCGACAATGGTACGTGACCCCGCTTAAAGTTGCGCTGCCACTCTGCCGTTTGATAGCCTCTGACGAAGCCACAGCACACATAACGGACATTTTTGCCCTGGCTTCTACTCCAAAGTCTCTTCTATCTGCCGGTGGCTCTTCCACTATCCATGTGCACGACACGACAGACCCAGCCTTTCCCCTTAAGCAGAGCATATCAAACGCTCATAAGCTAGGCTGCCATCACCTCTGCACGTCGAGAAATGGCCGGTACGCGGCCAGCGCTGGGTTCGGAGGTGAGGTCAAAATTTGGGCCCTCAATGCAGAAACGGGGGAATGGAGCAACGCGGGCGAGTTGACCGGAAGCTCCGTCCAGGCGGGCGAGGTGTGGGCGCTGGCGCTCAGCGAAGACGGCGGCTACCTGGCCAGCACTACCAATGACGGCAGGATCAATGTCTGGGACGTGGCCGACGAGGCCAAGCCCAAGATTCGCGAGTACGAGACTGGAAGTGCAGGGTCGGGAAGTTTTGGCATGTGCGTCGACCTCAGCAGGGATGGAAAGTTTACCGCGAGTGGCCATCAAAACGGTGCCGTCTACATTTTCGACAATGACACGGGACGCATTCTCTACTCGCTCTCTGGTAGGCAACTTTAACGCCCTTATCAATTGTAAAATACACGCGTGCTGACTTTGGTATCAGGACTGGCGAAACCTGTGCGAGCTGTGGCCTTTTCACCCGGAAACACGAGATTGGCAGCCGCTGGTGACGCTGGCATCATTGCCCTCTACGACATGAAGCACGGAGAACATATTGGCAACCTGACCGGCCATTCTTCCTGGATCACAACCATCGACTGGAACGACACTGGAGAGTATCTCTTGAGCGGATCCATGGACGGCAAGGTCAAGGTATGGTCCGTGGAGCGGAGTGATTGTGTAGCCACGCACAGCGAAACGGACAAGACGCTCTGGGCTGTTCGGTGGCTGCCCAAGATTGGCCGTAGCGAGATGTTTTGCACAGCCGGCGCCAACAGGAGTCTGTCGTTCTATCGTGAGGCTACGGGTGGTTGAAAAATTGTCAATACGGAATAAAAAGCAAAGGAACTTTTTTTTCATTACATTTGTATCTCAAGGCTTTCGTTTTGCTGTCAAATTGTATCACCTGACTTGGTGCCTGTCTCGCGCTGCGTAGCTGCGTTGCCCTGCCAAATTGGCGCTCCGTCAGTGGTGCACCTGTAGCTCGCACCCCAGAGCTTTGGGCCGTGAATTTAATCACCACGTCATGTACTAGCGCAGCTTCAACCAATCAGTCCTATTCTATTTGACGCCGTCATCATTCGACAACTGTCGCAAAATTGATCTTGCACGCAAGTTCTTCTTAATATAAATTAGTCATCTATACAATTACTGTCACTATGCCGACGACCAGACGAACGACAGGCGGCGCTCGTGCCCGACCCGGACCGACCAAGGGCCAAGCGACCATCAGCTTCTCCAACCGAGTCACAAAAGCGGTACCCAAAGACGTCAAAAGCTCCATCGTCGTGCCGTCAAGACAAAAAGTCGATGCGCCGGCCCAGAAGGAGCCTGAGGTGGACAATGTAGTTTCTGAGCCTGAGGTGGCGGAACAGCCCAAGGAGGAGGAGGAGGAGGAGGAGACGCTTGTTGAGGAAGCTGCGGTGCCCTCAAAGACAGAAGCCGAGTTGAAGGCCGAAAGGACGAGTGATGCACAGATTGGCAAGTACTGGAGGTCGATTGAGGCGCAGCGCATTGCGCCGCGGGTACATCAAGAGGATCTGTCGCTCCATGAAAAGGTGCTGCGGTACTTTGACGTCAGCTCCCAGTACGGGGTAAGTTGAGAGCCGTGTGCAAAGTCGCAGAACAAGCTTGGGACAAGAACTGACATGTCCAATGGTAGCCATGTATTGGGATCCCTCGCATCAAGCGCTGGCAGCGTGCTGAGCGTCTGGGTCTGAGCCCGCCGATCGAAGTCCTCGCCGTTCTGCTCAAGGAAGAGAACAAGGGTAACAGCGACATTGAGTCGGCGCAAATGGACAAACTTATGAACTCTGTAATTGTTGCATAGAGATGGGATAGTCGACTAGAGGGATCTGTGTTTCGGGAGTATGTCAAGAGAGTTTTGGCGTTTGTCTTCTTTTGGTTGTTGGCTGGGCGGCTGTCTGTTGGGACTGTATGAATTCCATTTGAACCCATGTTTCATGTAGCTAAATAAAATCTTTTGCACTCAAAATGCCAGGTGCCTGTATAGTTTTATGTATCTCTAATTCTGCGCCATGTTTATAACACGTCTAGTACCAAATGCTTCTCGTTCGGTGATGAGGAAACTTTTCTTGCCCGGCGGCTTCCAGCTCTTTAATTGTGTCGTATAGGAAAAAGTCGATCAAAATCGCATTGACATGAGTGTCGGGATGTTTTCTCACAATCTCTCGCCGAATCAACTCGACGCACCATATACTGCATGCTATAAACGGACAGTTAGTTTCATGCTGTAGCACGGAGAGTCTGATATGGTCAGGGGAACATACCTCGCAGTTGTACTTCCCAAGAACTGCCACTCTCTATGATCTTGCGTGATTTAATAGCGCTGGCAACCGAGGGGCTTAGGTACAAGGCGCCGAGGCTCACCAGTATCTGCGGGATACGATAGTCGGCAAACATGGTGATTTTGTCAATGTCGTGAAATCTACCATATGACTCCCCCTGGAAGCAAGCCCACAGATCGGCTACTAAGATCTGAGCCCTCTTGAGTATTCGAATGGGCTTTTGGCTCCCCTCGAAGTGATGCTCATCGCGAAAGCAATCAAAATCTTGCGCAAGCAGATTCACCAGCTTGGCTGCTGAACCGTCAGCATCGTCGAGAAGATTCAGCACAGACCCGTCGTATTTCTATTACGGTCAGTTCAGTGATGCGGATCAAAAGTAGTACATATGCAACCAGAGGGAGAGACGTACGTCAGAGAGGACTTGGCCACTTTCTCGCAGGCAATCATACCGCTCCTGCATTAAAGGCATTTCTTCCTCCGTGCAGGACCGAAAAACATGTTTCAACGACTCGAGGGTAAACTTATTCTCATCGATCCAGTAATTTGGATCAGTTATGGGTATGCCTGCGCCACTCAGTCAACGCCTTTTACACGTCAAGTCGACAGGCAATACATACCCTCGTCCAGGGCCCGCTGCATTGCGGCAACTAGACTCCAGTATCCTGTCCACTGCTTTTCTTTATATTCTATGGCAAATCTTTCCTCTTGTGGAAGCTCGGACCAAAATGAAAAGTTTAATAGATCCATGGTGAAAATAAACGCAACCGTCGCCTCATCCTTGGTCTTGGGGTGTAGCTCGTTGTCTGTCCAGCTGGCCGTAGTGAACTTCTTTGCTTGCATTTGCTTATAAATAGTTTCTGCGGCATTTTTGGACGCTCGCATATCAATCGCCACATCGATGCCATTGTCGTAGACGTATTCGACTCCTTGTAGGACACCAGTCTCAGGGTCTTCCTCAATCTGGAGCTTACCCTGCAGATGTGCGCGCAGAAGCTCCAGAAGCTCAGGATCTGCTTCATCATCTGACATCTTCACTGCCCCTGGTGCGGGGATGCCTGTGGGTTTGAAGGATGTCCCTCTTTGTCAAATTCGATGGCTAGAAAATCGAGAATGTGACATGCATGGTCAGGCACACCGAAGAGGTTTCGAAGCCGAGGACCCGCTAAGGTTGCGCTACAGCCACCACCCAGGCTGCGGGCAAACGGGAGCACTGACATTCACGCAGACAGTTGGCCATAAGAGATTATTTCTGATGGCGAACTGAGACTATGAATGCCCGAAACTTCAATCACTCCATTTACACCCGTCTACATTAAAGATACGATTTTCGTCAGATGCACGCTGTGCACAGTGGCACCGCCTGCGCCTTGGTGGTGCTGTTGCAGCCCATCTGGCTCCACAACCAATCACCTGCGAGCGGCAATCGCAGCTCGCCATCCGATTGGCGGAGCGCGCAGGTATGAATCCACACACTGCTTGAAGTGAATTAGGCCCTTATACGTTGAGTGATTCTGATAGGAACCTAGAGGTAAATAATGAGAACATGATTACAATGATGGCATTTATTCTTATTCAGGTCAGTCTTCTTCATTTGCACTAGTGGGTAGTGGGGATAATTTTGACTATACACTATCAGGTCTGCTTTCAGATTCAGCGGCCGTCTAAAGGTCATCAATGCTGAATCGAAAAAAGTGGTCCTCGTACAGCATCGTACACTGCTTTACTGCCAACTCGCCTGCGCCGTGCATTCGGACGCCTCTCCAACATTGCAGTGCGGCCAAACACGTTGATGACTGTGTGACGGAGACGGGTCTAATATTGTCTCTTGTCCCGCACCGACTCAATTTCTCCAAAACTCCCAACAGACATACCTCACGAAGCGTCATGGAATCAGTTTCGAGCACAGAGGCGACCGCGCCCGCGCCTACCGCGTCGGCGTCTGAACTGCAGAAGACTGGCCAGTCGCACCCTGCGCCTGTCGTTGAGCAGCAAGCGCAGCAGCCCGCACCGACGGCGCAACAGATAGACGGGGAACCCAAGGCATCCGGAGAAGATAAGCAAGGGCCACCGACTGCACAGCCGCGACCGAACCCTGCGGCGCAAGCGGCGCAGACCAGACCGATCGCCAAGCTTACCAGAGAGAGCTACAACCAGCAATCCCTGGGTACATCGCTCAACTCAAAAGTCAAACAGGTAAGCTAATTTCAAATATTTGAGCCATTGTACAAGGCGAAGCTGGGATCTGCTACCGTCTGCGACTGCTCTTTTTGAGAGAAATTCGCGGCTAACGTCGCTTGCAATAGTCACGCGTTCTCATGGTTGGAGCCGGAGGCATTGGGTGCGAGCTTCTAAAGAACCTGGTTCTCATGGGCTTTGGTGAAATCCACATTGTCGACCTCGATACGATCGACCTCTCGAATTTGAATCGCCAATTTCTTTTCCGCCAAGAACACATAAAAAAGTCCAAAGCCTTGGTGGCAAAGGAGGCGGCCGAGCGGTTTAACCCCAACGTCCGAATTGTCGCATACCACGCAAACATTAAAGATGATCAATTTACTGTCGCATGGTTTCGCGGGTTTACGGTTGTTTTCAACGCACTGGATAACCTAGAAGCGCGTCGCCATGTCAACAAAATGTGCCTAGCTGCCAACGTGCCACTCATAGAGAGTGGCACAACGGGGTTCAATGGACAGACTCAGGTGATTAAGAAGGGCGTCACAGCGTGCTACGACTGCACGCCCAAAGAGACGCCCAAATCATTTCCTGTGTGCACGATTCGCAGCACACCGAGTCAGCCCATTCACTGCATTGTGTGGGGTAAAAGCTATCTGCTAAAGTGAGTACAACTTCACTGTCCCTTCAGGATCACCTGCTAACTACTTACAGTGAGATATTCGGTGCTAGTGAAGACCAGGCTGCCTTTGATCACTCCGAGGATGCCGAAAATGGTAAGGAAAAACCTTGCCTCACTTAGTTCAGTAGCTAATCAGATTGCAGCCAAGGAAATTGAGGAGCTGAAGAGAGAATCAGAGGCACTGAAGAAGATTCGCGCCGCCGTCGGAACACCCGAATTCCCCAAGATGCTGTTTGACAAAGTTTTCAATGCCGATATTGAACGACTGCGTTCTGTGGAAGAGATGTGGAAATCCAGAACACCGCCCGTAGCCCTCGATTACGCCAAGGTACTGAGCGAAGCAGGCGACGCAATCGCATCAACAGACGCCTTACTTGCCGACGATCAAAAGATTTGGTCTCTTGAAGAAAACCTGGCGGTGTTCAATGACAGTCTGGAGCGATTGAGCAAGCGCGCGATCGAACTGAACAAGGCCCAGGGACCGTCCGACCTGGAACCAATCATCGCATTTGACAAGGATGATATCGATACATTGGACTTTGTCACTGCTAGCGCAAATATACGCTCGACAGTGTTTGGAATAGAGAAAAAGTCAAGGTTTGACGTCAAACAGATGGCGGGTAACATTATTCCCGCTATTGCAACAACCAACGCCATAGTCGCGGGACTCTGTGTGCTGGAGTCGTTCAAAATTTTGAAAGGGGAATACGACCAGGCAAAGGAGGTTTTTCTGACGCCTTTTGCTTCAGCGCGACTTCTTGCACCTGACAGGTCACGTCCACCGAACCCTGAGTGTCCAGTGTGTGGTGTCTTCAATACTAGTGTCATTGTCGACCTATCACGAGCCACGCTGGGTGATGTTGTTGAGGGCTATCTCAAAGAGGATCTGGGCCTCGGAGACCGGGAAATCTCTGTAAACAATGATGTCGGCATTCTCTACGACTTTGACGAGACGGATAACTTGCCAAGGAAGCTTACGGAGCTAGGCATTCGCAATGGAAGTTTCCTCACCATCATGGACGACTCTGAAGAGGATACGCTGGTCAATATCGTTCTTGATATTGAAGAAGGGTAATCATACATTGGTGATACGTTTAATATACATCTGCTAATGTGCTTTACAGGGCGCTCGACGCAACAGAGAAGCCTTATAAAGGTGTACCTGAGGGCAAGTCTGATATTCCGAGAAAGTCAAAGAAAGAAGCCTTACCGGAAACGAACGGCACCAGCACGACAAATGGCACTGTCCATGTCGAAGGCCCCAAGGGGGTGAAGCGGCCCAACGATGACAGCGAGTGGCAGTCCTCGAAAAAGGTCAAGGTTGCTGGTGCAGGACAGGAAGATGACGTCGTGTTGGTGGATGATGCTGGCGGCGCAATTGTCATTGATGACTGAGCCCGCCCGTGCTCTGCCGATGTTTGCGTTTCTCTGCTCTTTTACAGGTGCCGCGTCGCGCGCGTTTTCTATGCGATTCATGCAGCGCTCAGACCGCCATCGAGGTTCAAGATGCAGTTATTCGCGAACTGGTTGGAGGCGAGAAAAACGGCCGCATCGGCCACCTCGTCCGGATCCGCGACCCTGCCGAGCGGAGTGTCTTTTAGAAATGCTTGTTGGAGTTCTGGTTTGAGATCTGCAAGGACGATACCACGATTTGTACATTAGCAGAGACCGAAGGAAAGGACTGTATTTGGAAACGACATGATGAGGAAAGGAAACAAAAGCAAAGAAGAATGAGGGGCGAGGCCAAGGGGACTTGTGCCAGGCAGGGGAGGAAAGGGAACATGGACGACTCACTTTGCCACATGTCACTGTCGACCCAGCCCGGCAGCAACGCATTTACACGGATAGATCTCGGCGCCAGTTCGCGACAAAGCGCTCTTGTAAAACCTTTCACTCCAACGTTAGCATTCGGTCACAGGGGATTCTTTCTTTCTTTTCATATTTGTTCCCACATGAGCCGTCTATACAACATCACGCAAGAATTGCGGGGAAACAGAAACAGGGTACAATGACCACAAATACATATCAAGACGAATATGAATGAGATTTTTTTGTTTAGAAGAAGTTTTTTTTTTCGAGTTCTTGTGAGGAGATGATGTGTGAAATACGTACCGATGAGACCAGCTTTGGAAGCAGCGTACGCGCTGGCGCCAAAGCCGCCGTGTGTGGCCATGAGGCTGGAGACATTGACGATGCAGCCTAATATATCCCCGAGAATAAAGTATGGATTAGCTCTGGGAATCCACACACACACAATCCCTTGCAGGAAGATGAAGGGAAAAAAACTGACCGTGGGGCTGCATCCTGGCATGCTTACAGACCAGCATCGTCGCGAGCAAATTCGTATCCATAATCCTCGCGAGCTCCTCATCGGGCGTGCGCTTCAAGACCGTCGTCTGCGATATGCCCGCGCAGTTGACCAGCACGTCAACCGGTCCCACCACCGCCGCCGCCGTCGCCGCCGTCGCCGCCGACTGCTCTGCGCGTCCCGCAAAGACGGCCTTGATGCTGACCGCGTCTGAGACGTCGAGCTTGATGAAGTGATGCGCGCGGGGCGGCGGCGACGATGAGGATGAGGCGGTGGTGGTGGAATCTGCGGGCGCGGGCGCGGCGAGTTGGGCTTCCAGGCGGGCGCGCTGGGTGAGGGCGCTTCGGCCGAGGAGCGTGACGGAGGCGCCGTGACGCGCAAAGGCGGCGGCGATGTGGGAGCCAATGACGCCGGTGGCGCCGACGACGGCGGCGTGCTTGCCGGCGAAGCGCAGGGCCATGTTTGAAGATGCTGGATGAGTTGTGCTGAGGAGAGGGACGATGGAGGGTTTTATTAGAGGGAGCGTGGCATTGGCGATGAGATTGACGAGGTAAGGACCTGGGTCGATTGAGGTTGAAGATGGAGGGTGTTTTGGTGGAGTGGTGATGGCGGGCCGGGGTGGTGATTAAAGAAGAGACCAACGAGTACGTGCTGCATATGTCGACGTGATGGAAATATGAAAATTGAGAAAAACTTCTTCTTTTTAAAGTGACTATAATATAAGAAACCATATTTGTAGCCAATCAAAGTAAATAATTGAAAACATAACCTCGTATTGGTCAGAAATTTCGCCGCGATGGTATTTTATGTTACAAATATTCGAGGACATTCGCGCTCAATAATCAAGTCAAATCAATGAGATGCAACGGGACTATAAGACCAGACCCGAACAATGTTATCACCTCCTGCAGTCGCAAACAATTGATTGGACGCTGCCACAGACAGGACCGTGTTGCTATGTGCATGAATCGCCAGCTGCAACTCGCCAGTAAACGCATCCCAAATCCGACACGACCGGTCCTTTCCGCCCGACAAGATCCAGCAAGCATCCGGCGTGGCGCAAATCGACACGACATAGTCCGTGTGCCCGTGCAGCGTCTGGACGTGTCCGTACAGCGTCCTCGATTGCCCGTTGTGGCCCGCCGTGCTCGACGGGCGGCTCCCCCCGAGCAGCGCGCGCAGCTTCCAGACCTTGACGGTGCAGTCGAGGCTGCCGCTGGCAAAGCACGCGGCGGTCGTCGGCAGAAACGTCAGGCAGTAAACCGAGTCGGTGTGGCCAGAGGGCCCGGAGAGCACGGCGATGCGCTGGCCGGTCTGCATGCTCCAGACGTAGATGCTTGCGTCGTGGCTGCTGGCAATGACGTAGGCCATGTCGGCGGAGACGGAGACGGACGAGATGCCGTCGGGCGAGACGAACGTGTAGCGCGCCTTGGACCGGTTGACGTGCCACACCTTGACGGTGCCGTCGCGGCTGCCCGACACGAGCGATCGGTTGTCCGAGGCGCACTCGACGGTGTATACTTCGGCGGTGTGCTCGGACAGAAATCTGCGAATCTTTCGCGACGCAATTTCCCACACCTAGGATAAGAAAAGAGAAGAAAAGAAAAAGGTCAGTATCCCCGCCGTTGTTGCTTATATGTCCTAATCTGTATTGGAGCTACTTACTCGAACCATATTGTCTTCCGACCCCGTGGCGATAAACTTGTCGTCTGGGCTGAAACAGAGGGTGCGAATTAGAGACTCGCCCGTTGCATCGTGGCGTTCTTCCAGCGTGACCGAGAGCGTACCAGTCTCCGCGTCAAAGACCTTGACAGTCTGCTGGCTCGCCGTCGCCAGGTAGCGGTTGTCGCGACTGAAACGCACGCAGCACACGGCGTCGTCGTGTGGGATCGTGTACCGGTGCGCCATCTTGAGTCGCTGCGATATGCGGGGGTTGAAGAGGGCGTACCAGTCGCTGCCCATGAGCTTGTACTCGGCCGGCACGATTTCGGGCGGCAAGTCGGCCCAGTGCGTCGTCGGTGTCGTCGGTGTCGTCGCAGCATGCTCGGAGGTTGCATTGCCGTTGACTTGCTCCGCGTCGGGGAGCTGCTGATCGTCAGGGGCCGAGCCGCTGTCATGCCTGACAGTAGTAGAGGTGGTGCTGCTCCGGGAAGCTAGTTTTGTCTCGAGGCAAAGTATGATTTCCTCGTAATTGCGAAGTTCGCTCTGGTATCTGCCAAGCAAATCAGTTCGACTTGTTCCATGCATCTTTGACTAACACCCTTCTCTGTCAACGAAATGGCTCGTTAGCGGTACCTACTCTGCTGTCTCCGTCTTATGCTTGCGCTGCAAAAAGTTGAGCGTCTGTCTCAGAGACTGTAGCTCACTGAGCTGCACCTCGACTGTGGAGGGCGAATGCCCTAGATATCAGATCGGTTCTTACACTGTCAGTAATCTTGGCTGAGCTTACATTGGTGATGCCAATCATCCACCTGCTCCAGCTGCTGTCCCGCAAACTCTGCCTTGACTTGAGCAAGAAGCAGCTCGATACGACTACAGCCGCCATACGCCGAGGACGCCATCGCGTTGAATAGGAATACCTGTGGTGTTGAGGGACAAAAGCTCGGATCGGATAGAGGTTCTACGACAAAGTTATATACACAGCCTGGCTATAGAAGCACAAGAACCGACCGCCCCTTGGGTGCATAACGGGCAACATAGTAACTTATACCTGCTCGTGGGAAAGGGGGGTTTGAGCTTTATTGTGGTCGTGGAGACCTGTGGCAGCGTTGCCGATTCGTCCTGGGTTGCACCGTTCTGAAGCACACTCGCGCACCCCCTTCTGTGGCTCAAAGTGGTTCGCCTAGAATGCTGATGAAGAGGCGCATGGGCCATTTTTGGTAGGACAAAAGGGAGTACTTGTTTGACGCCTGGCAATACGTTCCAGCCTGGCGGTAATCGTGACTGTAGATCCTGAGCAATCAGCCTCACAAGAGCGATGATTGCCAGCCAGACATTCGGTGCAGACGTTTCTCTGTCAGCGTTGCACACAGAAATTCGGTAAGCAGAATGTGTTTTATGTTTGGACGGGAGTAAAAACTATGAGTTCACTCTTCGTATTTTTCGTATCACTTGTGTGTTCTGCGATGTGCTTGACCCGACTACATCGGAAGACACTATCGTGTAGTCTGATGGATTTGAGAACATGGTTTTAGGAAAGAGGCCCATTGTTCCTATTTCTTGAAAGGTTGCTGTCTACCGCTTGTACGGTCGAGGTGCTCGCAAGCCGACACAAGTTGCTCTTGCGTGTCATTCGGCTCGCCTTGCATGCTGGAGCAAGCAGTAGTCGGCTGGGCGACACGAGACTGTCGTCGCATCTCACATGACAAAGATTCTTGGCGAATGTCACAAGTTGTGCCAACGTAAATCGTTCTAATGATTCCTGGCCTTTGGTTGGCTGGTTGTAACTCACGCCTCGGGTGCAGAGCCGTTACCGGGGTTAGGCTTGGACAAGTACGACGTTGAGCTGTGGGGGCCGATCAAGAAGTACATAGCTGGGGGAAGCGATGAGATTAGATTGATTACATTAATTCTTGCCCCGAGAATGAATCGTCGCTGTTGCCAAGCCTGAATACTGCTAGTCGTGCTTTTGGTCTTGCGCTTTGGTCAGGGGTGGGGAAGCAGGAAGCAAACATTTGGGTTGTACGCAGACATCCTCGATGCAGGGCGGTCTCCTGAAAGCCCTTATTCGCAGCATTAACCAAAGAAATCAGGCCGAGAAACTTGTTGTTTCACAATGGCTTCTCATCCAGGCGAACATGAAGGATGTTTTTCATTGTTTGGCTTGGCTTGAAACAAGTTGCGTCTGTCTGCTTTGTAGTCTGGAAGCCACACTTCCACGGCGTATATCATTGGTTTGGTAGCTGAGGGGATGGATGGAAGGGAAATGCAGTCATCAGACGCAATATCCGAGGGTGCTTAGTGTTAAAATTCGCGTTGGGAGAAGGCGTTTGCAGAAGGGCAAAAACGGTTACCAGACTCAGTGGATCGCTACGTCACTGAATGGGGGGGGGGGGGGGGTGGACCGCTGTGGATTGGTAGAGACCACTGCAAGCAGACAAGCGAGGCGCTACCAAAAGCTACCTAGGTTGCTAGGCAGGTGCCTACTTTTAAATCAACCCTCAGCTGAAGAACCGCAAGAAAGCCACAAGTCATAGGCACCAGACGGATGACTGGTGAGGCTGATGCCTTGGAGACATTTGCCCTGGCGTTGCTCCAATCACGACGAGATACAGGTTTCAATGCTCAAATTGATAAGCCCCTATTTGATTCCGCGTTATGACTTTCACTATTGTTGGCGTCAGAGGCGTTCCCTCCCGTACATAACTAGGTAGCACACCTAGTCAGTCGCACCCGTTTATAAGCTGTATCAAAATTCCGGTCAACTTTTGATTCGTGCCGCCCAAAGCCAAGCCCCATTGCCTCGCCAAGTTACAGCTGGCTATCCCGCTGCCATCCTGCTACCACCTGCTGCCATCTCGCTCGCGTCTTTTCGCTTCATCTTGGACATGCCAACCCCTCGTTTGTCGGCTACATTCGCTTCTCTCTCTTGGTCCCTCATTCATCGCGCACCAACAACACACTGACATGCCCACCTTTTAAGCCTGTTGCCGACGTTGCAATAACCCTCCACACCCCACGTCTCATCGCATTCCCGCTGGCCCATCGTCTCCTTTTTTGTCCCGTCTTGGGTCCGTCAAACTCCCACGCGACTGCGCTGCCATTTTCTGCACCTGTGCCAGGCACCATACTCGACACAGACTTGACCTATACTGGACCATCACCCGTGCTGCTTCATCCCGCGACCGTTCTCGACGCTGCCTCATCTGCATCCCGGCCCAATCCTAGTCACGCCTGATCTTGTCTTTTGCGCTGGCAGGACTCTTGATGCCCCTTTCAGACCTCCACCAGACCTCCACGCTGGTCATCTGCATGCCGCCCCCCTGCCCTGGCTCCATCTGTACCAGTCCTGTCTCAATCTGCACCACTCCCGTCCTCCACACCAAGACTCAGGCAACATAATACAACCTGACGCACCTCGACATTTACGGCCGACAATATCAGCAGACTTTTTTTTTCGTCTTGCTGTTCAACTTTGCCTGCATTTTGCTTGGCTTGGTCTTGGCTGCACGCGCACACCACCGTCTCTGTACAGCCCACAACTCTCCGCCCGCCCGGCCCTCCCCGGTGATTTTTATACTTTAAGCGTCGAGCTCTCCTCCTAGTTCTAGACTGCAGGTGGGCGCTGCTGCAAGACAGCCCCGATCTCTCAAAATTCCTCCACACAAGGGCAGCCGTCTCCCTTCCAACATACCTTTGCGCACCATCCAGCCGCGCCAGAACGACGACGCTTCCCATCACGACCATCGCCACCACCCGCCGTCCCGACTCTCATCTTCCGCCGATACCCGCCCCGTCGCCGGCCACAACCGCCCCGCGTCCTCCGACTCCGAGTCGTCCTGGACCGACACCGGCGACATTGGCGATCGCTACGACGACCTCCACGACCCCGTCCGGCTCCAGCTCCCCGACGACATCGAGGCTGAGCTCCTCGCCGCCGTCCCCAAGCACCGTCAACGTCCCGATCGCGGCTCTAAAAAGGTCCGCATCCGCACGCCCTCGCCCCCCAGTCGACATCGCTCCTCATCCAGCCATTACCACCATATCGACAAGGACGCGATCCGCATCCCCAACCCGCCACCACGACGTCCCACTCGTGCCGAACGCTGCATCGGCTCCATTATGGCAGGCCGAACCGGTGGCCTTCACGGCCTAACAGGCAAGCCCCTCTTGTACGTCAAGTCTCATGCTCCCGACCTAGACGCCGATTACTGATGGGTTCTCCTCGATCTAGGTATTTTACTAGCATTTTCGTCTCACTTGGCGTATTCCTTTTTGGCTATGACCAAGGTGTCATGTCCGGCATCATCACGTACGTTCAATTACGAAGCGCTGTTCTCCCGTTGCCTTGGCTAATCAGTACCCAGCGGACCGTACTTTATCGACTACTTTGGACACCCCTCAAAAGCAGCCGTTGGAACCATGGTTGCCATTTTAGAGATTGGTGCCTTTGTATCCTCCTTGATTGTCGGCCGCCTCGGTGATGTCATTGGCCGCAGACAAACTATCCTTTATGGCTCCTGCATCTTCTTCGTTGGCGGTGCTCTCCAAACTCTAGCTACCACCATGGCCATGATGATGCTCGGTCGTATTATTGCCGGTTTTGGTGTTGGCATGCTCTCCACCATTGTACCCGTCTATCAATCCGAAATCTCGCCCCCACACAACCGAGGCAAGCTCGCCTGCATAGAATTCTCCGGCAATGTGATCGGCTACACCACCTCCGTCTGGGTTGATTATGGCTGTGGTTTCATCAAGAATAACTTGTCATGGCGTATCCCCTTGCTCATGCAGTGTGTCATGGGTGCCTTGCTCGCTCTCGGTAGTCTAATCATCGTGGAGTCTCCCAGGTCCGTCACTACGCTGCCGCTTGTATTTGCTCTGCTAAACCATTATAGATGGCTCCTAGATACCGATCAAGACGAAGAAGGCATGGTTGTTATTGCCAATCTGTACGGTGCTGGCGATGTTCACAACCCCAAGGCCCGCGACGAATACAAAGAAATTAAAATGTCCGTCTTGTTGCAACGCCAAGAGGGCGAGCGCACCTATGCCGACATGTTTCGACGATACCGTACTCGCGTACTTATTGCCATGTCCGCGCAAGCTCTCGCGCAGCTCAATGGCATCAATGTCATTTCATACTACGCACCCTATGTGTTTGAATCGGCTGGGTGGGTCGGTCACGATGCTATCCTCATGACAGGTCTCAACGGCATCACCTACTTTCTCTCGACCGTTCCTCCTTGGTATTTGGTTGACCGATGGGGTCGCCGCCCAATCCTACTCTCTGGTGCCGTCATGATGACTATTTCTCTCTCGCTCATTTCCTACTTTATCTTCTTGGACGTCAAGCGCACCCCTCAGATGGTCGTTTTGTTTGTCATGATCTACAACGCCGCTTTCGGCTACTCGTGGGGTCCGATTCCCTGGCTGTATCCTCCCGAGATTCTTCCTCTCAGTATTCGATCAAAAGGTGCCAGTCTATCTACCGCTACCAACTGGGCATTCAACTGGCTGGTTGGTGAGATGACTCCTATATTGCAAGAATGGATCAAGTGGCGCTTATACCTTATTCACGCACTCTTTTGCGTCATCAGTTTTGTCGTTGGTGAGTCCAATCATGTCGCTTTTGATAATCAATACTTACCGTCGCAGTCTACTTTACATACCCAGAGACTTGCGGAGTTCGCCTTGAAGAAATGGATTCCATCTTTGGGGACGCTAGTACCGTCCATGGCGCCTCTTCTGTTCAAGACGAGTCGGCTTCTCTGATGCGCGCTGGCTCTCCATTCAGTGGCGCAGACCTGCCCACATTGGTCATTGACGAGGATGATGACGAAAACATAAAATCACAGATGCAAACTAGCGGTGGCGAGGACCGCAGTGTTGGCGCCTGGCTCAACAGAGTAGTACGCGGCCGTTCAGAAAGCCGTGGCAGCGGCCGTAGTGGTCTCAGCAGTCATGGACGCTATACACCAATTGGACAGCAAGACAACAGCGCTAGAAGCGGTAGCGGAAACAGGAACTAGAACGTAAATGCTTGCATTTTGATTTCGAGCAAAACAGCCTTGCATCTAGATGGAGCGTTGTCACCCGGAATTAATGGCAGCTCCAGCAAGCGCAGCTTGGGTTGGGCAAGCACCGGTACGCTGCTATTACACAGGACGGGACACGCTAGGTTACACGACCTTGCGGTGGCTTGATTCTATGGAAACAAAAATTTAGAATGGGACTTACTTGACAACCGACTTTGTCGCTACCTTGATTTATAAGACACATCATCCGGGAATACTTTAAGCTCGTACGTGCCTGTAGTTAGGAGCAGATGCAGATCTGCAAGTGACGACGAGTCGTAAAACAAGGCCCACACTGCGCTCTGCCCACCATGAGCGGACCCTTTTGCTGAAGCTTCCACTCTCCCAACTCTGTATTCTCGAAGCAGCCTCGACGAGAAAGTCCACATGGCTAGCCGTCAAGAGGTCCTGCATGCGTACAGGCACCTGTACAAGGGCCTCTTGCGCGGCGTGCATTACTCGATCCCCGCGCGCTACATTGTGCGCGACCAGATCCGGCTCGCCTTTCGTGAACGTCCGGCAGCGACTGCGCCTGCGACTGCGACTGTACCGACGACTACAACTACGACGACGACGGCGGCGGCTGGCTGGGACCCGGAAGCCATCAAGCGAACGCTCTGGTTTTTGTCGGCCGCAGGACGGCAGAGCGGCCTGGAGCACCGTATCCTGCGGAACCTGGTGCGGATGCACAGCGAGCGGGCGGCGCCGACGAGGCGCTGGCGAAGGGCGGTGATATGGAACAAGAAGCCGTAAGTTGAATGGCACCTGAACCTAGGTGTGAGTAAAGTGAGGAAGAGGGAATAGCTAACGGGGTGTGTGGGGGATTTTAGGGCCAACGAAAGGGAGCGACACGAACATGCGTTTGAGCACTACGATGCGACGGTGGCGATGCTGAATAAATCAATGGGGCTGTGTCTGCGGTGATTTGCAGCAGATGAGTAGTCTATGCACTTGTACAATACATTGGCGTTTGGGATGAGAATACTTCGGTTGGGGTGCAATAGAAAGACGGTCGAATGCCAAAGGCTTGCATATCGAAATTCTTGTACTATACAGGTAAACAGGAGCGAGTTACCCTCTGTTTATGTTTCTGAGCTATTGAAAAACACTATGATACATTGCGCATGATGCTGAGCTACAATAATACATACAAAAGACTCTTATCTCTGGAAATTCTTTGTTTCAGCGGTCCGGCTCGAGGGACGTAGACGCCTAGCTCGAAGCGGCCGTCGAAAGGTCCACGCCCAGCTCCTCGAGGATGAGGTCATTCAGACTGCTGCCGTCGCGGCCGTAGATCCAGCGCCCCTGACCGGTACCCTCCTTGTCGGTCTGGCCTTCACCGACGACGCACCAGTCGTATCGCTTTGGCCCGGAGAGGGGCGACGACAGCCATATTTGCTTGTTGGGAGGCTGCTTGTTGATGACGTACGTGCCCTTGTCCGAGTGTGTGATTGTCATGACGCCAGACTATTTTTTTTGGCAGAAAGCAGCAGTGTTAGCGATGAACAGGGTGTGTATTGTATTTTTGGGGCGCACAAGGGACGGGAAGGGGGGGAACAAACAGCAAACTCAATGTCAATGTCTTCCCGCGTGTCCTGCAGCGCTTCAAACTGCGTGAGCACGCCCTCGAGATACGCGTCGGCAATGTCGTGGTATTCGGCTTCGGTGAGCTCAACGGCGCCGTACGTGGGCTCGGGCGAGGCGAGCGGCTCCTTGACCGGCGAATCGGTGTCGGGCATGATGCCCTTGCGGAGCGGCGTCGACAGCGAGAGGTGTCGCCGGCCGCTGGGTACTTGGCGCAAGGCGGCGGCGCTGTGGGAGAGGAGAGCCGGGAGAGGGCGGAGAGCGGCACGGGACGAAGGCGCGGCGGACCTTGAGAGAGTTTGTGAGGCGAGCCGCGAGGCTTGGACGAGGCTGGAGCGAGACATGACGAAACGGCTCTGGTGAAAGGCGTGAGGAAGCTGCAAGCTGTCGGGGGAGCCTTTGCAACAAGGATATACGGTTCTCCTTGTGGACAATTCGATGAGGGGCTGGAGGAATTGTTTGCTGTCTCAGTTGATAGGTCGTACGAAAAGCGATGCGTTTTCTTTCCCCCGCGTTGAAAGAAAAAAGATGGCGAGAGCTTGCAGAAGCTATACAGACATGTTGGCCAATTGCGGAGCGCATATTGGCAGAGCTGCGCGCAGCTCGTCATGTGCGGGTCTTGGCCTTTCGTGCTCACCCCACCACGGCAAGGCGGCAAAGCGTTGAAGAGACGGGGTTGCAAAGACAACATGAACATGACCGGGCTGGACCTTGAACCATGATTAATGCGTTTCTGGTCTTTAACGGCCAGGGCCAGCCGCGGCTGACCAAGTTTTACACACAGCTGGTGAGCCCGTGCCCTGCGCTGCACCAGAAGCGCAAAGCCACGATGGGGTAGTCGGGAAAGAAAAGAACTAACTCTCCATCTCTCTCTCAGGACACGAGCATCCAGCAGCGCCTCATTTCCGAAATATTCACCCTTGTGTCGAACCGCCCCGCGAGCTCCTGCAACTTCCTCCCGCTTCCGCCCCTCCTCGCTGCCTCGGGCACAGCGCACGGCTCGTCCGAGGAGCAAAACGACGTGCCGTCGCTCGTCACCTACCGCAACTACGCGACGCTCTACTTCATCGTCATCTCGACGTCGACCGAGTCGCCGCTGGCCCTCATCGACCTGATCCAGGTCTACGTCGAGGCGCTCGACAAGCTCTTTGAGAATGTCTGCGAGCTGGACCTCATCTTCAACTTTGAGACGCTGCACGCCGCGCTGTCCGAGATGATTATTGGCGGCGTCGTCATCGAGACGAGCTTGGATCGCATCGTCGCAGGGGTCAGGGCGCAGGGTACGGTGGCCAAGAGGCCGGTCAATGAGGGACGGAGCGCCGGGTTGGGATCGGGGCTGAGTATTGGCATGGGCGGCAACTTTGGCTGGGCTGGGCGATGAACATGATGCGTGAAGCAAAAAGCACACTCACGAGACTGCATTGGCACTTTGTTTTCTTTTTTTTCTACTGCGATAGATGCATAAAAAGGGACGTTATTTTGACAGGGTATATACAGGTAATAATTGGTACAAGATGCTTCGTCGGTGTATCATACAAGTTACTTTGAGGGTGACTCTTTGTTGTCAGTGCTGTCGCTGCCGGCGCTGCTGGCGCTGGCTGGCTCAACCATGTCTTTGCGCCGCTCGTAGCGCTTGTCAGGATCCATGACGCCAAAAAGGTATTGCGCGCGACGACGAATCTAGGTATCAAGTTAGCGAGGAACTTCTAATCTCACCAAAGTCAACGAAATACATACCTCTTCAGATGGCTTATACTTTTGCCCCCACCACTCAAATTCGGAGTAAAACAAGAGCCACACCAAAGCAGCTACGAGTTAAAAAAAAAAAAAAAAAGAGTCAGCGATGCTTTCGTTACATGGCTTCACGCCGCAGTCGGAGCGCAACTACTCACCCGCAATGGTCGCCAGCTGCGCGTACTTGACGCCCTTTTCCCATCGCGGCCTTTGACTAGCCAGAGTGACGCGGCGCTTGTACTTTTTCTCAAAGCGCAGCTGCTGCTGCTGGCTCAGCTCCTTAAAGTTGGGCGGCCAGACTTTTTTGGTCCGGACAAAGTTGCTGGCCTGCGCCGACTTGACGGCCGCTTTCTTGGCGGGCTGCGCCATTCTCCGTATTAGCGTTGGAATCATTGTATGTGTCGTAGCTCAGGATGTGAATTGTGCTGCGAATGATGTCTGCATAGCAAGCGATAAACTGCGATGATGTCGTTTCTCGAATGACGGCGCCGAGCTCCACAGGCCGGTCAAAAAGCTACGCCACATCAACGGCACCGCCACAGATTTTCAGCCACCACAGCGCCCTGGCGTTTGCCCCGCGTCTTTGGTTTTCACCCCTCCAAAAAGTCGAGGAAAGTATCCCACCTTGTTGAGTCACAATCTTGCAAGGAGCTTCGCACCCACTGCCTGATTTTACAAAGCACTGGGAGCAGTGCTGACGGAGCAAGTCACAGTAGACCGGTTCGAGAAGCATCCTATAGATATTTGCGCCGAGGACTGCTGCTCTGCACTTCTCTGGCCAGGCAGTCACCAAAAGTGTTTTTTTTTCGCATTTGACAGATAATCGCAATCATGGCCGACGCTACCAAGGCCATGGACGGTCTTGCAATTTCCAAGACCAAGGAGCTGAAAGGCGTACGTATATTCAATATCGGAGACAAATCAACGGGTGACAAGTTTCTAACACGGCGCAGACTGAGAAGAGAGATTCGTTAATCGCCATTGAGAAGAAGTACCAGAAGAAATGGGCCGAAGACGGCGTCTTTCACACCGATGCGCCGACCATTGAGGAGATTCCCCTCCATTCCATTTCCGCGAGCGAGTTGCGAGAGAAATACCCCAAGTTCTTTGGCACGTCAGCCTACCCCTACATGAACGGTACCATGCACGCCGGCCACGCCCTCACCGTGTCCAAGGTCGAGTTCTCGGCCGGCGTCGCCCGCATGCAGGGCAAGCGCGCTCTCTTCCCCATGGGCTTCCACTGCACCGGAATGCCCATCAAGGCGTGCGCCGATAAGCTTGTCAAGGAGATTGGGATGTTTGGCGACGACTTCTCCGGCTACAACGCCGAGGAGGAGGAGGCTGTGGAGGAGGCTCCCAAGCCCGCCGTCAAGCAGGTCAAGGAGGACCCGACCAAGTTCAAGGCCACCAAGGGCAAGGCCAACGCCAAGACTATCAAGGCCAAATACCAGTTCCAGATTATGAAGTCCATTGGCGTGCCTCTCAACGAAATCCACAAGTTTGCCGACTCGAGCCACTGGCTTCAATACTTTCCTCCCCTCACCATCCGCGACTTGACAGATTTCGGCTGCCGCATCGACTGGCGCAGAACCTTTGTCACCACCGACGCCAATCCCTACTACGATGCCTTTGTCCGTTGGCAGATGAACCGCCTCCGCGAGCTCAAGAAAATCAAGTTCGGCAAGCGCTACACCATCTATTCCATCAAGGATCGCCAGCCCTGCATGGACCACGACCGCGCCGAAGGCGAGGCTGTCAACCCTCAAGAATATACCGCCCTGAAACTCAAGGTCCTTGAGTGGTGCGAAAAGGCTGCCGAAAAAGTCAAGGCCGGCCTTCCCGCCAATGCCAATGTCTTCCTCGTACCAGCCACACTACGACCCGAAACCATGTACGGTCAGACGTGCTGCTTCGTCGGCCCTAAGATCAACTATGGCATCTTCAAGGTTAACGAGACAGACTACTACCTGATCACCGAGCGTGCTGCCCGCAACATGGCCTACCAGGGTGTTTTTGCCCAGGAGGGTGTCATTGAAAAGGTCATGGACATTGTTGGAACTGACCTTGTCGGTACCCTCGTGGATGCCCCTCTCTCTCTGCACAAGGAAGGCGTCCGCGTCCTACCTATGGACACCGTTCTCCCAACCAAGGGTACCGGTGTCGTCACTTCGGTCCCATCTGACAGCCCTGACGATTTTGCCACGGTCACTGACCTGGCTAAGAAGGCCGACTACTATGGCATTAAGAAGGAGTGGGCCGAGCTCGAAATCTTCCCCATTATCGAGACCCCCTCCTACGGCGATCTATGCGCCCCCTTCCTCGTCAAGAAGCTCAAGATTGCGTCCCCCAAGGACACTAAGCAGCTTGAGGAGGCCAAGGAGCTCGCGTACAAGGAGGGCTTTTATCAAGGTATCATCAAGGTTGGCGCTTACAAGGGCGAAAAGGTCGAAGTCGCCAAGCCCAAAGTCCGCGCCGACATGATTGCGGCCGGTCAGGCCTTTGCCTACTCTGAGCCCGAGCGCAAGGTTGTTTCCCGTTCTGGCGACGACTGCATTGTCTCCCTTATGGACCAGTGGTACCTCGACTATGGTGAGGAGGAGTGGAAGAAGACTGCTCTCGGATGGGTCGAAAACGGATTGGACTCCTTCTCGGCTGATACTAAAAATGCTCTTGAGGGCGTCCTCGACTGGCTCAACCAGTGGGCTTGCGCTCGCTCATTTGGTCTTGGCACCAAGCTCCCATGGGATCCTCAATTCATTGTTGAGAGTTTGAGTGACTCGACCATTTACATGTCGTACTATACTGTTGCCCACTTTTTGCACAGCGATCTATTCGGTAGCAAGCCTGGCAAGTTTAGCATTTCCGCTGACCAGATGACCGACAATGTCTGGGACTACATTTTCTGCCGCCGCGACTTTGATGAGTCTGTCCTCAAGGAGTCCAACATTTCGCGAGAAAACCTCGAGAGTATGCGTCGTGAGTTTGAGTACTTTTACCCTCTCGACATGCGTGTCTCTGGCAAGGATCTCCTGCCCAACCACTTGACCTTTTTCCTCTACATCCACTTGGCCATGTTCCCACAGGAGTACTGGCCCCGTGGTATCCGTGTCAACGGCCACTTGACTTTGAACGGTGAAAAGATGTCCAAGAGTACCGGCAACTTCCTTACTCTTCAGGAGCTTGTGGCCAAGTTTGGCAGTGACGCTTCGCGTATTGCCATGGCTGACGCTGGTGACGGTATTGGTGACTGCAATTTGGAAGAGGACGTCGCAGACAACAACATTTTGCGTCTGTACAACCTCCGTGAGTGGTGCGAGGAGATGAGCAACGCCGAGGCTAGCCTTCGTGAAGGTGAAGTCAATGACTTTCAGGATGCTCTCTTCATTAACGACATGAATGCCCTTGCACGCGAGTCGGTTCAGCAGTACAAGGATACCAACTTCAAGCTTGCCCTCAAGGCTGGCCTGTACGAGCTGGTGACGGCGAGAGATTTCTATCGCGAGGCCTGTGCGGCCGCCAACATCAAAATGCACAAGCAGACGGTCCTGCGCTACATCGAGCTGCAGGCTCTTCTTCTGGCCGTCGTCGCACCCCACTGGGCTGAGTACATTTGGCTCGAGGTGCTCAAAAAGGAAAAGTCTATCCAGTACGCGACATTCCCAGAGGTGGACGAAGTTGACGCTGCGCTGTCGGCCAAGCGCGAGTACGTACGCAACACGGCATCCAACGTCAACTCGGCCGAGGGCCAGCAGCTGAAGAAGAAGCTGAAGGGGAAGGAGACGGCGTTTGATCCCAAGAAGCCCAAGAAGCTGACTATTTACTTGTCGGAGACGTTCCCGGCATGGCAAGCCAAGTACCTGGAGCTTCTCAAGGAGATGTGGGACCCGGCGACAAACTCGGTCAACGACAAGGAGCTGAATGGGAAAATTGGCAAGATGGGCGAGATGAAGAAGGCAATGCCGTTTGTGCAGGCGCTGAAGCGTCGCCTGACGATGGGCGAGCCCGCGTCGGTGGTGCTGGAGCAGAAGCTCGCGTTTGACGAGAAGAAGACGCTCCTGCAAATGGTGCCGAGCTTGAAGCGCGGTGCCGTCTTGGCGGATCTTGAGCTCTTGGCGGTGGAAGAGGGCGGCAAGAAGGGAACGAGCCTCTTGGACGGCAAGACGGTGGAGATTAACAATGTGCTCGCCGAAAATGCGGTGCCTGGCAACCCTACGTTTGTGTTTGAGAATATCGAGGCGTAGATGTTCAAAAAGACGAACCTATGCTACATGAAGAAAACTTTGTCATGTTGAATTTGAGGGTCTGCAGTGATCTGCATAGACTATATATGAAAGAATCAAGAAATGAAATAAACAAATAAAGACGTTTCATAATAATGATGGGATGACGTCTTTACTGTGTCACTGCCTGCAGACTTGCGAGAAGCCAGCAAGAGTTATCTAGGACACCACCATTGAGGTGATGGTATTTATCACATGTAACAATGGCCAGAGTCGAGAGTATGCAAAACTGTCAATTCAGAAAGATTGGCCTGTGCATCAATATACCAGGAGGCTGACGAGAGTGATAGCCCTTTTTTTCCCGAGGCGATGCCAAGCCGGTAAGGAAGAACGCACGATGAACCAGGTACCGATGGCGATGGCTCTTGGCTGTGTCGACTTCTGAAAGCGATACTCGGGTTGGCATCGGTCTAGATCATTTCTGCTAATTTACCACCAACGTTTAAAATTGCAGAAGACAGGGGAGCCTGGCGCGGTGAACAAGGTCAGCTGGGTGGGTACCGACCAAGGCAAGGGTTGTCAGCGGAAGAAGCATGGGGCGGAGATGAGCAAATGTTCAAGCCAGGCATTCTCGCACCCACGTGGGGGTTGTTTGAGGTGAGGCTCTTGGGCGTGCGCGCAAAAGCATTTGGCCGGTTCTCGATCGTGCTATTGGCAAACGAATGTGTTTGATTATGAACGAGGTGGTCTGACCTGGCATTACCGCTAGCGGATCGTTATATCGGTAAAAGAGGTAACCAAGTTACAGAGTAACTGACTGGTATTATGTGGCTGTGAGGAACAGCGGAGTTCGCTCCTACCAGGTCAGGCAAGCTCGTCTAACTTCTTTTACAACGTTGAGACTTGTGATTGTGGTAGTATTTAATGGGAACCTGCGGAGCTGACTCGTACATGCAAAAGAGAAACAGTTGTGTATCAGGCTGGGGTAAAAAGAAATGCGGCGAGCGAGCCTTGCTTGAAAGGAGTGCGGCATCTCGATGGCGAACGGATTGCGTGCCTGTTGGTTATAACACAATGCATGTTATTGTGCAGTTTGCGTGTTGTAGGTGTGAGCATGTATTACTTGTAAGGCGTGTCCAAGTTGAGAATGGTGTTTTGAAAAACTACAGAGTTTCAAGAGACAATTAAAAACACAAATCGGGAGCAAGACCAAAAAAAGTAATTGGCAGAAAGTTGTCGGAGAATTTTTTTTTTTTTGTCTTTGCAAGACTTGGCGCAGGGTAAAAATAAAAATCAGTGTGTCCCGTATTACATGCACCATGGCATTGTCGCGACACGTTGGAAGCTGGTAAAGTGGCGCCAGTGGGTATGCGAGAATAACAAGCGGGCCGACTGACTGTGGAAAGAGGACGAGGCTGAGGGAGGTGGCTGTAATTAGTTAGGGCCGAACGACCTCGTATCTGCACCACGGGCTGCATACTGCGAGGCCATGTCGGTATGTCGTGGTTACAGTCAGATGAAGAGAGAAACCTGACGTTAACTTGGGCTGTCGACTTGTGTACGACGCAAGATAGTCTTGTCAAGTGCCGAGTTGTGTCATGACAGAGGTAGTAGGTCTCACTGAGGTGGTCTTCTGGGTGGGTGTTACTTGTAACGTGCCATCCCCCCTCCCGCCCTCTCTGTCGATGGAGTCTTTTTCTCATCTTCCCTTTTCTCCCGCGAAAAAAAAAGAAAAGAAAAAGCTGGACAGAGAAGCGATGACGCCGCTGAGAGCTTGATGATAAGCCATTCTGCAGAATGAAGACATGTAGCAAGATACGAAGTACAAGCCAATCATTTGAGGCTTTGGCTGCACCACATTGCTCAGCCTGCATATTTTGGGATGTAGCGTGTGTTTGATGCAGGATTACTCCGTACTGGCTGATGGTTCAACGCAGAGGCAATGACGCAAGATGGCGTCTGCTTTTTGCGTCGAGTCATTTTTTTTCCAACGCGTGGAGTTGTTCTTAGAAAAGATTGCGGTGCAGGTGGGTTTCTTTGGAGGGGCGGGGGAGGGAGGACTCCTGTTCTTTTTACGATCAACAAAGTACTAATCTAACAAAGAAGCAAAAGCCTCTGTAACCTGGCATGTGACGTCTCGGTTGATTTTATTTTTATCTTTACGACTTCATAGACAGTGGCGTGAGGCTCTGCGGCAGTGGGCTTTTATGGGTAGTAACTATTCAGGCATACAAAGTACGGATTACGCATGCGCGGGTGATAAGGTTGGTGATGATCGATGGTGGCTAGGCGCCAAGACCGATTGGCCGTTTAAAGTTTTACTTGGGTGAACGGCAAGTTGGTTCGGGTAGGAATCTGATGGCCGTGTGGTTGTGTGGTGATTTGCTCGAAACTGAAGAGGCCTCTTAATAAAACAACAACAGGTGGCAGATTATCAGGGATACGCGAGGCTTAGTACTGCATGATGATGCTGACACAATGATTTGCACAACTCGGTACACGTGGCCACGATGAGGCACGAGGTCCACTGGTTCGCGGCCGATTACACAATGTCCCTTGGCTCTTACGCGACAGGTTTACAACTGGCAAGACTTGTTTCAATCATGTTAGACACGGCTTTGCCTGAAATGGACTACCGGATGTTGGCTGTCTTTGTCTGTTTTTTTCCCGAGTTTGCGACTTTGCAATTTATAGCAGCCCACACCATCGACGATCATCATGGCCATTTCGCCAGTGGAAACAGGAGATTTATTTCATTTTAAAAGCCGTGCGTGTGTGGAGGGGACTTGTCGCAGCTATGAGTGGTCGTGTGGCCGGGCCAAGAAAGGACGACAGCGGGATAATAAATGCGTTAATAAAGCGAAAAGAAGAGCCCTTGATTGGGCCTGCATGTACGTCGGCCGCTCGATACCAGTAAACCATCCCATGTATCCGTATTCACTACCAGTACCTAATCATAACCATAATCTGCACGACGTCCGCTATTACCGTTTGAACTTAGCAGTGATTCGTAAATACCTAGGTACAGTACGCAACAGTGAATTTTAGGGGGGCTGCGCCTTGCCTGTTTTGAAAAGCAACGCAAGAAAAGTTTCTTTCACTCCACTATCAGTACACGCCAGAGGTTCCCTGTTTGTCGAAAAGCCCCTGTTGAAGTAATCGACCAAAACGGATAGAGCTAGCAGCCTGTTAATCTGTATTACCTAGGGCGTGCCTGACCGGATAACAAGTATCTTTGTGGCTGACCATCACCAAAAAGGTACCTCGAGCGAAGCGAGCTAAAATAAAAATTACTGGTAAACGGTGCCGCAATCTCTTGCAAGCAGCGTCGCCTTGTCGTCACTTCTCTTATTTTCTAGCTTTTGCTCTCAATGCTCTCAACGCATGACCTTTGTACTGTTTCATCCTTCTTCTCCTTCAGACCTCCTCCAGTTCATCATTTAGAAACAACCACCTTCCTGTTGCATGATCTTCCACAGGTGCACGAAAATCCTTGCTTGTACCAGCAGCGGCGCCACACTCAACGTCCCCCTGCTGCGCCCACATCCACACTGCATCCACCCCAAATCCACATCGACACTCCCTCTCAGGCTCTCACGCCAGGATACGCCCCCAAGCCCCCCAATGCTCTCTACTCCTTGCTTTCTCTCTCACACGTCTCCAACTCTTTCTCTCTTCTTACCACCACGCTCGCTTCTGCCGTCTCCTGGCCCCAATTCCTTCAGATCCCATATATCCATTCCCAATCTCCTCCATTCTTTTCATCCCTTCCTCTTCCTGCTCCTCTCGACCTCTCTCAATCCACCCTCAAACGCGCACCACTCTTCAGAAGCATCTTCACCGAACTGCTTACATCACTCGCTTTACTCTTGTTGTCGCAAATACAGTCTTCGTTTACCAACCAACAATCAACTCTTACTCGTGCGACTCCAGCCAAGACTTTTCCGATTCGCCGCCTCGACCCTGGGACTGCCTAGTCAGAGATCCCATCCGCTGCCAAGACCTGTGGGGGGCCAATTCGATCTTGTTCTGCCTCTTGCATCTTGAATCAGCTTAGCCTTGCTAGCTTTCTCTCTCTCTCAACCTGCATTCAATCACATTCTTGGCCATGCGCGTCTTACAAATATTTGTTACTGCCAGCTTGGCAATGGCCGCCAACGCTGGCATCCCCGGCGACAGCGACGGCGCCTTACCTTCCTCCGTCAGCCTCGCCTCCTCGCCATCTTCGCTACCCGTTGCTACCGCCATCGGCGTTGCTGCCAGCTCAGAGCCCATTTCGATCAACAATGCCACCGTTGTCGCCTCGTCGCTTTCGCCCCAGACGGCAGCCGGCCCGGCCAACTCCTCCACGCACACTACAGGTATGTTTCTGCGCCCCAGATCCTCTGACCAAGACATGGCGGCCAACAATTCTCCAGCGCAATCAACAGCCACACCCGAGACGACTTCCCACGCCAATGCTACCAGCTCCAAATCCGCCGATGCCACGGGTGGTGCCATTCTGCCGCAAATGCAGGGTTCCATGGTCGGTCTATTGGGCTTTTGCATCATGAGCCTCATGCTGCTCTAGCTGCTCTCCGTCTACCACCGCTCGAGGCTCATGGCCGGCCATGAGACGTTTGGTGCTCATTCTTGCTGCCAATCATTCAAATCAACACCCAAAAACTACGAATAATGACCCCGTTCTACGGGCACACCGATCCGTATATATAATGCCCATTCACTTTCGACTATACACGACACTACGGCGCACGCGTTAATACCTTTTTACCTTGGCGTTTTTTTGCACGAGTGTCACCTACCTTGTTCGGACTCATTCACCGTCCCTGGCAGGACGTTGGCGTTTGAAGATACCACCAAGCCTTGCTTATTTTTTTTTCACACAAGTCTTTTAGACTCTTGCTCTTTTGCATTTTTATTTCACACGGCATAAACAGATACACAACTTGCATTTCGAGGGGTTTTTTTCGACATACATGTAGGACCATGTATTGCAAGGGAAAATGAGGATGATTTAAAAGTTGTATAGTTGCGATATCTCTTCAGCCTTTGTGGCAAAGGATATGTTGCTCGATTATTTTTTTCAGTCGAGATGTCGGATCAGACAGAGGCTGTCTTGTTTTGATCACTACGTTCCCCGGATAGACTGCGACGGCATTGCCTCGCTACTGATTTTGTTGGCATTTACTTGTCAGGGTCAGATAACATAGAAGAATGAAGGATCACAAAGTATGAGAGATGTACTGTCCGAATCGTGATTGTGCATGACCAATGAATCTATATTCCCTGGAAAAAGGTTAAAAGTTGAAAACTTACTTCAACATTAAATACTAATTGAAACCCTGAAAATTGAGCTTTTGGTATCCCAACTCCAATGCTATGAGCCCGTGTCGCTAGGCATAATGATATCCAAATTTGCCTTATCCAAATTCCCCTCACCGAACATATATACACAAAGAGCCACTGAGAGACGCAAGGTTAGTGAATGTTCTCCCCTCCTCTCCTCCCATTTTTTTCTTGTTGTCGTTTGAAATGCACCCAGTCCCCCTTCTGTCATGTCGCATCTCGCCATCGTGAACTCGTTTCATTCGTGAGATTTCTGTACGTCTGTCCTCCTAGTATTGAGTAACGTTGGAGCGACTTGGCAAGCCGGCGCAATTTACGCGGCAATGGGAATCGGATTCCCTGGCCCTGGTGGCGGCGGCTGGGGCAAATCGTCCTAGAATTCCAAGTAGTTAGCCAACCTGGACGCCTAGTCTGGCGCAGAAAAAAGAAAGAAGTAAAGAAAGAAAAGAGACAAGACTTACCAGGTCGAAAATGACGCGAATCATGAGGCTGCAGCTCGGACATACGGCAACGTCTTGCTCGTCGCGCAGGTCGTCGAGCGCAATCTGAAAGCGGTCGCCGCACGGGCACGGATAAAAGTACGTCTGCAGGGCGTCGTCGAATGTCATGTCTTCGATTTCGATTTCGTCGTAGATGGACAGGTTGTCGTCGTCGGACATGGTGGTGCCTTTGTGCGTGACGGAAATATGAATGGGAGACTTTGTTTGTCAGATAGAAAGGTATAGAGAACTTGGCGGAGGGTAAAAATAAAGTTGGAGGGGTAAATAAATGTTCGACTGTCAAATTCGCATCTTGAAGAGTTGAGTCGCCACACCTGCGCACAGCCTCCGGGGATGAGCCGGCTCCACTGGTGCCTTGGCTTGCCGTCTATCGCGTTGAACCCTTTCGAAAACTTGCCCCTCTATTAAATATAGATCTTTTTCTTGTCTCGGAACTTTGTTTCTTTTGGTTTGCCTTGTTTCCATGCCGGCGCGTTTGCTTGCTAGATACCTTACTCGATCCTTTCCGATTTCACGACCATCTTTGCGCAGCATGGCGACCATGGCTACCGGTACGTTTTTTTGTCTTTTTTAGTCGTTTACATTCCTCTGCCCCGCTGGCCCCTTAAGCAAACACCCCGCCATCTCGTCACCGCTACGGCCTAAGCAAAAAAAGATAGCATTCGGTCATCCTTCTTCTTTCTTCTTCTGTGGGATGGTCTTGCTGACCCAACCGTGATGCTGGAAATACAGACCGCCGCCCTGTCGTCATCTCCGGCCCCTCGGGCGTCGGCAAGGGTACCCTCTATAACCTCCTATTTGAACGCCACCCCGACGCCTTTTGCCTCTCCGTCTCGCACACCACCCGCGCCCCGCGGTCCGGTGAGGAGGACGGAAAGCACTACCACTTTGTGCAGATGCAGGATTTTGAGGACCTCATTGCCAAGGACGGCTTTGTCGAGCACGCCCAGTTTGGCGGCAACCGCTACGGCACCAGCAAGATGACGATTGAGGAGCAGACGAAAAAGGGTCGCATCGTGCTCTTGGATATTGAAATGGAGGTGCGCAGTCCCCGGCAGGATGGTCCTGCTTCCATCTCCTACTTGACCTCAGTCCTAGGTCCACACGAGAAGAACAATGACTAACATTTTTCCAGGGCGTCAAGCAAATCAAAAACTCGAGCATCGAGGCCCGCTACGTCTTCATCGCGCCGCCGTCGCTCGAGCAGCTCGAGCAGCGCCTGCGCGGCCGCGGCACCGAGACCGAGGCCAGCGTCCAGAAGCGCCTGGCGCAGGCCAACAAGGAGCTCGAGTACTCGCAGACCCCCGGCGTCCACGACCTCATCATTGTCAACGACGACCTCGAGACGGCTTACAAGGAGCTCGATGCCTTCATCTACAAGCCCATCGAGCAATAGCACTGTGTGAGAAAAGGGGTGCGAACGAAGCGAGCAAATTAGAAAGCATAGACCGTTGAACAAATAAACATACACTGGCGAGCTGGCCTGCGCATTGCATTCGCGCTTCTTTCGATTCTCATACTTTCTACGTCATCTGTGGTACAGGATTTAAAGACATGGATGACTGGCTCTCATACTCGTGGGGTATCTTTACAGTTGATCTCGTCGTTCTGGTAGTTATGATTACAGCCAACTGCCTATGATTGTGGCGCGTGGTGTGGCGGAAACTCAAAATCACATGCTGGTTGCAGCACAAACCTGTGGCGCAGACGTTGGTGACAAGCACTAGTCTTCCCCAGTTTCTCGAACAGGCCGAGGGATCCAACCACATGCATTCTATCGTCAGCAGTCCCTCGTGCTCACTCTCTTCTTTCATCCAATTTTGCCCTGTCATCATTTCTATAGAAATCCGAGAAAATTTTGACTTTCGGCCTGCCAATTGCATCTAGATTTCCTCCGCATCTGCTGTAATCGCTTACCTCCGCACGGCGCGCGTATAGATCGGCCGAGGCCCCCCCATATCAGCAAGGGAACGCCAACTCCACCTGGGGTAGACCGTCCAGCAACTACCTTTTCCTGCCTCCTTCACCAGCAGTCATCACAATCAGCTTGTTGATCTCGCCAGTCTCTGCGTCTTCTCTCCTCCCCCCGCGGACGGCTTTCTGCGCGCCATGGCTACGCAGTCCAAGTTTGCCCTCCCGGGCAACGTCAACGTCCGCGGCCTCGCCACGCAGCTCGTCAAGCTCTACGTCGCCAACCGCTCACGCATCTCCCGCGCCGTCTGGATTACCCTCTTTGTCGCGCTCATCCACCGCATCCGCAACGCCATTGCCGAGCAAAAGGCCGCCTCGGCCCGGGAATCCGCCCAACGCTCGTCGCGCCGCGCCACCGTCTCCCAGCCCGGCGATGCCAGCGGGCCCGATGCGCCGCGCAAAAAGGTGGCGCTGGACCGCGAGTTTTTTCGCTCTCTCATGCGCCTGATTCGCATCGTCGTGCCGGGCTGGCGCAGCAAGGAGGCGCGGCTGCTCATCAGCCACAGCTTCTTCCTGGTGCTGCGCACGCTGATTAGTCTCAAGGTCGCGGAGATGGACGGTGCGATTGTCAAGGCGCTTGTGCGCGGCAACGGCAAGGAGTTCATCTCGAGGATTGTGTGGTGGATGATTATTGCGGTTCCTGCTACATTTACGAATTCCATGGTGAGCATATCATGGTCATGACGCTGAATGGCCACTCGGCGCTAACTCGGCCAGCTTTCCTATCACCAAGCGGAGTTGTCGCTTAATTATAGAACACGACTCACTCAGTTCATTCACGACAAATACCTCTCCAACCTCACCTTTTACGGCATTTCAGCTCTCGATGACCGTATAAAGAATCCCGATCAGCTTATTGCAGTCGACGTGTCCAAATTCTCCAACAGCTTGGCTGAGCTCTACAGCAACCTGGCCAAGCCTATACTTGACATGGTAAGCCTTCTTAGCCTATAAAGCAACTTCTTCTTCACAGCTGCTAACCTCGCCAGACCATCTACACCTACTCCCTCTCCAAGAGCGTTGGCGGTGAGGGCGTCGTCTTCATGTCACTCCTCGTCCAGCTCTCCGCCAACGTGATGCGGATCCTGACGCCGCCCTTCGGCAAGTACGTGGCCGACGAGGCGCGCCTCGAAGGCGAGTTCCGATTCCAGCACTCGCGTCTCATCGACTACGCCGAGGAAGTGGCCCTCTACAACGGTCACACGGCCGAAAAGGACACGCTCGACAAGGGCTACTTTACGCTCATCAAGCACGTCAACTACATCCTGCGCCGCCGCTTCTACCACGGTTTCATGGAGGATTTCGTCATCAAGTACTTTTGGGGCGCCCTCGGCCTTGTCCTCTGTTCCGTACCTGTCTTTGTCAAGCTGCCCGGCGCCCAACCCGGCATGAACATGGGCGACCGCACCGAGTCGTTTGTCACCAACCGTCGCATGCTGCTCTCCGCCTCGGACGCTTTTGGGCGCATCATGTTCTCGTACCGTGAAATCATGGAGCTCGCGGGCTACACCTCGCGTGTGGACTCGCTGCTCAACGTCATGGACGATATCCAGTCAGGTCACTTTGAGAAGAATCTAGTATCCTCGTCTGGGACCGAGAACAACGAAGCTGTACTCAAGGGCCGCGGCACCATCCACGAGAGCAAGGACATATCCTTTATTGACGTGTAAGCTTTACGGCCGCATTTTCAATCGTACGACTGCTGACTATCATAGGCCCATCGTCTCGCCCAACGGCGATGTTCTTGTCGAGGCGCTAACCTTTTCCATCAATCACGGCGACCATCTCCTCGTCGTCGGCCCCAACGGCTGCGGCAAGTCATCTCTCTTCCGCATTCTCGGCGGCCTGTGGCCCGTGTATGGCGGCACCGTGCACAAGCCGCCCTTTACCTCCATCTTTTACCTGCCGCAACGGCCCTATCTCTCGCGGGGCTCGCTCCGGCAGCAAATCATCTATCCGGACTCGCTGCGGCAGATGCGGCAGCGGGGCGCAACCGATGCGGACCTGCTCGCCATCCTCAAGACGCTCGATCTGGCGCACCTAGTGGACCTGTACGACGAGGGCTGGGACGCCGAGGCCGAGTGGCGCGACGTGCTGTCGGGTGGCCTGCAGCAGCGCGTCGCCATGGCGCGCCTGTTTTACCACCGACCAAAGTACGCCATCCTCGACGAGTGCACGAGCAGCGTCACCCTCGAGACGGAAAAGGTCATGTACGAACATGCAAAGGCGCTCGGCATCACGCTCATGACGGTCAGCCACCGCCGCAGCCTGTGGAAGTACCACACGCACATTCTCCAGTTTGACGGCCAGGGACACTACGTCTTTACGAAGCTGGATGCGGACAAGCGACTGAAGCTTGAGGATGAGAAGGAGGACTTGGATATCAAGCTGCGGCAGGTGCCCGAGCTGGAGAGACGCATGGCGGAGCTCACATCATAGACGGATAGGCTTTATAAAATTGTGGAAGATTACAAGTAGGTGATAGCATGCTGTGGACTCTATTCTTCAGATGTATATAGGTGGCAGTCTGGCATTGCACGGCGAGAAGCTCGTGCCATTATAACGCTTTGTATGATATGGATGTCTAGTACCGGGGGATTACACACTTGATTTTGTGTAGACTAGACGACTAAAGCATTTTCATCCTCATTCAACGACCGAAATTGAGTCAACTTTTGGAGTCGATCATTCGTTTTCTGGTGTGACTGTGATGAGGACATAGCTCGGCGCCTGACTGATGCGCAGCTACGACAATAATTTGCCATGCGTAACAGGCAGCTTTGTAAGGTCTGGTTTCTAGACCTGAGCAAATTTGTCTGTGTAGACTAGGCAGCTAATACGTTTTCCTTTCTAGTTTATGCCCGGGGAGATTCAGTCTGAGAGGTCTTCTTATAACTCTTTGCCCCCGTATAATTTATTTCATTTTCTTTCGACCCTCCATATCCTTTTCGATGTCGCTTGGTTCGCTATTTCGCAGACGTTCCCCCCTGGACTTGGATTGTTCTAGATGAAACCTTGTCCGCTCCTGCCAGTGCTCCGCATCCCCTCCACCCTGGTTGCTCTGTTGATGGTTCTCTCTATTCATCACGCCCTGATGATGGGTCACGATTTCTCTCACCAGCTTCGCTCGGGTCTCGACTTTACGCTTGCCGCACATGGACAGTAGCACAGCCGTTTGACTAAGCGCTTCAGCGTGTGACAGACGACACTCGGCGTTGTCGCCGGGGATACAGTCTTTCTCGGCGTCCTTGAGCATGGACAAAAATGTCGGACTGACATCCAAGTCCCAGCTCGAGTCCGGTCTGAGCAGCTCGATGCATTTCTCGAGCCCAGCCTCCCCAGCGAGGGCAGACTTGAAAGCCTTGACAATATTGTCAGTATTGCTGCCATCTGGAATCCTACTGGTCAGTCTGTCCATTTTGTTGGTTGTGGTGTGTTCTTGCAAGGTAGATGAAAGCTTTCGTCAAGGACAGAGTGTAGTTTGTCTGCGTGAAAAGTGTACTTTCATGCGTGGAGCTTCTTTGTTCCGTCTCTCACTTGGCCCTCCCCTTTTATACTTTTACTGGGAACTCATCATGTGCTGTCATTAACCGACATCAACGAGCCTGTGACCAGGCAACAACGATCATGGTCCGGTGCTGTAACGAGACAAATACGAGGATCCATGTCTTATTATTGCGCAATAGAACATGGGCGACCATAAAATGTAGCATACAAGGTATGGGATTTAGGCAGGGTAGAGTAAGCAAGTTCAATAAAACTTGGCCATCGAGGAGAACTTCAGATACGACTGTCTATCTTGACATTCATCTGACTTATATGTCAGACACGCGCGACAATAGGAAATTAGCATATCTGACTCCTCCTCAATTTGCCTTACGCTAGAGTTGCAATTTTCTAGCTCTTTCTCATAATGTTCGCGGATCGTGCGGATTTTCCCACCAGGCTACAGACACAACAATTATGAGTACAAAGTCTTACTGAGAAAGAGGGATAGCGAGAGTTGCACTTTGTCATACCTGGATAGTCTGGTCGAACCTTTGTTCGATGATGCGGTCGCATATCTGCAAGGCGTGCTCCAAGTGCTCGTGGATCGTCTCCTTGCACCCGAAGATGAAGCGCTTCAGCAGTTCTTTCTGCTCCTCAGGCTGCGGCTTCGCGGCGCACATCGTGAGCAGGGCCGCCGTATTGATGGTGCTGAGTACATCGTGCATGCTGTCAGAGTTGAGCTGGGTCGGGAGGAGCAGATCGTAGGCGTCGCGCTCGAACTTTGAAATTGTATTCGTGTCTAGTAGTGTCGGGAAATTCCTGAGGACGTCAAAATTCCAGCTAAATTGCCAGCAAAAGGCCACGAACTGGCGTTCCCTTTCGTTGCTCATGTTGGCTTGTGGAGAATTTGAATGCTTCAGATTGGTATTATCACGGGGATCTTTCAGTTGACTTTAAAAGAAGCCTCGTTTGAATGAAAGGTTACTCCTTCAGACACTGTCGCTCCGAAGCCCTCATTTTATAGATGGGCACGGTTGCTCAAAATCCCGTGATCACCTCGCACGGATCTGCAGCCGGCCTGAGCAAAAGTTGATACATATCTGTCATATACTGTTAAAAGGCTATTGGGGGCGCTGGTCTACAGGCAAGTGCATGGGCAGTGCAACAAGAGATGCGTCGACTTTCGGATGCACGGTGCTTTCCGCAAGCACTATCCGTCCTCTACGACGTGATACAATGTCTATTTGTGAAAACGTTGGCTGAGCCACGCTGGTGAGTAGGTGGATGACTCAATACTTTTGCTTGGCAGACATGCAGCTGGTTCAAATAGATTAAGATGCAGACACTGTTTTCAACGTCACTCTGCTCGGACCTCAGCGCCAGCACCTCTGACTGCATTACCAGACCGTCTTTAAACAGCTATTTGTTGTAGCCTAGTCTATTTATAGAAATCTCATTCGGCGGGTGTCATGCTCAAGTTCTCGAGGCCAATCAGCGGCAGTTTCTGGGCACCATCGGGGAGAGAGACGACAGCAAGTCGCTGTCGACATTGACTGCAGTCACGTTTCAAATTGCTCAGCTTGGCTGTATGAGCGGAAACTTGCCGACAAACTAGGCAACAGTCTCCCAATGTAGCGTAGCTGGATGACAACAGACAACAGCCAAGTAGAGGTAAAAAGTGTGTCCCGGGTCGGATCACTGGCCTCAGTCATTAGATTCTGCTCTTTTGCAGCGCTGAAATACTGAAACGAGGGTACAAGCGCTTCGCTGTCGTGGCCAAGGCTCTGCCTTGCTTCAAGGTAGCACGCTTCCGAACTGTAGAGCTTGGTAGTATGTCATGGTCAAAGTCGCCGAGAGTCCACAGTAGCTAGTCCCTTTGACTTGAGATCGAGTCCAGGATAATTCCATGCGTCGACTTTGAAATTATGTATGATGCAGTCTACTTGGATACATGATGGAGAAGTAATGGAATTGCTTGATTCTTTGCAGTCGGACCAAGTTGTACTCTAGGGATATCCTGGCCTCGGCCATGAGATCTTCACGATCCCTAAAGAGGATCTTGTCATTCTTCTTGATTGCTCAAGTAGCTCCGTATATGTCAATGTAGCTGGTAATGAAAGAAGCTCCTTGGCCGCAGGAGAAAGACCCGATTTCTGATCTAAAACTTTCATGTCCAAGCCCGATCTCCTGTCCGGAAATAAGTTTCGGTGCTCGCTCCGCCATTTTCTGTCATATTTGTCCACAGTGTTTCTTATGGCTCAGTCTGAGTACAGAACTTCTTGGGGCATTACGCCATTGTAATTACAGAGTCAAATCATGTAGACGCTTTGCACTATGACTGACAAAGAGTAGCGCTCGCGTGGAGTCGTGGGTGATACTCTGACACGCTCAGTCACGTAGGTGGACGAAGGAGGCGGGAAGCAAGCCAACACGTTGTACTGAACAAGACAATTACTTCAGTGACACGTATTATAGAGATGACTATGGCGATTGTGGTCTAATAAGAGAAAGCCGGGCGCCATTTCGAAACTCGGCGTTGATCCTGATGAAAGTCTTGAGGCGCACTTTGTTTTGTGTGGTAGATGGGTGATACAAAACGGTGCCTCGGCGTTGACCTGGAAAGATTCCTCATTTTCCAGGACTTCCGTCACCTCTTTTCTTGATCATTCATGACTGCTGCCTTGGCCATATATTTTGGCGCCCCCCTTTGCTGGACGGGTCACAGTTGCGTCCACCTTGACTGTGATGCTTTCTACCCATATCCTTGATTTAAAGCCTTTCTTTTACAAACTCTGCGCTATTGGTGATCCCAGAAGGCTGAGAAAATAGCGGCGTGCGGTGTTTATGATGCAAGATGGTATATGTAATACAGCCCAAACAAGCTGGACAAGTTTGTGTCTGGATAACCACTTTGGCTCTAGAATACATGCCATGCGTCAGCAAAAACCCGCATGCAGACTTTTGCCCAGGCCAAGCCAGCTACTGTTGCGTTTTGCTGCTGCCTACGTTATCCTAGTCGTCTCACTTTGTATCCCGTACTACCTGACTAACAACAACACCTCGACCACACCAAAGCGCATCCAATGGTCGCCGTATCGCCTGCCTGCCTGCCTGGTAAATTACCACAGCAAGCCACAACATAATGCGCCCGTTCCGGGATCCGATAAGGCCAAAAATGCATGACCCCTGCGCCTAATTATTGAATGTGGGTTTTTGTGTTGCGTGGCGTGGCCCCGAAATACGGATATTCAGGGGACCAACAAGCCTTTCTTCATCGGGCGGGCTGCGATTTCTCCAGAGTCCTGCTAGTTTACTTGCACGACATGCCGAGACTTTTTTCTAGACACAGCGCGGCTAGTTACGGATAGAGTCAACAGGAAAAGGTCGTTGGTCGGTCGGTCGGTCGGTCGGGCACCAATCATCTTGCCCAATATGGAATGTAACAATGCTTCCCCGCGTCGACGCTTGAGCCGACATTGCACTGTGCAGACTGCGGCGCCTGCGCTGCAAAAGTACGAACACGCCTTGATTCTTGTTGTTTACTCTGTACGAATAGAGCAAGTCAGGGCCGTTGTGGCTGCAGCTCAGCTGGCTGGGGTTGTTGACGCTGATCGCCAGACTCAACACTGGACTGGGTGCCGGGGCAAGGGTAAAGTTGACTGTAATAATTTGCACAAGGGGCTGATACCGGTATGCTGGTAGGCTAGGCCATTGATACACGTTGCTTTGCGTCCATATACATGCAAGGCGAGATATAGTAGTAGTCCTTTCGGCCACCTTTATGCACCAAAGATTTACGGAGCCCAAAGCACTCACTGCTCAGGTCGCTCACGTATCCAGCAACAGCCAGCTACAGTATTAATCTACACGATCGCGATCCCATGGTGCTCATCGAAATCCCCCCGAGGCCCAGTGTGCCATGCTTCTGCCCCCCCTCCCCCTCATCCCCTGTCTATCATGCCCATGTCTGAGGGAAGTGAGTGAGGCTGATGCTGGGTTGGCACGATGATCCCAAAGTTCTAGAATATGTGTTAAAATCTCGCGAGCTAGTTAAGAGACTGATACAGACTGTAGATGTTGGACCTTTTCATTGCGGGCGCTGCCTCTCGGGTCGGCATTCGAAGATTATCCCATCAACTCGCAATGTCCACAGCCCAGTGCAACGGTAACTTGGCAGTTTTTCTACTTGGCGGCGCTCTCGTCGTACAGTAATCCTGATCCAACGAAATGACAGTTGCCATTTTGACAAAATTCCAATCGGAGTATTCCCGCCGGCAGCAAGATAAATACCCGAGTGTCCCCCGTGTAGCTTGTGCACCACGAAGCATCCAGCAGCACCAAAGTTGGGCGCGCAGAAACTAACCAGTCCTATTTCATCAGCCTTCACAATGCGTCTGTCGCTTCTCCTCTCCCTCCTCCCGCTTGTCGCTGCCAGCCCAGCTGGCAAGCGTGCTGAGCCCGCCCCGATCCTGTCTGCTCGCGGCGAGACCAAGGACATTATCGCCGACAAGTACATTGTAAAGTTCAAAGACGGCAGCTCGCTTGCTGGCCTTGAGGAGGCCTTCGAGTCGGTGGGTGAGAAGCCCGACACCGTCTACTCGGAAGGTGTCTTTCTAGGCTTCGCTGGCAAGATGAGCAGTCTCACCCTCGAGGCGGTCCGCCAGCACCCTGATGTAAGTCGCCGCACCCTCGAGGCACAATGACGATGCAAGACTCCTAACATCGTTTCTTCTTCTTCTTCTTCTTCTAGGTCGAGTACATTGAGCAAGCCTCGCGCATGTCGGCTCAGGGCTACATCACCCAGGGTCGCTCTTCCTGGGGCCCTGCCCGCATCTCCCATCGCAAGCCCAACAGCAACCAGTACAACTACGACGAGAGCGCCGGCGAGGGCACCTGCAGCTACATTATCGACTCTGGCATCGACGCCGACCATCCCGTAAGTCCTAAACGCTGATGTCCCTTCTTACTTTGTACCGGGGGCTGACCCCCCTCCGTGCGCGCAAAGGAATTCGAAGGCCGCGCCACCGACCTCGGCCGCTGGGGCCCCGGCCCGGACCACGACGACTGCATGCACGGCACGCACGTTGCCGGCATCATTGGCAGCAAAACCTACGGCGTCGCCAAAAAGACGCAGCTCTTTGGCCTCAAGGTCCTCAGCTACTCGGCGCAGGACGACGGCGGCTGCCTCGGCGACAACTCGGACATTATCGCGGCCGTCAACGCCGTCGCCAAGGACGCCGCCGAGCGCCACTGCCCCAACGGCGTCTTTGTCAACATGAGCCTCGGCGGCGGCTACTCGAGGGCGCTCAACGACGCCGTCGATAACCTCGCGGGACGCGGCGTCTTTGTCGCCGTCGCCGCGGGCAACAAGAACAAGGACGCCAGCGGCGTCTCGCCCGCGTCGGCCAAGAATGTATGCTGTGTCGGCGGGACGGACTCGTCGGACCACCGCTACGTGGACTCGAATTACGGCGCCAACGTAGACGTTGCCGCTCCGGGCGTCGTCGTCCTCTCGACCTTTCCCAACGGCCGCACCGTAAGTTCATCTGCCAGTAAAAAGAGGGACCCCCCCTTTTGGCACTTGTTTTGCTGCTTCCATGGCGATAAGTCTCTGCTAACATGCGTGAATCTCAAGGGCTACATGACTGGCACATCCATGGCTACTCCTCACGTCGCCGGTCTTGCCGCTTACCTGGCCGCCAAGGACGGCGTCTCCGGTCCCGACATCTGCAGCACCATCCAAGATTCGGCCACGGCCAACGCCATTGTTGATCAGATTCGCGGCACCAAGAACTTGATTGCCTTTAACGGCAACCCTCGTGGCTAAGCTGTTGAACGATGGGCATGTGACGAGGCTTATTATTCTCCAGCACATGTATTTGTACTTTGTACTTTGTATTACTATTTTGACACTGGGGGAGATTCCCGAGGGCAAAGGACGCCCGCCGAGCACACTTGTTTATTTAGCACATGTGATGTTGACAGAAACGGACAACAAAACATGCATAGGTTACTTTCAGTGTATATATTAGTGTTAGAACATAGTTTTCTGTGTTTTCGTCTCTTGCAAGCAACCTCTCTTCTCACTGTTCTGTGACTGTCAGATGCACACCCCCAGCGTATTACCTTGGGCGCTGGGCTCAAAACTCACCGACATCACTCACCTTGATTCTAGCAAGTCATTATGCTCTCTCGGTTGGGACCGTATACCGACGGCAACGTGTGCGTGCACAAGGGCTACGATGAGCTGCTGGTCGGATCGTTCAAAATGGTACAAAAATAATCTACTTGCACACAAGTACTGGGCACAATATTACCACAGCAGGATTATTGTTGCAAAAGCTGCAACGCAAGCAAAGGGATCGCGTATACACGGTAATTATATATATTTCTCTTGGATATAAAACGGAAAATGCCGGTTCCAGACGCTCAAGAAAAAAGACAAAAGCTGGGAGTCAGTCCCATCCTCTCAGACACAAAAATCCTTGTGACCAGTGGTATCCAGAACACCTAACTGTACAGAGCCAGAAAATTAAAAAGTATGAAATCAAGATGCGAAACACAAACCAAGATGAAAAAGGACGACCTGTAGTATAATAAATTCGCCATCAAGACAACAAAAGAATGGCGAATGCAATAAGAGGTCGCTCCTAGACGCAAGACAAAGGAATGCAACTTTCAAGCGGAATGCAGAAACAGAAATAAAATATATGGGGGAATCACTGCTTGTTCTTATTCTTCGTCAACGCTGCCCATGACTGCATTGTTCTTGGTTTTGATGCCCAGCTTAAGCAAGCTGAATCTTTTGCGCACGCTGTTGCCACGCTTCATCAGGCGAGACTCTTTAGCTGGCGCGTCCCTGTCGTCTTGTGATGCGCGCCTTTCGGTGCTGGTCGTGCTGCCGCGCCGCTCTACGCTGCTGGCATCGCTAGAGTGAGATCGGTACATGGCCTGCCGCGTAACATTGTCTTTGCTGAGGCTTCGATTGTGGCCGTGGCCCTTTGGTGATTCGCTGATGCCGTTTAGGTCGGATTGGTGGTCGACACTCTTCTTCTTGCCACCGAGGAAACTCAGGCGCGTACCTCGCGGCTGTTGCAGAGAGACACGACGAACAACAGCGGCTTCTTCGAGTTTTGTTCCGCCATTTGGAGACACGACAGTTTGCCACCTGGGGCTTTGCTCAATAGAAGGTGATGTGCCTCTGAAAATGGTCGATGGTGTGGAGATCAATTCTTTGATAGGGGCTGGCGGAGTAAAGGTGAGGATTTCGGGAGCAAAGGTGCTCTCAAAGTGGCGAACCAACTCATCGTGCCTGCTTGCAGCAAAAGGATCAGACTTGGTTCGTCCAAATAGCGCTAGGCACTTTTTAAGCACCATGGCGTGATCAATGAGAGCCGTCTTGATGGCCGCATTGCTAGGGCTCAGCTCCTCTTCATCTTCTTCCTCATCATCCTCGTCATATTCATTGTCGCTCTTCGGCTCAGGCAGAAGCTTGCGGTAGCAGGCCACACTCTGGTCAGATTTCGGATTCACAGAAACCGCTACAGCATCCAGAAGAAGTTGCATGTTCTTGTCATCGCCTTCCGAGATGCGCCGCTCCAAAGCAGCCATCTCCTGCGTCTTGCGCACAATACGCTCCAAAGCAGTCTCATGAGCAGAAAGCTCGAGTTCGCCGACATCAATTATTTCGCTTCGGCGAAGAATTGTCGGGAACGGTTCGGCAGTTGTGAAAACCAGTTTTTGGGAGTAGTGGTCTTGAACAGGACCATAAGTGGCACGCTTGGCCGTGATGGAAAAGACCTGCGGGTGAGAGGAGAGCAAGAAGTCGCGAACGACCTGAGCAACACGAGTACGCTGGTAAATCTGATGGGACAGATCGCGGTGTGGCGTCACAACCGAGATAACCAAGAACTGTCCTTCGACTTCGTCGCCATCTTCCGACGTGATAATCTTTGCTGACGGATACTGCTCTTGCATCCTGTCTGTAAACGCTGCAGCCCGTTCGCCTGGAGAGCCTTCAAAAATATATTGCTTGTCGCGAAGAGTTGTTGGAAAGCCAAGGCCACGGTAAATGACCTTGAAGTATTTCGGCACCAGCCTTTCGCTCTTTGAAATAGTTTCGTAAATGGTGGCAATGGCGCGTTCGGCCCGTGCAAGCTTGGCGAAATCATAAATGTTTGTTTCGTACTGCGCCTGAAGCTCCTTGTAGGCTGTGAGTGCGTTGCTCCACGACTCGCCTTCTTCGAAATGCTTAATCATATCAAAGTAAATCCTTTCCTTGCGCTCAAAGTGCGTTTGGGCCGGATAGTCTGGATCTGTCATTGCGCCAGTCTCTCGATTCGGGTCCCAGTCATATAGCTCGGCGTGCAACCGCAGCGCGAGACCAGCCTCGGCCTGGTTGCGCGTTTCGGCCTGCAGGCTGGCCAGCTGGTGTACATATCGCACGAATATCTCCTCCTTTTGCATATCTCGAAGAAACTCCATCAGTCGAAGCCGGTTGATAATGTCCGAAGCTCCATTTCCATTGTCCGTGCTGTGCACAGCAACCAAGAGATCCAAAAACTCATCCAAAGTTCCAGTTAGATCCTGAAGAGCCTCCGTCAAGGACTCGTCATCTCCAGAAAGGGCAGCAAATCTCTCCATCAGTTCCCCCAGGAAAAGCTTCTGCAAAACACTCTCTGTCAAAGGCTTGGTCTTGAAGTAAGTGTCGAGACAGTCCACCATTTCCGTCTGGATGACAGAGAGATCCTCGCTCAAAGTCCACTCACTGACAATCATAGTTTGCAATACCTCAACGGCCATTCTCCTCAAGCCCTCATGAACACTCAAGCACAGCTCCACGATTGGTCCAACCAGGCCGGGAACATACTGCACTTGATAACCGCCCATCTTGGCCAGTCCGTACCTGGTGCGTTCTTCGTTGCTTGCTTCCCATCCGATGGCCTCCCACGTTCTACGTAGCAGAGCAGCTCCATCCTCGCGCACATCACCAGCGATTTTCCAAACAGCTCGTCTTTTTTGCTCGGGGAAAGTTTCCAAGGCAAGCGATGGGCTACCTACGAGTTTCAGTAACGTCTCGAAAAACAACCTCCATAGATCGGTATTGAAACTTTCGGCATCATCCGGATGAGGTAGGAAAGTCTCCAGCAAGATTGACGCCAAGTATTGGAGTGTGCGCATGGCAGACTTGTGATGATAGATGTGTACACTGAGCCAGCCTTCGGGGAATGCCTCGCCTTTCAGGATACTCATTTGTACCTGGAGAACATTCTCTAACATGGTCTGAATGTCGCTGTCTGCCAATTCTAGCTGCATTCCTGCGGGCGAGCTTGAGATCGCCGACAAAATGGCGGACAATTCGGCCAAAGATTCGTCAAATTCCATATTATGAGCCGTTGACTTCGTCGGAAACGGGTAGGACGAGGGAAACAGGAGTGACAGTTTCTTTCTTGCGGGCGGAGGCGACGCCAGAATGGATAGGTAAGAGTCAATGACTCTGGGCGCGTGATCCGGGATTTCAGGGCCGATGTAGTCCAGCTGATTGGCAAGGATAGAGCAGCATAGTCGGATTTGGTTTCTCCACTGGTCAGTCATGTCCGGGCAGTGACCCCAATGAGGACTAATCCAGCGAACAGTATTGGCGCTCAGTGCGGATCTCTGGTCAGGGTGGCTGAAAATATCCAGCTTGGAATAGTTGATAATGAGGACAAGTTTGTACAAGGTCAACTTACCCTTGACATCGGTGCAAGAGTCCATAAAGTCAATGGCGATATGAAGAATCTCTTCAGCTGTAAGCATACTAGTGAGCTCAGGAAGCCACGTGTGAAAGTGTTGTACAACTAGCGTCTGGCTACCAACCAAAACAGGGGCCGGGTTTCGCATCATTTCTTCAAGGGCTTTGAAAATTGATCGAAGCTGCTTCGTGAAACCCTGCGCCGAAGTCTTGATACCAATGCCTGCCTCCTTGGCTCGCTGTTGACTGCGTGCTTGGGTAATGAACTTGAGGATGTGCCTGACAATCTTGAAAGTAGATCTCAGCTTTCGGGCGGTCTCGGTTTCTGTTGGGTGCTGGAGCAGACGCGCAAGGGCACGAACAAGACAAGAAGCTGCGAACGGATAATTGAACTGCTTCTCGGCATACTGGTCTACCAGAGGAACCAGGTTAAATCGTCTATCGTGAACGATGCCCAAGACTCTGACCAAAGCCGTAAAGACAAGATCTTCGTACTCATTTTTACCAGAGTGCTCCACCAATATACCGAATAAGCTGTCCAGAACGTCGCCAAGCAGCTTAACAATCTCGATCTCAGGCACAAAGTTGATCTGGCGCAGAACGGCGGCCAGGTCCTCCTGAGACAGCTCTCTCCATTTCAGAAGGCCAAGAATGACACGGTCTTGCGAGAAACGCGTACTGCACAGAAATGTTTCGATAAGAAGTAATGCAAGCGGGCCGGTCACTTCGACCGAGCGCTCGTCTCTACCTCTTGGTGCCCAGACAGTGGACAGATATCCGCCTTTACCTGTTGGTCCTGCCTGCGCTGTTGAGGTATGCTCATCTATTTTATAGAGCAGCAGGCCGTGCGGCCCATCGCGAATGAACGCTTCCCGGTCCCAAAGAGGTATATGTGCGACAGCGAATGGGGGGCTTGGCATGTCGCTGATAAACATAACAACATGGGCGGTGGCAACATCGTCCGCAGGCAGCGATAGGCGCAGTGTTTGATTCCATGCCTCACCACGCTCAGTGGCAGCAGATTTGAAAGTAGTCAAGCCGCTGCTATTCGAGGATGGAAAGATGCAGTTTTCAATCTTTGTTCCGGATCGCTGTCGAACCTCTAGCGTCACCTGTAAATTAGAAGCCTGCATTCCGGGAGGCATACTGGTAGCGCTTCCCCCGTATCTAGAGAGGAGATTCTGCTTTGCAAGAGCCGCCGTATTGATTGTGAGGTAAATATCGGATCTGGGCCGCGTTGGTGCGCCAGAAAATCCGATCCTACTAGTCTTGGAGACCCCGGATAAAATTGTTGGCGTGGCCTTGATGAGAGCGTCCGCGTCTGGGTGGTCAAAGGCCTTGAGCGATACCTGAAGTCGTTCGCCACGTTTCGCTCTCTCGAATGACTCTGATGAGTTACCCATTATTTCCCGAATGATCGGATTCCATTCTTCACCCATATCTTTGTCGGTCATGGGTCTTGCGGAGGGCGCCCAGATACTAATGACATGCTCGACCTCTTCGTCTTGCTTCATGATGGGGTTGAGTTTCATAACGCCAACACCAACGGTGCGCTGGGCCATTTGAACCTCGTCGACTATCACGCTAGCTTGCGAGCCAGCAGTGCTGGGGGGGGCGTGATCATCGCGGCTTGCTGTGCGGTTGGAGTAGGGTCGGTCTACCCGCTGTTCATTCACAGCATCCGTTTTGGCGGCTGGTGAGCCTCGCGAAAAAGTTGACCTCGTGGATTTAGCGGCCCACATGAAACTTCTTCTTGAGCCCTTATTACCACCGATGGGTAGTGACTTGGTATGCTCTCGAGTGTAGTAGTTATCCCCCAAGCTTCCGGCTCTAGTTGAGGGAGGCAGCATTTCAATTCTTTGTGGAGACTGCACTTTGATGACCAAATAGAGATCTGATTCGGGGGCAGCTACGTCACCGAAGTCAAGACTGGACAAATCGGTGAACAGTGTTCGCGTAGCACCATCTTGCATGAGGCTACCCATGGTGCGCCCAGCAGGGACGTCGATGCTGAAGGCTTCGGAGAGGCTTGTGGGCTTGTCATGGTGCGGCTTGCTGGCCAGGTAGGCAACAAGGCACGTTTCCTCTGTAGAAGCGCCAGCAAAACCCTTGACATCCAGCAGCAGATGGTGTAGGCTGGCAAGCTCAATTGTTGGCTTAGGGGGCTCATCAAGAACGCTCATGCTGGACTGGAGCTCTGTGAGGGCCACGACAGAGTCTTCGCCAGTTAAGATGCGGCCGCGCGCACCGGGGTCGCGCACAATGACTTCACCACCACAAAGCTTGTTGACCTGCACCAAATCCCATACCGTCTTTTCGCGGAGAATCTCGTACTCGCGAGAGGTGAGGACATTGTATAGGAACTGTTGACGGTGCAGATTGAGTTTTGTGATGAGCTGAGAGAGTTTGTCGAGCTTTGCGTATTCCCTGGCGAGGAGGAGTTGGTGGAGATTTTTGGAATGCCATTCGCGCAGGCATGATGAGATTTCGTCAATCAAGGGCTCGGATGCTGATGTGGGCGTCTCGTCGCCAATTTTGAGCATTGGTACTGGCGCTGGAGGGCGTGGCATATTCGGGTCACGTTCAACGGGCACTGAAAGCTTTGCAGTGATGCCGTTGGAAAGTTCCTGTAAAGGTGCTCGACAATTGCGCGGGGCTACTGTCTTGGATTGTTTGTGAATGTTCTCGACATCACTCTCGAGTCCCCCCTTGGCCGAGTCTTCGGACCCGTTCTCATCTTGCCGTGATTCGTCATTGTTTGCGTGGGGATCTTGGTCATCTTGGGTGGTATGTTGGTCCCCGTCGTCGGATTCGCCGAGCATCTCTCGAACCTCGACGCAGCTGCGAGGGAAGATGCCGCTGAAGACTCTAGCCTCGAGCGTTTGGCCCTGGACAGATGTCAGGCCTGCAAGAAGGCTGGGAGGGGCGACAAGATAGCCCCTCAGCCAGTTGCCGTCGGCAGTCTCTTCAATGATATACAGCTCATCGCCAATTTCGAGGGGGAGGTCGGCAGGTTGTTGGGCGGTGAAGGGAAAAGTTGCAACCGCAAAGGCGATGCGCGGAAGCGGATGCCAGGGCATGGCAAAGCGTCTATGGCGAGAATCGACAGCGCAACTCTGAGGGAAGCGACTCGAGTCGATTGCGGTAGACGAGGCTCAAACAGGGCTGGGCCTGAAAGCCTATATATGAAGCTGGCCAGCCGGCGGAGACTGAGGTTGCTGGTGGCCAGAGAGTAGCGCTAGCAACAACATGAAGCTCCGATGGCGAGGCCAAGGACAGAATAGGTTGCGTCGCTGCAGTAATTATCTACCAAATGGATATCAAGACCCGATTCGGGGAGAGAACAAGCAGTTGCTGGAATTCGAGGCTGGGAGAAAACGTGGGTGGCAGAAAGAAAGTCCTTTGGGGGGGTCTTGCGCACACCCCTGAGCGAGGCAAAATGGGGAAACTACTGCAGGTTGGTGGAGGTGAGGTGGTGCTAATAAACTAGACGGCATGTCAATAGAAGCGCAAGCTTTGAGCCACGAATGAGAAGCACCACTTGAACGACATGTAGCATTGAATTAGGTCATTTTACACACAATTCTTAGAGGAAATGAATAACTCGGTCCGTGCTGCAGAGATACATCTCAGCATGCTGCAGTACATGTGAACCTGCTGCTGGCGAGTCTGGCGGTGTGCTCGACAACTGTTGACTGTCTGTGTCCGTATCTATTGAGGCAACTGAACTAGTTAGTGATATCGGTCCTCGCTATCACTACCAGCACCGTCAAATTTCCAATTATGCACTTGGCCCTGATTACGGAGTCGGCTATACCATTGGAGATGATGGAATGCTGCGCACGGCCAGCGAATGGCATCCCACTGTTTCTTTCTTCTTTAGGCGAGCACAGAGCCGCTAGCTCATCACCAGTGGAGTTCCCTATGGGGGATATGATATATCTCGGATCAACCGCGCCATAATACAGGGGACAACGTGCTTTTCCGACCTGCCAATTAATACCAGTACAGTGATGGCAGATTAAGGGATCATGACACTAAAAGCCCCAGACTGTATGTCGAAGATCGTGCCGGGCAGCGCCTGCAAGCCAAACATACAGGCATTCATCGGGGCATAAGAAATAATAAAATTTAAAAATCAAGATCCTCCGAGCCGATCTCACCCCTAGTGGCCAAATACACGTCGATAATACCTGCAGCTTGCATGGTGATGCCAGCCACGAGAAACATATATAGGTAAGGTACCTACCTACTGTATTACCACTGTGGTGCCGGCCAGCGACTTCGGCGCCCTCCAATGTACCTTATCCGTTCCGTGCAGCCCAACTTCCGCACCTCAGTACCCTATCTCTTGATTGCTGCCAACAAATATTACTGGTAAGCGTACGATTTATTAGACGTCATACTCGACGATTAATAAAAAATTTAAATAGTTAGCTAGATAGTCACGGGGTAAAGACTGCCACAGCCAGCCTAAAAGTAGATGTGCCGCAGAACGGATGCTCAATCAGCCTCATTTCTGCACTACCACCTCTCCTGCAGCCAGCATACCATTCGGCCAACTGCAACTCATCATTGTTCAAGGCTGCTCCAAGATAAAGCGCCATTGGTTCCCCTGCCAAGCCTCAAGATGAACCCTCGTTTCGATTCAAGACAGCATGTGGACATGGACATGAACGCATTTCTGCCCAACCAAGCATGTTCTAGGGTACCGAAGGTACCCAGCCGTCTGTGGCATGATAGCCAAACAGCTGGGCCCGTGGAGGTACATAGATCGGGAAACGTGATAATGCCAGGATCTGCGTCAACATGCAGACGCAAAACACTTGTTCCACCTTAGTTGGATTGTCGATATCCATCCTGCGCTGACTGACGCCCGCAACTCTCACCGCCTCGCGCTGCAAACAGAACAATGGGAAGGTCGATAACTGCTAGCTCTGGCCCAGCGCCAACTGGCCGCCGTTGCAATGCGCTTGGCGGGTCTCCAACTCCACGCCATATCATGACACTCGTTGCTCTTCTCGTCACGACCGCTCACACCACCTTTGCCTTAACTCCGCCAACGCATAAGTCGATATATGACTGATCTACAAGAGGAGTCCATTATTCGTACAAAGCCCACGAGCTGCTCCAATTTCCAACACAATTTTCTCACGCTTCGCCTCACACCAACCTGCTAAACGCACACAACCACCATGGGAACACCATTCATCTCGCTCCTCGAGCCTAGCAAGCTCGAGGGCTACAAGCCGGGTGCTCCGCGCGACGAGCAGCCCGTCGGCTTGCCCTCCACTTTTCTCGATGCCATGGAGGTGCGCGAGGACGTCTTCGTCAAGGAGCAGAGCGTCCCCGTTGATAACGAATTTGATGTCAACGACTCACGCAGCTGCCATTGGGTGGCTTATGCCAGCGTCCACACTACCCAGAAGCAAGAGGTCCGCGACGAGACGGGCGCCGTCGTCCAGCCGCGCAAGAGCTCGACGCGCAGCACGCCCATCGGCACCGTCCGCGTCGTGCCCTTTCCCCACGGCCCCCATCCCGTCAGCGGCGGTCGTTACTGGAAGGACGTTCTCGAGGGCGAGGCCGCCCAGCCATCTGCGGAGGTGGATACGGTCGCCGCGCCCGTCTTTGCCGCGGATCGCCCGACTACGTACCACGACGGCAGAGAGTCCTACGTCAAACTCGGCCGCCTTGCCGTCCAAAAGGACTTTCGCGGCAACCAGATTGCGGGCCTGCTGGTCAGCACGGCCTTGCAGTGGCTCAAAGAGAACCCGTCGTATTTTGACCCCAGCGTTACGGAGCTTGGTCTCGAGCAAATGGGCGCTAGACGAGAAACAGAAATCCCATCCTGGAGCGGGCTGGTCTGCGTTCATGCCCAGAAACAAGTCCAGCCTTTCTGGGAGCGCTGCGGGTTTCAGGTCGACGAAGGTATGGGAACGTGGTGGGAAGAAGGCATTCTCCACGTTGGCATGTTCCAGCGGTTAACGATTGGAGAGAAGAAGGTGCGGATTTACTGATGAATGACGAATCATGAATGATGAATGCAATCAACCCAACTATGGGATGTTATAGAGCTTATGACTTAACATGACATGAATGAAGCTATATATATAACTCTGCGACAATTGCTCATTCTTGTGTGACGGTAAAAAAGGCGTTTATAGTACCCCAAAAAGCAGTAACGCTGCATCGACTGAAGCCATATCCTGCATGTTATAGTAGTTACATGTAGCAAAGAAACAAAAAATGATGCGTTGTACAGAATCTATGCCGGTACATCCCACCTCCGAGGTGGTCACTGCTGATAGACAAACATTGACACATGCCATCATGACGACACCCATCGGAGGTGGTCACTGCTATAGACAATCATTGAACACATGCCATCATGACGACACCCACACGCACGCGTAGCAAGCAGCTTGACAAGTCATTAGGTCAGTAGGCTTCTTCAGAGCCCAGTTTTATTGAGACTAAAGACAATTCCATGACAATCCATAGCCGCGTTCCCAGACCCGAAACGCAAAAATGCAATTCTGTAATATGCCAGAACCACGCCAAAGCCGCACTCCATCCAGACGTAAATCCATTTTTGTGAAACCCTCTATCGGTTGCTCTTGGCTACACGCTCCAGCTCATCCTTCTTCTTGATAGCGTACGAGTTGCTGCTGCCCTTGGCGGCGTTGATCAGCTCTTCGGCGAGACACTCGGCAATGGACTTGACGTTGCGAAAAGCGGCCTCGCGGGCACCGGTGGTGAGGAGGGCAATAGCCTGGTTGACTCTGCGGAGGGGGGAAACATCGACGGCCTGGCGACGGACGGTACCGGCGGAACCAATTCGGGTCGAGTCTTCGCGGGGACCGCAGTTGACAATGGCGTCAACGGCGACCTGGATGGGGTTCTGGTCGGTCATGAGGTGAATCTATTTTTGCGCCTAGTTAGCAACACACCATTTATCCATGCCCGTCGCTCCCACACGATGTCCAATTCGCTATGCACTACGTTTTTGTCTCTGTCCGTTTGTGGTGTTGCGAATTTTCTTCGAGGTGGAGCAGACTCGTTCAGAGATGGTGGTCACTCACGATCTCGAAAGCGTGGTCGACGATGCGAACAGCCATGAGCTTCTTGCCGTTGTTGCGGCCGTGCATCATTAGAGAGTTGGTCAGACGCTCAATGATGGGGCAGCTGGCCTTGCGGAAGCGCTTGGCGGCATACTTGCCAGCGGAGTGGGTGACATAGACGGGCTTGCTCAGGTAAATGTAGTCGCTATTATTCAATCCGTCAGAATACATGTTTCCAGTCTCGTTTCCGCGGCGCAGACAGGGAGAAGTTCGTTCGATTCGACATCAATTCCCTCCCCGTTCGTCTGCGCATACACGGCGGTGCAGGATCAACATACGTCAGAGAGATGTCGCGAACCTCAACATCGTAGTCCCACTTGTTGAACAGCTTGACATTGCCAACCTCCTTGGCGACGTCCTTGGGAAGGACGCTGGGGAGAACGTCGATATCACCGCCCTCAGACATTTTGAATATAGCAGTCGATGTTTCCGTGGATGGCGGGGGACTGCGGTTAGTATGCTCGGGTTGTCGTGATGGGATTTTTCCTAAGGTTGGAGGTCTGGCTCGGCTGAGGAGGGTTTGGCAAATTTCGGTGGGTGTCATGTGGGCCAATCAGGCGTTGCAAAAAATTGGGTGCGTACCCTATACGGCACAATTGTTAGGGCAAGCCTGCCCTGCCACTGCCAGTGGCGCGGGGCCCATCCCGAAGTGTAGTCGTCTTCGCAGCTTTGGCGAAAAATAGTTGTTCCTCCACACTCCGTCAACGTCAAATCACATCACATCAAAATGGTACGCCCGCACCTGCCTACGACGACGATGCTCGCCAGAACGAATTGAATACCCAGAGATCAATGAACTAACAGCCGATTTTCTTGGTGTAGGCGCCTGCTGCTGGAGCTAAGAAGCAAAAGAAGAAGTGGTCGAAGGGCAAGGTCAAGGATAAGGCCCAACACGCCGTCATTCTCGACAAGAGCACCGCCGATAAGCTCTACAAGGATGTCCAGTCTTACCGCCTCGTTACCGTCGCCGTTCTCGTCGACCGCATGAAGATCAACGGCTCGCTCGCTCGCAAGTGCATCAGTGACCTTGAGGAGAAGGGCATGATCAAGCCTGTCACCACACACAGCAAGATGAAGATCTACAGTATGCGGTTTTACCTGGCGACAACAACGAGAAATGAAGCACTAACATTTTTTGACAGCCCGTGCCATTGCTGCTTAAGCGCATTTCGACCAAGGTGTTTTCTGGAATTTTGGCGTCATGATGGCCTCCATGATATATGGCCGAGGGATGGGGAAAAGATACAAGGCAAAAAACTGCCTGGTTGGGACGCTTTTCACACTCGGTAAAGCATACCTAGAAACCGAATTTGCATGAGCAAACGGCAACTGAATGAACAACAAAAAAATCTTCATGACAATGGCCGTTGAATTTTGCCCCGTGACTGCGCTGAGTGCTCACGAACGATCGCAGCAAAATATGAATGATGGACAATTACAAGTCCTATTCACGGGCTTTTGCGAGTTCAGCATCGCACATATTTATCTTTCTCAGCCACAAGCATGTACTTGGTGGCAACATACCATATTGCCCATAAGTGTGTATCTTGCTGTAGATTATGGAGATGAAACACGTTCTACTCATTTTTTTTGGGTAAATGGTACAGACTTGCGAGCATGAGGTAACATGTCGGTAAGCAGCGTCAAGAGCATATATGTGTCATCACGTGACAAGGCACGAGAACCAAGCCAGTTCGAAGATAGTTCGGCATGAAATGCCCTTAGAATAGTATCAGCATAGCTATTGATGAGCTCGTTGTTTGAGTAGCCTTTGAATATAAATAGTCAAGATGGAAGAAGCAGCAACCTTGTTACGGCATTGTGCAAAAGTGGTTGCTGATGTTTCGGTCAGACCGGCACCCGGTGAGACGCTCGCTGCCAAGTTAGTTAGCTTGGAGCCGCGTTTGCTGCCTGCCTAGGTAGTAGGGTTGGTAGGGCTAACAGCTGCAGCCCATCGTGACTAGATGTCGTAGTGGACTAGGGGAGACAAGTTAACGTCAGTAACATACTAGCGGAACGAGACGGTAAACATTATTTAAATATGTGTTTCTCGAAGAAGGTTTACTCTTTGGCGCATGCACTATTTTGCTGTGGTCCAAACAAGCGGGGGCCGCGCCAGCAATCTGCAAAACGCCCCCCGGTCGGCTAGCCGGGATTTTGGCGGGATTGAAACAAACGGCCAGTTTGCGACGTGCAAATACGATTCAGAAGATGAAAAAAGCTATGTTGCAATAGAGCCTACTGACCCTGGCCATGACTGTAGCTTTTTTCAGATCACAACACTTCATTGCATTCTGCCCAAGTCTTTGCATCTCTGGAACGGCCACTCAGCGAAAGACACTTTAACGCTTGCCTTCTGGAAATTTTCCTAGCGGCTTGCGGCTTGCGGCTTTCCCGGATGAAAGGGGGCTGCAGGGGAGGACATGGAGACAGGGGATCCAGCTATCTTGTTCTGTCTGGTGGACCCTGGGGCCAAAGAACACATCGCAGTGATGCATGTAGCTTTATGTACCTCCGATGTGGCACGTAGAGTTGGAAAATTGCGCTGAAAAGACTGCCAGTTTGATACGAAGGAATATTGCAAGCGGTTGAGCCAAATGCTCAGTTGCTTTCGAGCCGAGGCTACTGGGGTAAGTGGACGCCCATTCGATTATCACGGATAGTGAGGAGCTGTAAAGCAAATAATAGCAGAGCGCGAGAGATGAATGAGTGGTCCAGCGCTCCGTAGTGCGGAATGATCCCTCACAGTAATCTCGAACAAGAATTCTTTGATATCTGGGAGGTAGGGACAATGGCGGTACAACGCCTCTCTATTATGCCAACGCGAGATCTCTCCGGCGAGGCAAGTACAAAAGTGTGGCTCACTATTGGCTTAGCTGTGTGTCAGCTGTGGTCACCTATTACTGTAGTGGGCGGTAATAAGAAACATATCGGAACAGAATTGACCAGGTTATGACAATGGCCATGGCGCCCGAGGTCGCTGTGATATCAAGAATCGCAAGAGACCATGTCCCTGAGACGTTGATGAGGTCGATGAGGTTGATAGGGTGATGGTGACATGCATGTACATTCCCGGGTCCGGCGTATCTTGGCCTTTCGAGATGCGACGAGCCCAAATAATCCGAGTTAGTGATTCTTAGGTACTTACCTTACTCAGTTACGTTCAGGTAGGTAGGTACCTTGATGCATGCCAGCCAGCTAAAAAGAACATCGGGGCGAACCGGTAACTCGAAGCCCCTAAAAATCTAGGCACACTAAGGACAGCGTGGGCCTCCCCTGGCTCTCAGAGTCTCACGCGCTTGTTGGCCTCAGACCTCCTTCTGGCCTGAGGCGCAAACTCCACTGTTGCCATGGAAAAGTGCTTGAGGCGCTCACTGCTGGCTCTAGCCTCTCGCGCAAGCCGGGAAGACTCGCTCCAAGAAAACTTGTCCCTTTGACTGGACCCGCAACAATTTTTTTCGCTCCCCCCGGCCCTGCCACCCAGCCAGCGAGCAGAATTTATTTCACTCGACTTCCCCAGACACACTTCACTTCCTTCCTTCTCCATCCCCAAATCTCCCCTCAGTCCTTTCTTGTTCTTTCCGGGAAAGCACCAGAACATCCGCCATCATGTCTCAAGAGAAGCCTAAGGTCCTGGGCATGCCCGTAAGTCTTGACAGATTTTTTCCGCCGCGTCGCCAGAAATGCCGCGTCGTGCCGTCGTCGCAACAAAGGGGGGAGGCTGGCCATTGAAGCGGTATCAAAGCCTGCTGCCAATTGAACTGCCATGCATCATCAATGCCTCTCTTGACCGCACTGTGCTTCCTTTGCTAGCCTAATCCCTTTGCTGGCACGACAGACATGACGCGACAAATTTTTTAGACCTTCGGCTACACGCTCGGCTACCCCTGGATACATGTGCTAATTCGTCTCGCAGCCCTTCGTTGCCGACTTCCTGAGTACGTTCCATCCGCTTTTAACCGTCGCTCGACACTTGCCATGATACGGAGCAAAGCAACCCTTCTCTGGTCACAAAACTGACAATCTCTCCAGTGGGTGGTGTCTCCGCCGCCGTCTCGAAGACCGCTGCTGCTCCCATCGAGCGTGTCAAGCTTCTCATCCAGAACCAGGTTAGTCGGACTTTGGACGAAATGCCTTTGTACAGTTCTCTAACAGTCGAATAGGATGAGATGATCAAGTCTGGCCGTCTCGACCGTCGCTACAACGGTATCGTTGACTGCTTCCGCCGTACCGCCGCTGATGAGGGCATTCTCGCCCTGTGGCGCGGTAACACTGCCAACGTCATCCGTTACTTCCCTACCCAGGCTCTGAACTTCGCTTTCCGTGACAAGTTCAAGAAGATGTTCGGTTTCAAGAAGGACCGTGATGGTTATGCCTGGTGGATGGCTGGTAACCTTGCCTCTGGTGGTGCTGCTGGTGCCACCTCTATGCTTTTCGTTTACTCCCTTGACTACGCCCGTACCCGTCTGGCCAACGATGCCAAGAACGCCTCCAAGGGTGGCGAGCGCCAGTTCAACGGTCTCGTTGACGTCTACCGCAAGACCCTCGCCTCTGACGGTATTGCCGGTCTCTACCGTGGTTTCATGCCCTCTGTCGCTGGTATCATCGTCTACCGTGGTCTCTACTTCGGCATGTACGACTCCCTCAAGCCCGTCCTTCTCACTGGTACTCTCGAGGGTAACTTCCTTGCCTCTTTCCTCCTTGGTTGGGGTGTCACCACCGGTGCCGGTATCGCTGCCTACCCTCTCGACACCATTCGTCGTCGCATGATGATGACCTCTGGTGAGGCTGTCAAGTACAAGAACTCCTTCGACGCTGCTCGCCAGATCATTGCTACCAACGGTGTCAAGTCCCTCTTCAACGGTGCTGGTGCCAACATTCTCCGTGGTGTTGCCGGTGCCGGTGTCTTGTCCATCTACGACAAGCTCCAGGTTCTTATGTTCGGCAAGGCCTTCTCCGGCGGCTCCGGCTAAATGCCATGCTCCCCATTACCACTGTATAGACACTGTTTTCGTTGGGAAAGGATCACTCTGGGGGATTTAAAAATGGAGAGATTGAAAGTTTGACGTCGAGGGAAGTTGGGGTAGATACCCCGACACTCTGTCGTGTGCAACAGCTGATGCGCGGATTAGATTGGCATTGGCATGGCGCAATTCTCTTTTATGGCTCTGCCAAAGACTTTCTAGTCGCTGTAATTTATACACCTACGCAATTTCCCTTGTTGTTAAATAAACCGAACTCTGGTTCTTAATACTCCAATGCTTCTCGTGAACCGATTTAACCTTGATTGCGCATTCTGTTGACACTCGCTGTAACGTTGGACTGGTCGTTCGTTGGTCGTTGCCGGGATGACTAACGAAGCCTCTCCACCAGAACGCGGCGCAAGGAGCGTCTCGATCAGCCTTCAACACCCCCTATAATCTTGCCTTAAACGTAAAGAGAGGTCAAAATGCCGCCCAAGCAGGCCAACAACGCCCGCGGTCGCCCACAGGCGGGCAGCAGTAGGCAAGCTGCAGCGGCGGTCGAAAATTCGAGTGACGCCGCCGCCGCCTCGAGTGACCCGTTTGAGTCGGACGACGACTCGCCTCCCCGTCGCCGCCCACAGGCCGCCACGAGTCGTGAAGCAAATAGCAGCCGCAGCGGAGGTGCGGCGGACGCGACCGCCGACAAGTCGATTCCCAAGGACCTGCTCACACGCATCCTGCACGACCTGTTTGAAAAGGACGCGACCCGGGTGTCGCGCGACGCCAACGCCGCGGTCGGCAAGTACGTTGACGTCTTTGTGCGCGAGGCGATTGCGCGCGCGGCGGTGGAGAAGAGATCGGGATTCCTCGAGGTATGTGCGGCTGTCGGAAGGGTGAAGGCGGAACGAAGACGAGAAGAAGCATGCTGATGATTGATTGCTGACTTCGTATAGGTGGAGGATCTGGAAAAGATTGCACCGCAACTTTTGCTGGATCTTTGAGTCAGCATTTGGGCACAACGCTACGATGATATCGTGCATGTAATATTGCCATTTCTTTAAAGTGCAAGACGGCCCTGCTGCTCGGGCGTCTATATTCAAATGCATGTGTGAAGAAGCCTGTCTCGAACATGGAGATGATCGCCATGCCGCGTGCATTTCGAACCGGTACCACGACACCCATGGAGCACGTCTGGCCCTCTATACATCCTTGTCCAGAACAAGTGATCAGCACCGATTCTTACCGGGAGGATCGGCGGGACACTGACAACACAGTCATTAGAGGGCTGCCACGGTGCATGGAATGAAATTGGACCAGGCCGTTGAGAGCATCTTATTTACAAAGGCACTCTACCTCTCACCTAGCCTGGCTATTTGGCTTCCCAATGTCAGAACTAATTCAGACCATCATGGTCAAAGACGAGAGATCATATGGGGATGCAGAAGCATGAGGGAGTCGCTGGTTGCTTGTCGCTGGCGAGCTATGTCATGCGAAAGATGGCCGACACCAGCTTCCAGGCAATTCGCGTGATGATGTCAGCTTCATTCTGAGCGAGAAACCGGTAATAGCATGTCCTCGCGTAACTCCTGGCACTTCTACGCTCAGCCAAGCAATCTTTGGTGCCTGCGATTAGTCACACAGTCGACTCTCAAACTATGTATAACAACGTGCGCATCATCAGACAAGCCGTCGACGACATGCCGACTATCACTTTCTTCGGGATCTTCACAGCAACGAAAATACAATCAATGAATTTGCTGCCGCGTCCATGAAAATTGTGAAGGCGAGCAGCCACGAGTCTCGGCGGTCCTCGACCCGGCTGCCAGTACGGAGCTGTGGGGCCGAGTCTGAAACTGGCCTCGTCTCGTCGGCGTCGTAGAATGCCCAAGGTGCGGCACAGCCAGTGCCAGACCTATGCATGCAAAGGTTCAAAACTACGGTGTCTTCTGTAAAAAAGGGTAATTTCCACCTTGCAAGCCTCCTCGAACCCTCGCCGCGCGTCTGTCGTCGTGGCTCTGCTGTGCTGTCTGCTCCGCCGGTTTCTGTTGGTGCTGGACTAACACGGGACATCAATCTACTCCGAGTCGCGCTACTCTCAAATTTTGAGAACATAAGTGCTCTTGATCTGTCGGACTCTCTCTTGAAAATTTGTATGGACCTTGAGAAGAGACGGCAAAGAGGATGATGAATGTAAATTGGAGGAGACACACTCGCCACGTTTGAGCAGGACCTCTAACAAGACCTCTGACAACGCCAATTCCGGGACATGCGCTTCCCACCACGACGATGGAAGATCCAAAGCCCCAATCCGGTTTCGGGTACCTTGTTAGCCCCGTTCTTTCGGAAACTATAGATCTAGGGTGCACTATGTGAGATGGATGGGACGGCATTCGGCCTATGCTTGTACACGCAACCGCCCAATAGCCGCTTGTCAGATGAGAAGGAGGAGGGGAGGGGACTCGGAAGACGGCATGGCATGCATTACAATGCTGGCTGGTTTCCCTTGGGCACACAAAAACCGCATTACCTTGAGAACGATGAGATGTTCAACTGCTGCCAAGGGGAGGCGATGCAGTGGCTGATCACTCCTGTTTCGACTAACACCTGCCTTCGCCCGATGCAGCCGGTGGTCAATCTAGTTCGTTACAGCTCGTTGCTTGCCTCTGGGCTCCCTCTGAAGTTTTGCCCCCTGTTGTTTCTGACAGCTTGCATTTATTTTGGACAGTCCTCTTTCTCTTTTTCCCTTGCTTTTCCCTCTTCTGCCTTGTTTCATTATTTCTCTCTTTTCTTCTCAGCATATTCTCTTTTTTGCAGTTTCTTGCAGAGGCTAGTTCCTTTGCCGTGAGTCTTTCTTTGTAGGCTGTTGGTTATTAACTTGCTTCTACTTCTTCATCTGATCCGATTTTACGTCTCTTCTCGCTTGGCAGCTCTGGTAGCTCTGCCCACCGTCCGGTCTTTACATTGCATCACACTACAGCACATCTCCAGGCAACATGAAGTTCACTCTTGCTGCCGCTGCAGCCCTGCTGGGCGCTGCTCAAGGTTTGCGACCCCGGATCTCACCGAGCTAGGCTTCACTTGTCTGACATGACAACACGCAGCCATCGACGTCCAGGTCGTCTCTGTCGGCCGTAATCCCGTCAACGAGTCCATGGGCCTCAAGTTTTGGCCGGAAAAGGTCAAAGCTGAGGTCGGAACAATGGTTCAGTTCCAGTTCCTTGCTGGTAACCACACCCTCACCCAGTCCGACTTCGATCATCCGTGCAAGCCCATCAATGAAGTCAACCCCAGCGCCCAGGGCATCTTCTCGGCATACCAGCCCGTCGCCGCCAGCGCAGCCAAGGGCGAAATTCCCGTCTTTACTATCATGGTGAACGATACCAAGCCCATGTGGTTCTTCTGCAGCCAAGGCCCCCACTGCCAGAAGGGCATGGTCATGGTCATCAACGAGAAGTAAGTCCTCGTGCCATTGACAAGCTAGGCTACCAAGTGCTGACCCGACAACGTTATAGTACCGCAGGCAACTCTACACGATCGCTTGAAAACTACAAGAAGAGTGCTGCTGAGACTTCGCCGGGTGGCTCGACTGAGGGCGGTGCCTCCCCCTCCGAGGCGAGCACCGGCTCCAGCACAACCCCTGCCGATGCCGATCAATCCCCAACAACTGGCAGTGCCTCCGTTGCTAGCGTGTCCGGCTCGATGCTACTTGCTTTGGGTGCTGCTTTCATACTTCTGTAGAGGGAACAATGTCTTATGTAATAGTGTCATGTAAATGAATGGGTTAATGATATCAAGCGGAGGCCGCTGGGGCAGGCAATTTGCTACAAAGTTTTAAATTCTCTATATGTAGCGCGGGGTAGTTATTTTGCATACATCACTTTCGTCCTTTGCAACTTTTAAAGTATGTTGAACATTCAATGTGGGTGTCGTGACAGTGCAGCGTTGTTACGGCTATTGCTGCTCTCTGGGAACCCTCTTCTTGCGCTTTTGTTGAGCAGATTTGCACAGTTCGGGATGAGGCAGTTTCTCTAGCCAGCCTTCCTCGCGCTTTACGTAGCCGACCTTTTGGTACTTGGGGCTGTTGGTGAAAAATTCGACCCAGTGCTTCAGGCCGCTATGTACTCTCTCCCTAGCTTCTGCTAGCTCCTGCTCTTTGAGCTCCTTCATCTCGGCCGTGGTCCACTTGGAATCGATTTCGGGGTCGTCGATTGGGAGGTACATCTCTTCGAGGCCGCGCATATCGGGGGTCAAGTCTTCCTCGAAGCAGCCGCTTACGTAGGCGCGCGATGCATCTCGGCCGGCAAAGAAGTGGTAAGAACCACCAATGCCATACATGTTCAGACCGTTCGAGACGTCAAAGATGGTGCCATTGACAGCGAGATACAAGGGTTTGCCCTTTTCGTAGCCATTGTACTGGGAAAGCTCGTCCGGGGTAAGATAAATCGGTCCACCCTGTTAAGAAGAGAAGGCTGGGTCAGCTATGCTGTAGGCCTGGGCGTGATTTCGCCTCTGTAATGTTTGCATACAAACTTGGCCTTCCACCACTCAGGCTTCAGGTAATACGGCTTATTCTGCATGCCCCAGAAGAAGCTCTCGCCAGAGCTGATGACGTAGCTGAGGCCGCATGAAGCGACAAACAAGAAAGTCAAGACTCGCAGAATATCCAGACGGAGCGAATCCGCCTCGTCATCTTCTTCGACTCTGGTGCGAAGCTTTGCGGGCTCCTTTGCGTTGACATGGTCGGCCTTGGCCTTGCGCTGGCGGAGATCGGTGTCAGCCATGATGGGGAGAGGTGGGTTTCACGAAGCGAGTAGGTCGTCCAATGTTGCCGACGCAACGCACTAAATAGCGGTAAAAGCAGACAGTTCCGAAGCAGCCAGGGTGATCGGCTGAGCTGCAGGTCTGAGTCTGTAATTACAAGTGTCCATAACTGGTAATTGGAGGCAAATAGTTCGATCCCCTGCAGCAATAGCGGGCCAGCGGGAAGTGACACCGGCCCGCCGCAGAACAATGCGATCTGTCACATGACCTTTGTGTGTCGCTACAGCAACGGTGACCCAACATGGCCCCATTATAGGTAGCTTATTAGCAGTTATTGGGGGTCAGGCACCATCAGTAAACAGACTTTGTTAATATCAACGCAAAATATCACGACTAATCCAACGACCAAAGTTGGTCTACAAACAATTCACGACCGGCCATATTGGCAAGATAGATGCATGGTGGCATCTAGTTGATGAGGTCTTTCCCTGCGCACACCCAGACTGTGAGAGAACGGACATTCACGCCCACAATGGACGAGAGCTTGAGCTTTACACCGGCAAGGCCGATGAGCCCACTCCAGACATCAACGCCAGCCCGCGTCAACCAACGCCGCGACTCCGAAATGACGCCAACGCCGTTCAGAACCGACGGCTACGACAGTCCAGTATTAGAAAAGATCAGCCAATTCAACAACATGTCCGGGCAATCGAGGCAGCTGGAGCGCAGAGCAAACGACGCGCTCAGGAGGGCTGTTGTCGGACGAGAAGAGGCTGAAATGGAAATGAGGCGTTTGAGAGATGAAATTAAACAGCTTCAAAGTACCGTCGAACAAGGCAAAGAAAGAGAACGCAAAGTTGGCGAGCGGCTAGAAACAGTCATGGTCAGCCGCCAGATAGAGACCCGGTGCATGGCACAGCTAACAACCCAATAGGACAGCTACGGTCGTGCAAAGGAGACACATGCACACACTCAGGCCCTTTGGGAAAAGGAGATTCGACGAGCGAGAAAGGAAAATTTCAAGTCGCAGTCGATAATAGTCAAACTACAAGAGGAGCTCAAGACTGCTCGCACAGCAGTCAAGATCAACGAAGAGTGCCTAGCGCGCGAAAAGGAGCGCGGCCAAGCACGCGATCAAGAGGCCTTTACTGCCCGTTACCAAATAGTAGGAGTTCAGGAACAACTCGACCAAGCTCTTGAGCGCGTGAAAGTGGTTGAGCAAGAGCGAGATGCCTACAAAACTGCTGCCAAAAACGAGGAGGTTGCACGCATTGCCGCCGAGGGCCGACTGCCTCTGCCCTGTGAGGACGATGACGAGCTGTCGTCACCAAACCAGGTTCAGAAAAAGCGCAAGCGTGATTCCGCCGACGATAGTCGCCGTGTTTCTCTCTCTACCATGGAGCTGACTGGTTCTGCCGCTACCGACATGGAAATAGAAGAGCTTGCGTTGCAAGTTGCTTGGGAGAGGCATAGAGCTGAGCGAGCGCAGGAAATGGTTGAATTCTTACAGGCTGAATGCCGTATGCATTCCTGCTCCCGGACGCGTGAGAATCGCCAAGTGACGCCACAAAAGAGCAGCGAGCCAGTAGAATCGATAACACCAGCCGACATCACCGCGGTAGTTGTTTCAGATGTCAACCATACTGCTACCGCCATCCCTACTACTACTACCACCGACGACTTGATCAAGAAGGAACCTTCACCCGAAGCTGCAAACCCTCTCGAGCCTACCATTCACAAATCTATCGTTCGCGAATCCACCATTGACGAGCCTGAACCAATGATTGACGTTCAGATGACACCTGAAATACAAGAGAATCAGCAGCAAAGCCCACGCCACGCAAGCGCGGATGTACAGGAAGCAATGGATGAAGATCAGCCCAAGGAGGAATCTGAGAGCAAGGCTGAGATGCAACCAGAAGACATTCTCGCAGTCGAAAACCACGAGCCTACGATTGAATGCCCTGTTATGGAGGATTTCCAGCAGCAAATCGAAGCATCCCAGGAACTCGAGTCAACGATGCAAGAGCCGCAGCTTGAGGTCGAAAAGTACGCTGATGAGGCTACTGCGCCGCCTGCTGACGCGGTTCCGGAGCTTGAGCCCGAGTTTGTTGTTGAACAAGATGATAAAGGCCACCACGACTTCGACTCCGAGGAGCGCCGAGAGTCGCTTCCTGAACCCGAATCTCTCGGTGAGCATCATCTTATCATCGTCAGATCGAAGAAAGAGCGAACCAGCACCATATTTTGCGCCAAAGAGGGCGTTTTTCGTACCGTTTCGGAGCAGGAAGCTGAGGCCGCGGCTTTGGAAGAGCGATTCCAAACGGAAGCTGTTACTCAGGAGAATCATGATAATGTTGACATTCTTCTCCCTGATGCAATCGAAGATGCGAAAGACTCTCGCATTTATGCTAGGACTCCGTCAGTAGAGCCACCCGCATGCGCCATCATGTCGAGAGACCGTATCGCGCGAGACCGCACTTCTCTTCAGTCTCTGCTGAGCGCGCCTCACAGTGAGGAAGAGCCAACGCTTCCCAAGTCTTTCAACATTCCGACGGTGGAAGACTTTGAGCCCAGGGCCAAAATCAGTAATGCGGGTGACTCTGAGGAAGCTGTTGTAGATGAAGATGACGAAGTCTGCCACATACGAGGCTCGCCTACGCCGACGATGTACTCGTCGACGAGTCGATTCAAGGTGACAACAACGACTGTGCCCGTGCGCGATGAAGGTTCGCAGCATAACTCATCGTTTATCGAGAAGCTTCGAACTCCCTCTACAAGCAGTAGCGCTAGCTTTGATCTCACGGATCCAGCTCTCACGCCAACCATGACGCGCGAGCAAGCGCTCGCCAAAATTCGAGAGAGGAGAGGACGCGCGCGGAGCATTGCACAGGCGACTGCGGTGCCACCTAAGAAGCTGGCGCCGACGGGCGCAAAGCGCGACATTAGCTCGTCATCCGCCAAGGCACCTCTCAGCAAAACCACGCCCAAAACTATTTCCAAAACGACGACAACGGCAACACGAACCAGACCAGCGGCCAAGCCTGCAACAAGGTCTGTCAGCAGGACGACGAGCAGGCCTGCGAGCAGAGTCGCCAGCCGAACCACTACCACCACCAGCCGCACCACGAGCAGGACACGATAAAAGCATAACAGGGAGTGATACCCACGAGCGAGTACTACTTTTGATGTTTTGGATTTTTTTGCATTGAAGCCTGGAGCATTTTTATTTTAATTCTTTCTGCTGGGGAAGGGGATCGGAGGGGCGGATCGAGTGAACGACTGCATCTAAACATGTTGCGTATTTAAATGAGCGAAGAGGAGGCTGTACGTATTATACCTGAAAAACTCGGTGCTATTCTCTTTGCAGGGCAGAACGGGATGCTTGGCGCGTCATGGAGTTTTCGATAATTGGTGTCATTGGGTCATTGCGGGTGTCTTTTTCTTTTGCTCTTGCCTTTATTTCTTGCCTTTATTTCTTGCCGCATTAGATACTAACCAGACTGTTTTCTCGTTGTCTATTCGGAACTCCCTTGTCCTGATTGTGTTCAATCACCCTGGTTATGTCTAATCACACTCACTTTGTCTAATCATTCTGACTATCTGTCTAATCACTCTGATTATTTGTCAAGTATTGTTTCTCTCGATAACACCATGTGTTTGGGTGTAGAATGGGCTGAAAAAGGCAAGCAAGGAGGCTGTCGGTCGCGGCGCTGCCGGTAACCCGCCCAGCCTCCCCGGACTCTGTCTCCACCATGCAAATGCCAGGCACAAGAACCCGAGATACTCCGCGGGCAATCTCTGTGAAGCTACATTTACCAATCTCCAAAGCCATTCGTCGCCCTCAGCGCAAGCAAGGCTTTGGGCATCCACTCCTTTTGCGACCAGCGCCTTCTTTCGCTCATTGCGCCCATTCGCCGTTTGGCTTTCTGTTCTCTGCTCAATTCATTCTCCGCTGGGGCTCTGCCATTGCTTAGAGCCCCTCTATCCTGCCGAATTTATTACGACGATTTCAATACCTCTATTTGTCTCATCAGCACGCGCCCTCTTCCCAGACCACTGCACGACTCGACGCCATGGGCGCAAACACGCGGAGCAAAGGTGCGTCGCACGAGAATGGCGACGTTCCTGACGCTGGACTGAGAAGTTTGGATCACTGTAAGCGGTTCCCTTTTTTTTTCTTCCTTGGTCCTGAAAATCGACGTCTGTCGCAAAGGCGTCAAAAGTACTGACGAGGCGGGCGTTTTGTAAACCAGACAAGAGAGCTCTCCCTCCATGGCGGTATCGACTCCGACAACAGGCGCTGCCCTTGATTCGATGGGAGACGCCGTACCTCGCCTGGATGCAGGAACGGCTGCGCACGCCGGCCCTCGATAGCTACTTTGCCATTACCGCAAATTTAGGCACTCATACTTTCTTCATGGTCTTCCTGCCCATGTGCTTTTGGTGCGGCCAGGCCTGGTTTGGAAAAGGGTAAGGCTAGTCGCTCATCTCACGGCGAAATCGGGCCATTGGAGGCTGACAGAGCGTAGTCTGGTGCACATTCTGGCCCTCGGCGTCTTTTGGACCGGCTTCATCAAGGATTTCTACTCTCTGCCCCGACCGCTCTCTCCACCGCTGCAGCGCATCACCATGTCCGGGTCGGCTGCGCTCGAATACGGCTTTCCTTCGACACATAGCGCGAATGCAGTATCAGTCGCCGTCTACGGCCTCCTGCTTCTCAAGAGCCCGGAGAATACGCTCCCGCCTACCATGAAGCTGTTTCTGGAATGTCTGTCCTACTTTTACGCCGCGTCAATAGTCTTTGGCCGGCTGTACTGTGGTATGCATGGGTTTCTCGACGTCATTGTTGGCTCCGTCACTGGTGTAGCCATTGGCATGCTAGAGTTTTATTATGGCCCAACGTTTGACGCCTTTATGCATTCAAGTTCCTGGATTGCGCCTGCAATTGCCTGCTTGGTCATTGTCGTACTTGTGCGTATTCATCCAGAACCTGCCGATGACTGTCCATGCTTTGATGACAGCGTTGCGTTTGCCGGTGTCGTCATTGGCCTTGAATTCGGATCATGGACCTATGGCAAGATCCCTTGGGATCCCTGGGTATCCAACGCCTACGCTGGAAACGGCACTGTCGATGTCACTCCTCTCGGCTGGGGTCTGAACATTGTTCGAATTGTATTTGGTGTACTCATTGTCTTTGCCTGGCGCGAGACCATGAAGCCTCTACTTCTCAAAGGCTTGCCTCATCTATTCCGCCTCATTGAGTCCTGCGGATTTACTCTGCCCCGTCGCTTCTTCACCCCTGCCAGCGAGTACAAGTCTGTGCCTCCTGGATCCCGCCTCGATACTCTTTTCCCTACCGCGTCTGATTTTCCTCGCATGGTTGCAGGCATTCGCCATCCAACTACGCGCGGCCGCTCTGTGTCTATTGGCCCACAAAGCGCCGCGGACGCGTACGAGACGCTGGCATATCGCGAGCGTCAGCGCCGCGAGAGCGTCAGCAGCAATAAAGGACTTAGGAACAAATCTAGCAACTATGATATCCTTGGCAAGTCGGAAGATCAAGCAGGCAGAGCGTTAGCATCCGGTGCACACAAGCCGCCTTCTGCAGATTATGAAAAGATTATTGCTGGTAATGAAGCTGTCCTGGCCCCAGCGGACGAGCCCACGGAGCAACAGAGCCGAGCGGTCGATGAAAAGGAAGTTTTTGCGCTGCTTGTCAAGCCGCGTGTAAGGTACGATGTCGAAGTTGTAACAAAATTAATTGTTTATACTGGTACGTATTACTATATTCTGAAGCACGTCGTCCTGTGTGACAGCGGACACTGATATGGATTAGGAATTGCATGGTTTGCGGTCGCATTAATCCCCATCATTTTTGAAGTGGTTGGCCTGGGGACGAATCATTTACGAACGTATTAGACAGAGTTATTAATGCGGCAGAGAAAGCCTCCGGTTCCACAGCATTAGATATGATGTGCTGCTAAGTATATATGGAACTGATCATGGCGACATGATGATAAATACCAGATAGCGCGCGCTATTGCAGCGTGCAAAAATGAAAGAGCGTGAAGCAGCCATGATGCCGCTATTCATTCGTTCCCGTACATTTCCATGATGAAGTGTCATGTCAAATCGCGCAAGCAAACGCAAGATTTTACAGAATCACACTGGAAAGAGCCGATGAAAAGATGCCCTAGCATGAAACTATAAAAACACAAATGGGTTCAAAGAGGCAAAAAACTACCAATGATCAGGAAATTATGTCCAAAAATCCGTACAAGTCGTTCAGGAAATGCTGGGCGATGCTAATCTGCACAGTGGAGTGGAGGTGGTTTAATGGCTTTCACGTCTCCAGCGCGTCGAGGCGCGTCTTCCCAATCTCACATCCCAACGACCAATTTTCTTCACAGCGGGCAAACAACTGCAGAACCACGAGGCACCGCCCAATTGCTATATATCAGACAGAGTCGGTGGAAAACTGGCCCGACTCAACCACATAACCGCCAACATGTCCGACTTTGGAGACGAAATGGACGTGGACTCGGCGCCCGCCCAGAACAAGGACGTTGTCTTTTCCGCCGATGCCAGCAAAGGCAAGCGAAGTACAGCAAACCTGCCCGTCGAGGCCGAAGATACCTTACCATGGTACGGATTTTAAGAATTAGAACCTCCTGCTGCTCCCTCTTTCTCCGAAAGCTCCTCATTTAACGCAGCCTACACAGGATCGAGAAATATAGACCAGAGTCCCTCGACGACGTCGAAGGCCACCAAGACATTCTCGCTACGATTAACAAATTCGTTGACGCGAATCGCCTGCCGCATCTCCTCCTCTACGGCCCGCCCGGCACGGGCAAGACGTCAACGATTCTGGCCCTCGCGCGGCGCATATACGGCGCCGCCCACGTGCGCCAGATGGTGCTGGAACTCAACGCCTCGGACGACCGCGGCATCGACGTGGTGCGCGAGCAAATCAAGACGTTTGCGAGCACCAAGCAGATTTTCGGCATGGGCGCCCCACGATCCGGCACAACGTCATCGTCGTTGTCGCCCGCGGCGGGTTTCAAGCTCATCATCCTCGACGAGGCCGACGCCATGACCAGCACGGCGCAAATGGCGCTGCGCCGCATCATGGAAAAGTACACGGCTAATACGCGTTTCTGCATCATTGCCAACTACGCGCACAAGCTCAGTCCTGCGCTGCTCAGCCGCTGCACGCGATTCCGATTTAGTCCCCTCAAGGAGGCTGATATTCGGCAGCTCGTCACCCGTGTGGTGGATGAGGAGGGCGTGCGTATTGGCGCCGAGGCCGTCGACGCGCTGGTCAAGCTGAGCAAGGGCGACATGCGACGTGCCCTTAACGTGCTGCAAGCATGCCACGCATCCAGTAAGAAGACCCCCCCCCCCCCCCTCTGCCGAGGTCATGGCCCCTTTTGATCTTTTGTTGCCGGTGACTTTTTTCTCTCTTCTCTCTGACACCCGACACAACAGGCACCCCGTTGCGGGCACCCGGCGCGCCCAAGACGCCCGACAGTGAGATTCGCCGCGAAAACATCACCACCGAGACCATTTACACCTGCATCGCGGCGCCGGCGCCCGAGGCCATTGAGCAAATCATGACGACGCTGCTCGGCACGTCCGACGTCACTAGCTGCCTCCACGCCATCAACTCGATCAAGCGCCTGCAGGGGCTGGCGCTGGCCGATGTCATCACGGCGCTGGCCGACGAGCTCGCCAAGCTCGACGTGAGCCCCGCCGTCATGATTACCTGGCTCGATGGGCTGGCTGAGATTGAGCACCGCGTGGCGGGAGGTGGCAGCGAGGTGTTGCAGACGGGTGCGGTGGTTGGCGTGGTGAGGACCGGCGTGGAGTTGATGAGCCGGTAAAGGGGCATTTATAATCAATCACTAGCATAATGAAATGAAGGCACCTTATGACGAATAAAAGCACAAATAATAAATAAAGATGTGCAGACTGGATTGTTCATCTTTGTATTTGGGGTATCATGGCACAAGTACTACCTATAGCTCATCATCGTCATCGTCGCTAATCAAAAAGATGGACACCCTCTTGCCGTCACCTTCTGGCTTGACATCCGCCATCTTGATATCCTTTACCTGAGACTTTGCGCGGGTCTCATGCTTGATGTCGACGAACTCACTCTTCACCTCATCTTTGACTTCGCTTTTGACCTCATTCTTCGTCTCATCTTTCTCATCTTTGACTTCGCTTTTGACCTCATTCTTCGTCTCGTCTTTGATTTCTTCGCTCACCTCATCCTTGACTCCGTCCTTGACCTCGTCCTTGAACTCATCCTTGACCTCGTTCTTGATCTCATGCTTAACTTGGCCTCTAGCCTCGGATTTAATCTCAGGTTTGATTTCTTCCTTGACCTCATCCTCGAGCTCGCCCTTCAATTCACGCTTCACAGGCTCTTGCTTTACCCCTGGCTCCAACTTGACATTCTCGTCCTTCACCTCGACGCTCTGCAGTATGGACCCGTCATCGAGCTCCCGCTTTTTCACTTTCACGTCCTCTTCCTCCATCCTCTGCTCCGCCTCCCGCGCAATCCTTTCCTGACATCTCTTGTAAAAAGTGTCCAGGCAGTTGCGCCGCTCCTCCTGCGTCCACCCCTCCACGACGAGCGCAAAGTCTTGCGCATTCGCAAAGCCAAACTCGCGTGCCATTTCGCAAAACTGTCTCAGTCGGACATCTTCAGGCGGATTGTACACACTGTGCAGCGCATCCAGGTCGTGAATCTCGTCCTGGGCAAATAGGGCGCTCTGGCCTTGCACGTCGTCTTGCCACGAAGCCATGGTGGCGCGGCGCGAGATTTGCTCCTCAATCTTGGAGGTGCCGACGACCTCGGCATTGTCGTGCGTGTACTCGACACCTGCGGATGCGAGAATGGCTTGAACCGCATCGCTCCTACGCGGTGTGGCTATCCGACCATCTTGCTTGGGGGTCTGGTTCTCCGCTGTGAGAAGCGCCGCGAGCTGCCCGACACCGTTGTCGTCGTCGCCCTGTTCGGCTTTGATAGGGACGAGGTCGTTGTCGTTTTTGGCCGCCTGATCCATGTCCACTTCTGCGAGGGTCACGCCGACTTTGGCCTCTGCAATGTTGGTCTTGTTGACAATGTCACGTAGCAGGCCGCTATCACTGTGAAACGTGAAAATGTTGGTCAGACCAAAGATTTCGCCCTTGCGGTCTGCATCCTGCTGAACGCCACGAAAGTAGCGACGTTCTGATGAAGCAGTGTAACCTATATTGGCTTGTTGCTGTTTGTAAACTTGGCGTGCGTAGACAATTTCTTCCACAGTACCAAGAGAAATCAGCCGAAAGACCTCAACATCGCGAGTCTGGCCGATACGATACGCTCTGTCTTGTGCCTGAAGATCGTAGGAGGGATTCCAATGCGGGTCGACAATAACAACCTTGTTGGCCGACGTAATGTTGAGGCCGACACCACCCGCTCTGGTGGAAATGAGAAAAACAAACTGTGTCGGGTCCGAGTTGAACGTATCGACGACTTCCTGTCGCTGCTCATAGCTTAAGGTACCATCTAGATAGCTTACTGTGTAGCTCGTGTTTGTAAAGAGGTGCTGCAAAATACGCAGCAAGCGCACGCTATGAGAGAAGACTAGCACTTTATCGCCATTGCTGTGCCAAAATTTGAGCAGCTTCTTCATAACCTTCCATTTCCCGCAAAACTCGGGATTAACGAGATTGCCAATCTGGTCGCGCTGTGCATACAGGCTCTGCCATTTGTCCGGCATGCAGATCTGGAGCGTGTTAAGCTCTGAATCCTGCTTGCCGTCCAGATCAGTCGCCGACGGCACGAGAAGCGTCAGGTGGTTGGAGAGCTTCTGCAGAGACATCATGCTGGGGAAGACGGCGCTCTGCCAGGTCCGACCGTTGCTGAGATATTTTCCGCAGCACCAGCCCGATTTCTTCTCATGCTCACACGTCTCTGAAATGTCTCGTATGGTGGAGACATCATCGCTATCGAGAAAGTTGTCGTATGCTTGTTTTTGTAGGTCGGTTAATGGGCAGAAAACGACACGGTCCGTCTTTTTTGGCAGCTGATCGGCAATGAGGCTCTTCATTCGCCGTAAAAAGTAGCGAGGAAGTAAGTTATTGACTAGTTTCTGGGCCGTCTGTCTTGCGAGGCTCAGCTGAGCCAATGTAGCTTCGTGAGATTGACCGACGGTAAGCGGCTTGCTGATTGTCTGGCTCCATTCTGATCTAGTACCGAAATTGCCAGGGTTGGTCCAGTCAAGCAGGGCCCAGAGCTCTTCGTATTTGTTTTGAATGGCCGTGCCAGTGAGTCCAATGCGGCAGAGCGCATTGATCTCATTCATGGCCTTGGTCGTTTCGGAATTGTGTCCTTTGAGTTTGTGGCATTCGTCGGCGATGACGGCATCCCACTGGACCATGTTGACAGCGCTGCGACTATTCTTGTATGTGTCGTAGGTTGTAATCATGATTTCCGACATGCCTGCTCTCATTGTGCCGAGAATATCGTCTTTATTGGGCCCATGGTAGATCTCAGCTTGCCACCAGCCCCAACGATTCAATTCATTCTTCCAGTTTACGAGGAGTGACCCGGGACATATGATCAAGATGCGCGGATACCATCGATCAACGCTATACCATCGCATTTGTCGGAGCCTTCGCTTATCCCGCTCATCACCCGTTTTGCCAAATGCGGCGGTCAAGAAAGCGACCACTTGCACTGTTTTGCCCAGGCCCATGTCATCACCGAGAATACAGCCCTCCTGATAGACAAACTTGCGATGCAGAAATTTAACACCTTCGATTTGATAGTCGCGCAGATATTGGGCAATGGGTGCGGGAATCAAGCCGGCAGATTGAGGGAGCTCAATGTCCTCGTACGCCCGCACTGGCCTGATGCCACTATTAGGAGGAAAAACGGGGCGCTCGCTGAGGTTCCCGATGCCATTGTCATCACCAAGATCTATACCGGTGTAGTCTGGTGGTAGCATGAGAGCCGCCTCATGATGTTTCTTCCGGTTGGCGTCGAATTCTTGTCGCCGCTCAATCAAATAGTCGGGTAGCCCGAGCTGCCAGTCATCTTCAAGCACAACATCGTCGGCGTTTGTTGCTGGCCCTCCAGAGCCCGTACTTCTTCTTTTTGGCGCTGATTTCCTCTTTGCGCGCTTCTTTTTCGGTCTCGCCACGGGGACAGAGTCGGATTCATCGGTCCATTCTATCTTTTCTGAGAACGAGGGCTCGGCTTTGCGCTTCTTGTCTTCTTCTTTGACATGAGGGACTATCGTCGAATCGTTCGCCGAGTCATCGTCGTCGCTGTCCAAGATGACAATGGGTGTTCGGCCGTCTGGGGCCATGATCGTTGGCCTGCATTCTTGACGCGTTGATGGTGAGATTGCCATTGGAACGCGCGTGGAGCGCGTGCGCGTAAAGTGGAATGGATGAGGAGCGTCTTCACGTGATACGATATTTAGGCACCATCGCACTTAAGTCAAAGTCAAAGTCAAAGTCAGAGGCAGTTTTCATGATTCGTTGAAACAGTTTTGCAAACCTTAATTTCAATTTTTATGCGTGGTAGCTTCGTGGCTTCGTGGCTTCGTGGCTTCGTGGCTTCGCTACGCTTGATATTTCCCCAGATTAATTGGCGTGCAAGCAACGATAACTTCCTCGGCCAAGTCCCGTTTTTCGGCCAAGACCGGAGATACCAAGAGCTCTCGATCGCGACAATATAATCACGGAAAATTCTCATGGCTTTTTCGGCAATTTCATCAAAATACGCCAAACCCTCGCTTGATTGTTTAGTCATGGCGTGTCCTGCGGCGCGTCGCCATGCTTCTTGGCTCCCTTCCAAGCTCCTTTGCTGCCGGATCGACGGCGCCCCACCACAGCTCCGCCAGCCAGCTCCATGCTGCGACTGCATGCGACTTGCCCTTTGTTAAGTCGCACCTATCAACATAATGCCCTTCCAGTGATAAGTGAGTAGTGGGACTGCGGCGCGAATCAGAGATACTCTGTGGCATCTCTATAGACCATTCGAATTCGCACTGGGACTGCGAGACAAGCCCCGCCGATGCATCATGGCTTCCTCGACGCCAACCGCCGCGGGCGACCAGAGCCATACCGAGCAGAGCATTACAAAGATACCCGACATTCTTCCTCGTGAGCGCGTATTTCCGATTCAAATTGGTGGCGAGCTCTTCAAGCTCTCTGGTGCCTCCCTTTCGTCCGACGGTGAGTAAGAGTCGAAGCGCATTGTGCAGAGTCGTTGGCCGCGAGCAACCCGCAATTGACACGAAGCTTGATTACCAGCGCCCTCCTACTTTTCGCAGTACTTTCTGTGCCAGATCAAAACAGCAGAAGAAAATGGCCAAGACGTCGCCTCGAGCATCCGCACCCTATACATTGACCGCGATCCTGTCACTTTTGGCGACATAGCGCTGCACTTGCAAGGCTACCACATCAAGCCTCGCGACGGCACCCATTTTGTGCGTCTCTTTGCTGACGCCCAATTCTATAATTGTAAGTTGTCGAGCCGAATGGCTGAGTACTGCAGCTAGCTGACCGTGCGTGCCAGTGCCCAGACTCATCTCCCAGCTGTATGAGGAGAGCATCTTTATTTCGATTGGCCACCGCGAGTTCCAGATCCCGCGTGACGTTCTCACCGATCCAGAAAACTCTCCCAATTACTTTTCCCTAGGCTTCGGTATGTCATTCGCCCGACGCGACATAGTTTTTCCCGGCCTCAACCGCGAAGGGTTGATTCGGCCGCCCTCCATTCTCCCGCCATGTGTTCCAAACCGAAGCGCGGATACTTTTGCGGAACTACTACGCCTACTACACGGCTACCCTGTCAACATCCGAGACAAGGTTCATCGTGATGAACTGCTTCGCGACGCTCGATACTACCATTTCAAGGGTCTCGAACAGAAGCTCATTCCCCACTCCATCAGCTTCAACTCGCTACGACAGCGCAATGAAATTGTTTTGCGGCTAGAGAATGTGCAGAAAAGTGGAATCCACGTAGTTCACGACCGAGCTGAAGCGGTACTCGAAGATGACAACCTGGTTGACTTTGACGAGACGTTGGCGGGTTGGGTCAACTACTCGCGGCCGTATGTAGACGACGCTCCCGCGGAGCTTGTCCTTGAAATTGGCGGCGAAGCAACTCATATTCACTTTACAACCGACGGACCACGGGCTGAATTTTTTGGCGAAACACGCACCAGAGTGACCAAGCTCTTCGAAGTTATTGCGACCAAGCTTGGCCTGCCGCCGACCACGCAGCCTCTAGGCTTGCTCATGGCATCAGGCGGAGCCCAATCCTTGCCAGCGACGCCAGGAAATACGCCATTGAGCGAGGACCTCGTCATGATCAAGTTTGGACCTGAAGCTGCTGTGACGTTGGATGGGCAAGACTATGCATACCCGCAGCCACAATCGATGGAGAACGCAGACTCTGCGAACACGAACTCGCGCAAACGCCGGCGCACAGAGTCAATGACTGCAAGCGGGCCGCCTGAAGGGGATAAATGGACTATTCATCGAGGGCAATGGAGGCTGCGAATTCAGGGCAGCTTGCAAGGAAAAAGCAATCTCGAGTGCGTCATGGAAGTAGTCTGCCTAGATGCTTTGAGCTCCGAGCTGGGGCGGAACAAGAAGAGGGGCTTTTTGAAGAATTAGATTCGAACCTGGAGTTCATTTGGCGGTTGGGGAGCTCTGTTATGTGTATTTTTCCTTCATTTGGAAACTATGGATGCATCCGATCAAAATGTAAAAAAGCACACAATAATTGAAATGTCAAAAGAATAGCTTCATCATGATTGAAATTCACTGTAATCAACAGTTTGGGGAGACGTCATCGCCTCGTCAATTTTACCGCCCCGATACCTCAACGCCACACCTAGTAAAACTTTTACACACCAAAGTCTTTTCTTTTCTCTCATTTCTTCTTGAGAACACCCATTACCCAAGGAATAACCTCGTATCCGGCCTGATCTGCTGGCTGGCCTACATTGACCTCGGAGAATGGCCCCGCAGCCAGTATGTTCTGCAGGGTTGACCGGCGAAGTTGACAGCCACCCATGACCATACCGTGGAAGAATCCAACATAGGCTAGAAGAATACCATTAGCATTTGCGACCGTCGAAAAGTGGTTGGCAGCACTTACCTTGATAGGCGCTGAGCAGAATACCGCCGCGAGTGACCTTGACGTGCTCATGAATGTACCAGCGGCCACCCGGCTTGAGAAGCTTGTAAAGATATTGAATGTTTTTTTCCTGATCGGGGATGCTGCAAAGACAGCAGACGCAAACAATGCAGTCGAGGCTGCCCTCCGGGATCTGGCCGTTCCAGGCCGTGGGTCCGTTACCTCCTCGATGCCGACGGGAACGACCTCGTAGATGCCATCGAGACCAAGGTCATTGACGCGCTTCCGAAGCGACGCCGCAGATATTTCATTAGGTTCGACACCGTAGATCTTGGTGATGCCGCCATCGGAAGCGTCCGTCTTTCGTTTGCGCAGATTGGAGGCGGGGCCGTCGGCGGCGCCAGAGTCGGAAGAGCCGACGGCCGAGAACCCGGCCAGGACGTCGGTCCACATGCCGCTACCCGCACCGACTTCCATGACGACGCCGGAAATGGGCTCGCTGACGGGCTCTTGGACAATCTTGCCGTCGCGGACACGGCCCTCGAGGACGGGGACGACGCGGGGCTTAAAGTCCTCCTTGATTTCGGGGCCGACGGTGCCCCAGAACTGGCCAAAGGCGACGGCGAGGAACTCGGAGGGGGAAAGGAGCTTGGAGTACTGCCCAGAGGAGACGATGGACATGAAGGCCTGCGGGAAATGAGCCACGGCCATGCCGATGAAGATCCATGGGCCAATCATGGCCATGGCAAAGTTGCCCACGTCCTCCTTGAGGCCCATGGTGGGATGAACAAGTTTGGGAGCAGCAGTATTGGGATAATTGCTATTTGAGGTATCGACGACGAGGAGGAGGTGGTGGTGACAAGGCAGAAACGGGAGCTATGAGCATGTTAGTGACACAAGTATGAGGGAGTGAGGGAGGGTGAGTTCACTTACATGGGAGCAGGGTGAGAGTACTGAGGCCAGAAGACTGCGAAAAGAGGAGAGGTATAGGAATTGGACCACAGAGTGTGGAAAAGATAGTCCCAGGTGTAACAGGGCGATTGAGCACCTTTTATATCATTGGCAGACTGGGTGTGCGACTAGTATGAGTGAGCAGGAGGGCCGTGGCACAAGACTGTGGCCGCTGGCCACTGGAGAGACATCCCAGCCCAGCTAGGGCTGGGCGGCGGTAGGTTGGCGTGTTGTAGGTTCGGGGCTTGTGGAGAGAAGGAAGCTGTTATGAGTTAGCGTATTCCGGAGGTGGAAAAGACGCCGTTGGCTGGCACTCGCTGCTGGTCCTTTCTATTTGGGGCTGTCTTTAACTAGTGGCGCCCGTCAAAGTTGGGCGCACCCCCCCCCCCCCCCCCTCTGCACTCAAGCTTGCCCGAGGAAACACACAAGCCAGCTTCGGTGTAGAAATTGATGAAAAATAAAGCGTTTTCAGTATATTTTGTTTCATTGCTTAGGGCTGCCACTAAGTCGTTCTAGTACGTGTCGTGCTTCACAGCGGAAGCTGCTGCTAGGTTCGCCGACCTCCTCGGTCAGGGCCACCCATATTGTGCTATCAAAGGGAACACGGAGGAATTCATAGACTCGGTGGATATCCGCAGGTAGGCAACAGTATTACTGACCAATTCAGACATGATCCATGGATATGAGCCCCAAGACCTGTGGTGGTATCCGGGCATGGTGTGTGTCCGAGCCTGGCTTTATACGCCCGACGGAGCCCCTCTCAAGCCGTGTCAGCCCGTAGCCGCACAGTTCCACATGCGAGCTTCCCAATCGAGTCCCGTTAGACTCAATAGACGATAATCTCCTACTGCGCGAGCTTCTGGTGTCATCATTCACACGCCCCTGCAGAAGCGAGGTAGCTTGGTAGACTTGGCACCACTCGGATTCCGTACCCTGACGTGGCGACTCTTGCGACCATGTGCACTGACGGTTACCTTGGTCATTAAATGCCTTCATTCTCTGCCCTGAATAGATTGAACTCTTCAATAAAGCCCAATTTTCCGACTACGGCCTTCCTTTCGACAACTGTTCTCCTGCTCCCACTGATAAAAGTCTTGCTCAACACCATAACGCCGTGAAAATGCCAACTTCTGAAACCATCTTGATCAATCCATACGCCAATATTAAAACCCTCACCGGCCTGCCAGCCTCCTCATTTCTCCCACTTCAACACTGTCCCCTCACAACAGCTCAAAGTCGTCCAGCTGGTCGCGATACTTCATAATGTTGCGCTTAATCTTGCTACCGACCGACCACGTCACAAAGTCCTCCGTCGACCGCGTCACCAGGTATGCCGGGTCTGTGATGGTATCGACGCCCACGCGCACGTGGCCCTGCTCAATCATGTTGGTCGCCGCCTGCACATTCTCGGCCATGCGCAGCCGCGTCATGACGACCGGCAGGCGCCGGCGCGCAAAGGCGCTCACGGTCACGCCATGCTCCACCGCAGACAGCTTCGACGTTGACGACAGCACGCCCATGTCGTAGAGCTTGTTGAGCAGCAGCTCCTCGTGCTTGCGCCGCACAGCGTTGTCGGGCGGGAGGAGCGAGAGCCGGTGGGCGAGTTGGCGGAGCGACTGCAAAGTTTTTTTGGTCAGCGAATGAACCTGTTTGTCAGGCTGTTTGACGCTGCTGCAAATGAAGTTGCTGCGCAGGGAAGATACGTACGCCGCAGATGCGATTGTATTTGTGATAGTCTTCGGGCTTCTGGATATTGTATCGACGAATGACCTCCTTGTCGCGGTGTCCGTTGTCCTGCTTGTAGGTGATAAAATCCGTCTTTCGCAGGAGCTTTTGCTCGTGATACTTGAGTTTGCGCACCATCTTGGCGAGTCTGCTGGTGTGTCGTGGCGATCTGTAGTTAGGAACAGCGAGAAACGACCAAGTCCTCGTAATCTCCAAAGAGTTGCTGAAAAAATATTGTGGGGCTTCACCGATGGGACGGAGTAGCGGCCGCCGACCCGCCGATGTACTTGGTAGTAGTTAACCCCGACTCCGAGGAATGAAGACGATGGGACGTGCAACACGCTCACAAGCTTGCAATTCCGATGCCGGCCGTTTCAGATTTCGCCAACATTAATGTCGGAAAGTGGTGCTCGTCTTCTTATCCTGTGAGCATTGCGATATGCATTCTGTCCACAGAGCATCATGTAAAGATGATGAAGAATACAACTCGATCATGGGAGAAACTGACCATCTACTATCTTGGCTACACGAACAAATATGTTATGGGTAATATTCTCAATATCTTCGCGTTTAGTTCGAAACTCCCGAATCTAGAATCCGTATTAATTGCTGATGCTGCGTCGACAAGTTGCTGTGGGTCTCACACTCGTCTGTGGTTGGCCAATTAGAATTTCCAGTCAAAAGACCTCCAGTGCTCTCGACTGAGAAGAGCGTCAGGCGCACGCTACTCATTGCCGCAATCACAACCTCGATCATAGTCGGGCGACACGGACAAGATGTCAGCGCGACTACCGGGGCTGAGCGCCATGCGCTCAACTTCGACTTCTGTCCTCTCCTTCCTCCGCCCCTTCTCGTCCACCACCGCTGTCGCGCAGCCGCCGCGAGAGACTCGTCCACCAGCTCGGTCATCCACACCGTCGTCGACGAGCCGCCTCCAATCCATCAACAAGGACCGCATGTCTGTCGGTGGCGGAGCCAAGGGCCGCAGCGCCGCCGCCAGCACAATGCACCGTCTCGGCCAGTCCTACAAGGAGCGTGCGGCCGTAGGTCTCCTTGAGAAACAGAGCCAGATTGACTTTCTCAAGCATCGCAAAATTTCAAAAGACTACCTTCGGCAAATGCCCCGTCGATGGGTGCCCGGTGACGTCTACTCGCCACACGATTTGAGCCCTCGCGAAATGGACAAGTGGCGCAAAAAGAACCAGCGCCAGGTTGATGTCGTGGATCTCTTCGGTCTGCGCCCACTGGACATGTACAAGGTATGGCGGTGGCCACGCAATCAGTTCAGCATATGTGGACGATTGGAACTAACAACATGTGCAGAATTTCTCTCTCATTCAGGCGTTTACGACTAGCTCCGGTCAGATTAAGCATTCCAAGGAGACTGCTCTGCGACCCGTCAACCAGCGCAAGGTTGCCAAGATGATTCGCAGAATCCAAGGCATGGGCCTGTACCCGACGATTCACGACCACCCCGAACTCATTCGCTCGGATTTTTATCATCCTGAGCAACGCAGAGGTTAATTACTCAGCGGCATGTATAATTTTCTGGGGATGAGCTTGCACGAGAGCAGCTGTATTCTAAAGGCGGGAGGACCAATTACCAAGTTTTTTCTTGTCATTGAATCTAGAATATCCATGTAATATAGCACATTCTAGCTCAAAAAGAGCCTAACCAAATGACACAATATACTGATGTCTTCATGAAGTCTAAATTGCGCTGCTGGAGATGAAGCTTGCATCGAAGCTTCTTTAAGGCCCGCTCATGGCTAATGCGACTGCTGCAGGACAACAGACAATTCTCAATCGAAACAAAGATGTGCAATTGTCATTTATACATGAATTCGGCATGTATATGAAACTGAGGACGTATATTTGAAGTTGTAGTCTGCGCCGGCGAAACCACGGTTAATCACCTTGCACCCCTGTAGGTCCACTAGAAATGTTGGTGATGTCTAGCAGCTTCGGCCTTGAGAGCGCTCTAGCTTACCATACCTCCTCATGAGTCTTGCTATTGATTCTACCCCCCTACGATGCTACCGTGAGAATATGCCACCTCTATCTGATCAATTCGAAGAATTCAGATCCTAATGAACTATCTCAATGCAGAATAACCTCAAAAGCATCATAGAAACCTCACGCAGCAGACGATGAGGGCCAACTTTGCCCGCCATGGGCGGCGCCTCCTGGTCTACCGCGTCAGAGCGCCATCCTGTCCCCTATTAACTTCTTCACGTCCTGCGAGAAGTCCCCCATCATCTGCGACGACGGTGTGCCCGCGATTCGAGCGCACCTTTTTCAACACCCTCTTCAAGAAGCCGCCGCGCGAGATTCGACAACCCGAGTACGAGCCTGGATGGATGCACATCATGGTCTGGCGGAGCCGCATGCTCGACAACCTGCGGCCGCAGCCTAGGCGCGAGCTCATGGAAGCGTGGCGTCGCCTCATGCAGGCCAAGCTCAAGTCTCGCGTGCCGCTCAACAGCACACAGGCGCTGCAGTGCCGACGCCTGCTAGAGTACCTCTCCGACCAGCGCATAAGCCTCCAGGAGGACTTCAACGTCAAGCCCTTGACGGCGGCCGACCTTGCCATGGCACGGCAGGTCCTCCTCGAGATTGAGCCGAGTGAAACGACGCAGCACCACGTCGACTTTGCGCGCGCGCTGTACAAGGCGTGGATGGACAGCGACTTTGCACGGAAGCCTCGTGCCGTGGAGCTGCAATGGACATATCTTGTCAGGGCGCTGTCGTTGTATGGAGGTGGGGTAGAGGCCAAGGAGATGCTGTATGAGAAGTGGGACATGAGCGAGTACGCCGTCTTCCTCACAGGGGACGCTCAATTACTCCATGTTGTTGCGCAGGCCCTCGCCAGAGAGGGCAAAGAAGCCGAGCTTTTGGAGCTGGCGAGGCACGCGCAAGAACGGGGTATCGCCCTCGATGCCAACCTACAATCTGTCATTGTACAATACTTTGCCGGCCGCGACCGAATTGAGGAGACAAAGGCCTGGTTCGCCAAGCCTATTGCGCAGAATCAATGCCATCCGGATACTTACCGCGCCGTTGCGTCCTTTGCGAGACGCAATCAGCTACAAGAATGGGCAATGCCATTCTTTTTGGAATTGGGCGAGTCCACACCAAGGAGGCGACATTGGGATGCTTTGCTGCAGTCGATTCTACTGATGGGACGCAGCCTCGCCCAAGTTGGCACCATGATGGACCATATGGTCGACCGCAGCGGTGACATTAAGCCTACCATTCACACAATAAATGGCCTCCTCTACGTGGCTGTCGAGCTCAAAGACTACCAGCTTGGTCAGGATGTACTGCAGCTCGGCGATGACAAGGGCATCAAAGTCAATGGTGAAAGCTACATGCATATGCTGCGCTTGTGTCTCGAAGCCAAGGACTTTGAGCGCGCACAACATGCCTACGAACAAGTCATACACCTCGAGCCCTGGGGCAGTGACTCCGACTCCGATTTGCAGCTTCAATTCGGGCGGCTCGTAAATCACTACCTCGTCACACTCGCCAAGCAAAACCCCCCCAGCTTCCCCCTGATTCTCTCCATACTCCATACGGTCGAAGAGCTTGGCCTTCGCCTAGAACCCGCCACCGTCTCAACATTATGCCTGCGTTTCCTGGAAAACGACCAGCACTTTGAAGTCATGGACATTCTCTCCATCAATACCTTTCTCTTTAGCGAAGCCGAGCGCGAGGTCGTGCAGTCTGCCTTTATCCAGTTCTGCCTGGACCCCAAAACGAGCACAGCGCGCGCGTGGGGAGGCTACCAGCTACTGCAGCAGTTCTTCGAGGACACGAGCTTTGAGCGCCGCACGCAGCTCATGGAGGCCTTTTTCGCACGAAAGCGACCCGACATGGCAGCGTACGTGTTTGGCCACATGCGCCAGCACCGCAGCAAGTCGCTGCACCCGCGCATGGAGACGTACATGGCCTGTCTGTCAGGTTTCACGCGCCATCCGGACCTCGCCGGGCTGGAAATGGTGCACAACATGCTCAAGATGGACACGACCGTGCAGACGAATACCAAGCTGCAGACTGCCCTGATGCTCGCCTTTACGGCGTGCGACAAGCCGCTGGTGTCGTTGGACTATTGGCAGCAGATTACGCAGTCGCAAGAGGGGCCGTCGTACGCGACGCTCGAAGCCGTCTTTTGGGCGCTGGAGCGCAAACCAGGCGGCTACAAGATGGCGCGCGAGGTCTGGGACCGCATCGAGAGAATGGATCTCGAGGTCTCGACGCGCGTGTACAATGCGTACATTGGCGCCGTCGCGGGCGCCGGCTCCGAAAAGGAGATTCGCGGGCTGATTATGAAGATGCCTTCTGTGGTCGGGGTCGAGCCCGAGCCAATGACGTGAGTTTTTTTTTTTTTTTTTTTCCACTCTAATTGATCGTGCGAGAAAGACTGTAACTAACGTTAAGCCCTTTGCAGCCTCGCCATTGCATACAATGCCCTACCCGGGCGGCAGCTTCAGATTGATTTTGAGACGTGGGCGAAGCTGCAGTACAAGGTGCAGTGGGAGGAGATTATAAAGGTTGGCCGCAGATTGAATCAGTATTCGCTGTGCCAATTCAAAATCGATCGCGACATGCGAGCAGATGATTGAATGCCGGGCATAGCGAAAAGAAAAGAGGAAACACCATGCATAATTAGGCGAACGGATTCGCTTTTCATGTTTGAAAAGAGGCGGCAAGAGCCACTTTGCACGCTTTTTGTACTTGTAGCAGCGGCATGAGGGCAGAGGCAGAGGATGAGGGGCAGGCGAGATTGCATTTCGCATGTACATAACTTTTCTGAAATATAGCCAGGGATTGCATCGGTACAAAATGTCTGGGTCATCTTTGTACAATGTTCAAGCTGCCGAGTTTTGGTAGTAGCAATTGCGAATGGTGGCACTGAGACTTCAAGGATCTGTTGGTACGCTTCGCTACAAAATCAAGCAGATGATGACTAGTCAAAGGGGCATACGCGTGCCTTGCATGATTCAAACATCTATTGAAGATCTTGATGATACTTATCACACTTCTCTGCGTGCTGCGTGCATGATGACGCCGTGAGACATTTCCAGAATCACGCTGACATCCAGGATCGACTCCTCTCTGCGGGCCGCTACCAGCATTGTGCAGCCAAGGAAGGACTCCCGCATGATGTCTTGCACAAAGCCCTGTCGCCAAAAGTCAACACTACTCGTGACCTCATCCACGAGGACAACCTTGCTGCCCGTCTCGCGCTGTCGCAAAATCGCTCTGGCAATGCAAACCAGCTGCATCTCGGCAGGCGAGTAGGCCGCGTCGTCGAGTATAGTATTGAGACCGTCCTTTCGGAGTAGTTGCTGCCATATGCCGAAGCGACTAAGCATTTCTTCGAGTATCTGATCTTGCTGCTTTGCTTGCTCTTGTTCGATTTGCTGTTGCACAGGATCCGTGCTCTCCACCTTGTTCATGGTGAAGGGTAGCAAGTTGACTCGGATCGAGGCATCGAGACGAACTTGATCTTCCGAGATTGTAACCAAGCGGGATCGAATCTCATCTCTCGATAGCGTGGCTATATCTATGCCGTCGATTTTGATCATCCCGGTGTACTCGACTAGTCCCAGAATGGCATTGAGGACTGACGTCTTGCCGCTGCCACTCGAGCCGATCAAGCCGACCCGCTGTCCAGGCTCAATAAAGAGAGTCAAGTTCTTTAAAGCAGGTGGATTGTCCGAATATGGCTCATAATTGGCCGTGACGTCCACAAGCTCGATATTTCCCGCCGAAGGCCACAGGGGCGGTGCAGCTGTGACCTCCGGGTCTGGCTCCTGAGGGGTTCTCTGCAAAAAGGTACGCAATCTTTCAAGCGCACTGGCAGATGTGTCAATCAGCGTGACAACTTCAAAGAGTCTTTCAAGGGTCCAGCTGAATTGGGACAGAGTCAGGAGCGACAGACCAATAGCTGCTTCGGTGGTAGTGTGGGGGAAGAACACCACATACGAGACGAAGCAGACTGCAATACAGCTGGTCAATAGCCCAAGTGCCACTACCAGCCACTGCTGGAAGTAGTAAAGATAAAAGAATGCCCGCTGGCTAATGTTCAAGAGACCAAAGCTGATTCTAGTATCTGCCTTGAGCCAGCGGAAAGCGCGCATATATAAGATGCCCTCGGCGGTTTCCTCAAATCGCTTTAACAAGGGCGTCTTCGCTTCTACATCCAATTTTCGTAGCTGACGGGAAGTTTTGAAGTAGAAGCGCTGAAGGCGATACAGCGCAAACACAACAAGTGGGAGGATGACGACGAAATAGGAGGCCCCAGACGCAATGATGACGGTCTTGATGATGATGGAAAATGCGGTATACGCGGTGCGCATGGAGTAGAAGGGCAATTTCCGCGAAAACACGCCCGCATCTTGGCCGAATAGTGGCAAGATGGACCCCATGTCCACAACTCCCAGATAGGTGAGCGTTGAGCCAGCGATGGTGCCTACAAGCTTTTTATGCAGAGTGAGGGATGCCCGTGGCGCAAGTATAACATACAGCAGCCAGTACGAGAAAGTGCCAGCCAAACATGTACCGCCAGCGACAGAAGCATACAGCGTGAAAAAACTGTTATCGTTTGAGCCAGATTTGAAATAGTCTCGAAGATAAATGTCTAGGCAATTGTCAGCTCGTGAACAAGAACAAATTGGCCATGCGTATCTCACTGGGAAAGTGCTCTCCGAGAGCGAGACAAAATATGAGCAGCATGTATAAAGTGACGGAGAAGTATCCAATAGGCTTAATATAGAGGGTAGACAATCGTGTAGGCGATGGCTGAATAGCGGTCGGCCCTCCAACAGTAGGACGAGACGACTGCAATTCGAACTTCATGGACCGGCGTATCGCTTCCATTTCGGCGTCTTCCACTTCTTCGGGGGGACCATCGGGTACAGAGCTGAATACACTTTTAACGGCCGCTGCGAACGCGGGAGTCTGGAAGGGTTGGTCCTCGAGGGAAGCATAGCCACGGCCATCGAGCAGAAGAACTCTATCAGAGACATCGAGACTCTCGCGCAAATAAGACACCAGAGCAACTGTGATGCCCATTTCCCTCAAGAGACCACTGGCGCCGAATAGGTGAAAGATGATGGACACTGCCGTTTTACGGTCGAGAGCGCCGAAAGGGTCATCGAACAGCATCACTGCAGTGCGTGCATAGACTGTCCTTGCGATGCCGATTCTCTGGCGTTGACCGGCCGTGAGATTTCTGCCACCGGGGCCAACAATGTAATCAGCCTTGCCGGGAAGACGCTGCAAATCATTCTGGAGCAAGCAGCAACTAATGACCCTTTGGAAAAAATCGGCGTTATAAGGCAAAGGTCCGATGATATTGTCCAAAATCGATACATCCTGCAACCAGGTTACCTGGCCACAAATTGCCATTTCTTCATTCTGGACACAAATTGCCCCTTCTACCAGAGTAGCTTCGCCGAGTATGCCATGCAGTAGTGTGCTCTTTCCCGTTCCAGGCGGACCGATGAATGCCGTGATTGACCCTTGCACGAGAGAGAAATCAACACGGAAGAGGATGGGTTGTCGTACTCCAGGAGGTGCAATGTCCACGTCAACCATTTCGACAGGATGGACGAACTGTTGATGCCTAGGCGGAATGCGGCGATGCTTGGGAGCGTGTTTATCTTTGATGAAGCGGCACTCATCTCGTTCCGGCAAGCTCAGAAAATTCTGAATCCGATCAAAATAGTTGCTGAGAGACGATACGGTAGAGTACATGTCCAGAAGTCGACCAAGAGGACCCTGTATGGCCACAACAAGAGCGAGGATTGGAAAGATGACATTGGCTGGGACGGCTTGGCTGTATTCCTCTTGTGAAAGCGCTTTGCTAACTATCCAAACAGGCGTCACGAGATTGGCAATCTGGACAAAAGGCATGGTTACCGTCTCGAGGCATCGATGTGTTTTCGATAGATTCACCTCTTCTTGTCGTAGGCGCTGAAGAAAGTTAGCGACGGTAGGGCCGAGTCCCATCATTTTGATTGCTCCCAGTTGATAGAGAATGGACGAAGTCTGTGAGACGCGAGTTTCGGAGCCTTTGTTGTATGCTGCGAGTGCCGGCCCGGTTACGAAACCCCAGAACCATGAAAAGATGTTGGAGACCAAGACGGGTACGACCACCAGGAAGCTCGAATTTCCAACAAAGAATGAAAGCGCATAAATGCCAAAGTACGTCTCTAAAAATATGATTGGAAGCTCCAGCAGTCTGGGTAATGCGACGGCAATACCATCAATGGCAGTGCTCAATAGAGAGACGGTAGCAGATTCACGTGCATCCTTGTACGAGATACGGTGAGTCTTTTCGATGATCTGTGTAATGAAGCTTCCTCGTAAACGTGTGACCATTAAATAATTCATGTGTGCATATGATGATTTGCCAATGGTCATACCGACAAAGGCTGCGAGCGTGGCAGAGATCAGGCAAGCTTTGCGCAGCAAAGAGGCATGATCCTGGCCACTGACATCGATGACTGCCTTCAAAATGAAGGGTTGACTGAATGTGCATATGGCGAAAATGAGCCGCGGCACCAATATTCGCCGGATTTCAGTATCCCAGACTGTACCGCAGGTTGTCATCAGGCTCTCCAGCTCGAGATGTGGTGCTGCTTTGCCGTCGATTTGTGCCGTGCGTCGCGCTTTCTCCATTTGGTCTGCTTTCTCGGCACTCAGCTGCCAGTAATTCCTGAGCTTTTCATTTAAGCGGTCAGAGGCAAACTCGGCAGCAATGGGCATGAGGTTGCCGTTTTCGATGGAGATGCGAAGCTGCCTGGAAATGGAGAGCCCTGGGAACACGAAGCAGGCTCGGCGTCTCTTCTCTCGTCGAGCGGTTTCATTCTCGGCGGCGACGGAAGCGTTTTCGTGTACCACAAGCTGCTTTGTCGGAAATACCTCCAAAAGCAGAAGAAGAAGCCGGAAGCCCCCAGCCGAAGCAGCAATGGCTGAAGCAGATGACAGACCTCGATCTAGGTAGAAGAGACGGCACTTGGCAGCATCAATCACGCAGCCCAAGAGAAGGTATACACGGAGCAGTCTGGATGCACGAATCCTGTGACCTTGCTCAATGTAGAGCATGATGCCTATTGTGAGTGCAGCAACTAAATCGATCAGTGCCGCGGCAACCATGGTATCGGCTTGCGGGTCGAGTCGCATGCGGCGAAGAAGGACATTTAAAAGTTCCAGGCATATGAGAGAGCCGGCAGCGAACTGAAGAAGAAGCATGTGAGAAGGCTTAAGCGACAAGAGCAAGTGTTCTTGACGACGTACCAGTTTTAGGCGTGGAAATGGAAGGTGCCGCAGGTACACTGGCGCCTGGGAGTAGTGACGCAGGAAAAAAGGCGACAGTGCCAGTACGAGGCTCAGCGGCGATATTTGCAGGACCAATTCCTCGTATGTAAAGGCCGCATAGACGCCGCCGAGTGTCTTTGCCCAGAGCTCTCCCCAGAAGGCCTCGGCCGCGGACCGATCCGCCGCGGTCGACGCCATGCTGCGCAATCGATTGTGGCTGCCAAGATGCAGTGGGCTTCGGATCACAGTGAGCAAGCTCGCGCGCGCGCATGCATCGAAAAGGAGCAACGTCCCGGGTGCGCAAGGACTGGCCGGCCTCTGGACAATTTGTGTGTGTGTGTGTGTGTATGTATGTATTGTATGAGTTTTTGGATGGGGGGACGAGGTTGCTTTTACGGGCAGCTGTCGGCTGCATCGAGCAAAAGGGCAGTGGCGGGTTACAGTCCGCCCAGTTTACAGTACGTGGGCAGATTTCCTTCAGACTCCATCATTTCCCCCCCTCCAGCCCCGGCTGTATGGCCCGTATCAAGCTTGATTATTATTAGCAGCGGGCCGGCGGACACTATTAATAGTCAGTGCGATTCAGCAACACAAGGAGGTGATGGCCGCTTTTTTTTTCACCTACTAACCACCAAACTGCTTGTCACCACAACGGGGGCAACGCGGGGATTGGGGGGAACGGGTGGCAGGAAGAGTGTGGCTAACCCCAGCGAACCACGACAAGGCTCCCCCATGCACGGCCCAGTCCAGTTTTCATAATGATAGTCGACAGCTGAACCGCGTGGTCGCCGGAAATCTCGACTTACCCGCTTGCGTACGGAGTACGAATACGGAGTATTGCGCTCACGAATAGTTCGATGAATACAACCGTCTACTCTTGAACGCGTGCAGCGGCTGTCAGCAGACAAACAAGCGCCTTTGTTATCCGTGTGAGGCTTTTCAGCGATTTCGGATGCTGTTGATTCTTTCATTGCCTGTATAAAATTGAGCGACAGTCGCCAAGACGCCACTGGCTCTTTTGCTTCGCGCCGGACCCCGCCAGCGGTGGCTGAATTCTCCGAGTTGGCGCGGGGAAGAAAGAGCCTTTTATGGACATATATACACGGTTGTTGAGGAGATGCTGAAATGGAATAGAAGCCATATGTGAGGGCAGGTGATCCTTCACCTCGTACTCCGTATCGCGCTATTCAGCACGATGGCTGCTTACGCCAGGGCGTCAGTCTCGATCTTTACTCGGTCTCATCAGCTCGTGAATCACAAAGATACATGATGCACGACGGCGCAACTCTGGTCCGCCTCGACGCGGCCGGTCCCCATCAGCGCGCGTGCAACCAATATCGGTCACAGCACCCTGGACACCAATATTTGGATGTCATGACGCCCCGGCACCCTTGGCCTGCCCACTCACACGGCGCATACCTGTCCTGCTGCTCAACCGGCTGACAGGGTTGACCGGCACGACAGGTAGTCTTTCCGCGCTATTGATGCCGTCTCCCTCCATCAAGCGAATCCCAAGCGCCTAAAACGTAGACGGCACACCCACCGTTCCACTCTGGTCTATTCTCGGTTCCCGTCTCTTACCGCCAATGCTCGCAAAGTACCTACTTGCATTGGCACCCACGGATTCGGCAAAGAGGTCTTGGCTCCTTCAGTCTGTCCCGGCCACTTGAGCCGCGGTAATTCGAAAGAGAGGTCCCCGGACTAATGAGATTCGTACACATGTACGGAGTAATCATCTGTCCGTTTGTGCGACACTGTGGCGCTTGACTCGGGTGGGCAGGCGTCTGCCGTCAATTCACCGATTGTCCTGCATGCGCAGGGAGGATTTTTTCATTTAGCCCCTTCAAAGTACGATTACTCGACGCCAAATATAACCCATTGACCCGGTATTAATCTAAATGCAGCGTTAGCTTTTGTTGAGGGACTTTTGCGTAGTAGACATTCCGCCGAAAGACGAGGCCCTTCCGATGCGTCGTAGTAGATTGCGGTGCGTGCTGCAGCATTAATTGGGGAAAGCGGCGATCCCAATTCTCTCTGTTCCTTGCTACTGTTTCCTTGCTACTGTTTCCTTGCTACTGTTCTTGTCAGTAGCCGGTCAACTTTTCAAAACTGATTATTCTCCGTGGTCATGATTCGCAGAGCTGCCAAATGACCACTAACGCACTGCACAGCAGTATGCCGCTCAGACAAGTCATTCACCCACATGCATACAACCAGGGTGTAGGGGCGCTGTACGTACGGACTATGGACCGGTAGCGAGAGATGCACGGTTTGGATTTTCGGCCATCTTAGTAAACCTGCCCTGCTCGGTGAGACATGAAGCTATCTCCTGCTGGGCTCTTGATTTTAACGTGCGCTCGCTTGCCCCCAAACCAATTTTTTTCATCGTACATGAAGTAGACTCGTTATCATCAGATACTGTCGCATGGAATGCTATGCGCAATATTCGTCCCGTGGTCCCGATGTTGCTGGTTTTTACACGATGCGTTAAGAAGACTCTAGTGGTGGATATTGGAAGCTGGTTGGTCTCAACAGCAAACCACGCTAAAACTCCGACTGCGCCCTCCGTCGAGTATTGGTATTGGTAGGTATTGATCTTTAACGCCGTGACGTCCCTGTAAGGGCAAAAGGCGCCTACCAGGGCAAGGCCCGATGAAGTAGGTAGAGCGGCTCCTAAGGAGGTATCTATCTAATCTAGGAAGGGTATCAGAAGGCTTTCGCAGGCTGATCGTGGGACCGTGTAGAAGGACCTGATCCGCGGCCAAGGCAAAGGAGTCAGTGATCCAGAGCCAGTTATCGCGGGGGTGTCTTCTAGGGAGTCATCCCCACCGTCGAGTTTACAAGTCGAGGGTGATGAGCAGTTACATAAAGGCGACTTCAAAGGATGGCGCCATAATAGCCGTCTACAAACTACGACGCGTCATGACTCTATAGCTAGATAATCGGGGATAAGAGGAGGGGCAACGGCGCCGTCGCGGCGGAAGGACCTTCGCAAACGATGCCGACATGGCGGGCCAGCCAAGACCCCCCGCACCAAACAAAGCAGAGCTAGTCCGGGACCAGCTCGCCACCCGCAACTACACATACATCATCGATAGAGACAAAAATATATATTTTGGAGAAAAAAAACAGCAATGCCTCTCATCGTCCCGACTCGCATCAAACCCAGGGTCATCCTGGGTCTCATGACATTTGGCCCGAGCAAGGAGGCTGGGGCGCGCATCACCGACGTGAAGACGCTGGGCAAGGCGCTCGACGTGCTGCGGGCGCGGGGCTACGACGAAATCGACACGGCACGCATCTACATTGATGGCGCGCAAGAGGCCTTTACCCGCGAGGCCGGGTGGAAGGACCGGGGCTTCACGCTGGCGACAAAGGTCGAGTACCCGCACAAGCCGGGGGCCAACAACGCCCAGGCGGTGGTTGCGTCGGTGGAAAAGAGCCTAGCAGAGCTGGGCACTGATTGCGTTGATGTCAGTCAGTTTTGTCAATATTTACCAGCAGAGTACTAACATGTCGGTTGGCAGATCCTCTACCTTCACTGCCCCGACCGCAGCACCCCGTTTGCTGAGACTCTCGAGGCGCTCAACGAGCTGCACAAGGCGGGCAAGTTTGTGCAGCTGGGCCTGAGCAACTTTGCCGCGCACGAGGTGGCCGAGGTGGTGCTGACGTGCAAGTACAACGGCTGGGTGCGTCCGACCGTGTACCAGGGCATGTACAACTGCATCACGCGGCACATTGAGCAGGAGCTGTTTGTCGCGTGCCGCCGGTACGGCCTCGACATTGTCGTCTACAACCCGCTCGCCGGCGGGCTCTTTTCCGGCAAGATCAAGTCCAAGGACGCGGTGCCCGAGAGCGGCCGCTTCTCGGACGAGGCAAGCGTGCAGGGCGGCCGGTACCGCGACCGCTACTTCAAGGACGGCGTGTTTCGCGCGCTGCAGATTGCCGAGGAGGCGGCCGTCGACAAGCACGGGCTGACGCTGATTGAGACGGCGCTGCGGTGGACGGCGCACCACTCCAAGCTAAACTTGGTTGGCGCCGACGGCGGCAACGACGGCATCATCCTCGGCGTGTCGAGCGTCGAGCAGCTCGAGAGCAACCTGGACAGCATCGAAAAGGGTCCGCTGCCGGACGATGTTGTCGAGGCGCTGGACCGGGCCTGGGAGGCGGCCAAGCAGGATGCGGCGCCGTACTGGCACGGCAAGCTAGAGTACGGGTATGATACGAAGCGGGTGCTGTTTGCGCCGGGTGCCAAGTAGTTGAAAGAGCTGGGTTGGGAGAAGTCGCGCTTTAGGGGTGCGGATTGAGGTGGACGCGCATCATGCTGCTGCGATGCAAGTGAGCAGTTGTTGCGACTGATTGTGGCGCCAAGCACATGCGAGTGGTTATCCAAGATGCAGACCCTGCAAGAATTGTGTAAATGACCTGGTCGAACAATGTGAGGGAGAAGAATGCGGGACGTCTAGTTATGCTTAAACAAAACGGGCGTCATGCAGATGACTTGTGCGTGTGACCAGAGGCTGTGAGCTGACCAGTGACGCGCATGTGCTGCGCTTGGCAATGCGGTCGCAAAGCACGCTGGCTGGAACCCGCTAGGTACCTATGTCCTTAGGTAGGTACCTAGGTACTAGGTACGGCGCTGCCGACAAGGCTGGCCGGCAGGTATTTGTCTTTTCGCCTTTTGGCGCTTGTAGCGGGGTCAAACAAGCAGGCGACTCCATTCAACCCCCTAGAAATCCCTATAATTATGTTCCCCGCTCTTCCTCTCAGAATGCTCCAGTATGGAAACTTCCATATCGTTGGTACTGGTACCTAGAGAGGTACAAGGAGAAGTACGCACCGCCGCTGTAACCTTTATTGGCTGCCTTGTGCAGCCAGAAAATCAGATATGAATAATCTGACAATGTCAAAAGAAAGAAAAAAAACTACCATCTCCAGTAGACATCTCACAATTCCTTTGTGTATTGTTGTTTTTTATTCACTGCAACAGCGGCACCCCCAGCGTCGTCTTCTGCAACCCACACTTGGACCCTTTTTCTTCTTCATCCCTCCCACCCCCCTTCCGCAGTGGGCTTTTTTGATTCAGTGACGTTTCAGTGGCTGGCTTCAGCCGTCTGTTCCCAGCTCGCCTGCCGTCGTCGCTAGCCAACGTCCCCCAAAACGGGCCGCCAATACGAGGCCACATCGCCCAACGCCCTTTTCCCTTCCCCCTTCATTCACGATCTTTTTTCTCTCCTTCTTTGTTCCCCCTTCAATTCCCATACTGCCACCGACTTCCAGCCCGGACCGGGCCCCAATACTTGGAACCCACATACTGCATACGTGGTTCGCATTGCAGGTCTCCCACGTTGTTCACACCAATACATGCCGAGGCGAACGCTTCCTTCCGATTCACGACCAAAACGGCAACCCCCATTGCGGAAGCTCCGTTTTCTTCAATCGCCCAACTTCATCAGACTCATGAGGTAGCTTCAGCAGACACAACCCGGATTATCGCTTTCTCTTGCTCGCGTGCCTCCATGCCCTGACCGACCGACCAACTCTCGTGTTCCCTCCCACTCGCCATTCTCCCCAACAGTTTTTTTCCTCTCCCGCAACCAATGCCGCGACCAAATCAGGGCGTCTACGGCACGCCTCTGCTCTCCAAGCCCGAGAATGCCGCCACCGACAATGACGACGCCGCCGAGCGCGGCCGCTCCAACAATGGCACCCTCTCTCCAGGCCGCGCCGCCGCCGTGCCCGCCCTCGCTCCCCGGCCGGCCCTCTCGCGGCGCT